GACTTAGAAGGGTCAGGGTGGGAGGCTGGGCATGACTCAATAGCCTTCCCACACAGGATTGAGTACATCTGTCTTGGCGCCCGCCCCCTCCCCCCCACCCCACCCCCAGCTCAGGAAGGCACAATGTTGACAGGATTGAATAGAGCCACCCCCAGTTTTCCCTTTAGCACCCCACAGGGATTTAGGATATTTTCATGAATTCCCCAAGGAGTGTTAGAGGTGGTTACAAAGGTGTGTGTGTGTGTGTGTGTGTGTGTGTGTGTCCCCACACACACAAGTGGCATAATCAGAACTCTTCATAGGAGTAGAATTAAATTTTGAATAAAATTTAGTCCTCATAATTACCTCTTGTGAAGACCTTTTGGAATTATTTTATTTGAATTTATTTCACATTGCCATTTCAGAAACACTCTTGTTCTTCTCTGGGATTGAAATACGTATCTTAGTAAGATTTCCCCTGTGCCTCGCCTGAAGTAGTTGTTCACATTACTTAAACAAGGTCGGTGTGAGCGCTTGTCCTGTTAGAATATAGTCTCCAGAGTGTGTCTGAATCAGTTTTTTGGTTGCTTAGGTGTCTTTTTCCTCAGCATGTCTTTCCTTCTGTTGCCTTATCTTTCCCTTCTACAGTCTGCGTGTGGGGTGCGGGTGCCACTAGGACCAGGACTCCTCCAGCAGATCCCAGATAAGGGAAGCTGGCTGGGCCCTGCTGGGTGGATTTCTGCTGCCCGCAGCTCCCCTGCCTCCCCTTCACACCGGCCTCCTCCCCTCCGCAAGGCCCTGGAGGGAGGGGCCCTGGGAGGCCTCCCAGGCTCCTCCGTGCTTCAGAGCAACAATTGCAGCCTTGGGCTTCTGGAATGATTGGCACTCAGACTTTTCCTCTCAGCACTTAGTTAGAAGCCAAGTCTTTCTTCATTTGTGTTTTTACTTCTGCTTCTGATTGCTCAGAGCTGTCCCAAGGTTACTTGAGGAAAACTGTTCACCATTTGCTGCTTAGAATTAAGCCTAGTTTTTCTCAGGTTCTAAAACGTTAAACAGATTTTATTTATTACAATGATTAAAATGGTGGGGTTTTGTTTGTGTGTGGGTTGTTTTTTATTAAAAAAAACAACTTTACATCATTGAGTCTTGTGGGCTGGCTAGGTGGGGATCCTATCAATAATAACCATGAAGCTCAGAAATCTTTTTTGTCCGAATAGGACGCACAGGGTGAGGACTCCCTATAGAAATTACTAAATCCTGGTCTCTGCACACTGGGGCTTTCCCCTTCCTTCTCCTGTCCTTTCAGGGCATCAGGTTTGTACTCATTTTGCATGGGTACTGTGAGAAAAAGTAGTATTTTTTAGCTCCCCCCCCCCCCCGAAAAAGTGAAATATAAAAAGGGGGAAATGACCTTACTCTTTATTTTATAAATATTATAGAGGCCCAGGGCATGAAATTTGTGCACGGGTAGGGTCCCTAGGCCTGACTGGCAGTCAGAGTTCCCTGCCTCCCCGCCTCCTCATCCCCTCACTCCATCAGTCCCCACAGTTGCCATTGGTCACCCACCATGTTCCATGGTCTTAGGCGACCCACGTGAAAGGGGTCGAGACCCACAGGTTGAGAACCGCTGTCAGGGTCGCCTCAGACCCTCGGAAATCACAAATATCTACATTATGATTCATAACAGTAGCAAAATTACAGTTATGAAGTAGCAACGAAAATAATTTTAAGGTTGGGGGTCACCACAACATGAGGAACTGTATTAAAGGGTCGCAGGCATTAGGAAGGTTGAGAACCACTGCTCTGTACCCTTAAGCTCATTTTAAGGACATGGTCTGCTTTTTATTCTTCTCTGAGTCTTTACTGGGATTTTTAAAAAATTAAATTTTGGGGTGAGCCCTGGCTGGGTGGCTCAGTTGCTGAAAACATCGTCCCAATATACCAAGGTTGCAGGATTGATCCCTGGTCAGGGCATATACAAGAATCAACCAGTGAATGCATAAATAAGTAGAACAACAAATGGATGTTTCTCTCTCAAATCAATAAAAATAATAAATAAATAAAAAATTTTTGGGGGGGCATTGATTAATAACATCTTACAGGTTTCAAGCGTACAATTCTATATACATCACCTGTATATTGCATTGTGTGTTTGACATGCTTGGCAGGGGGTTTTTAATGAATTTTCTTTGTAATATTCCAATTTTAGTACATGCTCTGCCAAAACAAACAGTACCTTGGAATTTTTTGTGTGCATACGTATAAAAAAGGTTTGAGTATCCAAAGACCTGCTGGATAGTGAAGTCAGTAGACAAGTTAGTCCTGTCCTGCTAAGAGACAAAGGTCAGCACAGAGCAGCTCATTTAATACGGTGTTTGGCTATACACAATGTAGAGCAGCAGTGAGTTAACCTCTGTGCAGCAAACTCTGGGTTCCTGGTTTGTGCCAGGTACTGTGCTGGGCTTTGGAGACCCAAGAGAAGGCAGGGGGCCGCCCCGGGAGAGGTGGTGGGTTGTGGCAGAGGCTTTCCAGTGAGCCCTGCGTTTAAATTCCACGTTGCCATTTACTAGGCAGAGGTCTCTGGGAAAGTTGTCTGGCGCTCTGAACCATAGCTTCCTCGTTTCTGAAAAAGGAATCATAGTATTTACCTCTAAGGCTGTGCTTACTAAATAATGCATGAGTTCAGTGTCTGGCACATGGTAAGCAGGCAGACAGTGGTGGCTTTTAGAACAGTCGACTGCCTACTGAAGTTAGAGATACGGGAGCAAGCCATTCTACTGTGTGCAAACAGTGGTTCCCACAGTGCGTAAGTGCAGTGGTGGGTGGGAGGTCTGTGGGCACAGGTGCTTGAGGAGATGGGAGGATAGATAGGCGCAGGGACACAGGTGGAAGGCCTCCAGGAGGTAGTGACATTACTACTGCTTGGTCGGGAGCCAAGACTTGAAGCCCAATTAAGGATTAGCTGGCAAAGATAGGAGGAAGGACATTCCATTCCAGGCAGTAATAAGTCTCTACAGGGACACCCAGGCACCTTTTGTCAAGTTTTGGTTTCTGGTGTGTCAGAGTCCGTAGGAAATCTCCAAGCTTTGAGCCCTCTGCTCAAGTTGTGAAGGGGGAAAGAACCTGGAGGAGTGTGACATGGGTTGTAAAGAAAAGGAAGCCTTTTTGCACTCTGAAGTCTCCAGAATGAGAATAGGCCTTTGTTGAGTCCTGAGGAATTCATGTGGGGAGCCAAGAATGGTTCCCACCCGCGCCCCCTGTGGTGGGATCTTAGCACACTCCTTGGCAACCCACCCACCGGCTTCCCAGCTGCTGCCAAACTCCACTCCAGGAGGAAATGATCCCATTCTTTTCTGACTCACAGGACTATCAAACAATCAAGGAGACCTCTACGGCCTTGTAGGGGTGGGTAAATAAATATTTCGGGCTGTGGCATTGCAGTGATAGGAAAAGAACAAACAGCTCATGTTGTAATGCTGTGCTTAACGGGAAACAAGTCGTCAAGTGTGTGTGTTGCAAGGAAATACCCTGGGAAACAAGACGTCAAGTGGGTGTGTTGCAAGGAAATACACTGTATTGACACTGAGCCCGATTGCAAGGATGCATAATAGCAAAGTAATCCAATGAAACGTCTTCCATCACATTCAAATACTTACACAATTCTTCGTTTAGATCCAATGGCTTTAATGCCAAAACCCAGCATCTTCCCAGTTTTTACTGTGTTCTTAAAGGCACTGTGCTAAATGTGATACCTTGTCGTGTCACTTAATTGTCAAAACAACTTGATGAAGTAAGAAGTTCCTGCATTTCTTCCAGATGAGCAGACGGAGACTTTCTAGAATTTGTAGTTGGCAGATCTGGAGTAAGCCCAGATAGTCTGGTGCTATCACCCAGCTAACTAGTCCCACCCTACCTAATATTGAAAAGTTGTTCTTTTTCTCAGAAATAGCTTATGGAGTTTTAAAACTTTATTTATGGGTTGATTTGAGAAAGAGAGAGAGAGAAATACCTTGAATTGTTGTTCCACTTATTGATGCATTCATTGATTGATTCTTGTATGTGACCAGGGATGGAAACCTGCCATCTTGGCTTATCGGGACAACTAGCCAACTGAGCTACGGCCAGGGCCTATGGAGTTATTTTTAATGTTTCCCCCCCATGCTTTATTTTATTCCTTTACTTTGAAACTACTCAAAATCTAGCAGTTACTTTTAATCAATTGTGCTAAGATTTTTAGGTGAAATTTAAAGTGTGTTGGCTCTGCTTCATGAACTCTAACAATGTTGAGAATCTAATTGTCTATGCTTATTATATTTAAAATCTTCCCCCCAAGGTTTGGTAAGAAACCTTTCATGTTAACAAAGCATAATGCCTAATATATATTCCTTCTTAGTACAAATTCACTTATAGGTGAGCAGAGAGGGACAGCAAGGATGGGACTGTACTGTACAGGCTACTGGTAATAGTGCCATTGAGCATTTATGTCGAGGGAGAATACACAAATCTCAAAGAATTATAGCAGAAATCAGTTTGTGCTTCTTAATTTCTTCTGTGGTTTTAGTGGTCCATGTTTAGGGTGAATGGGTTAAGAAGAACAATGTCCTTTGCCCTAGCTAAGAGGTGTTCCAAGTGTGGTCCTTAGGACTTGTTAAAAATGAAAATTCTCACACTAACGCAGTCCTGACCTACGTAAAATGGGACTGGTCTTCCTAACATGGGGGAGAGGCAGTTACCAGGGATAATTATTCCACCTAAACACACCAGGATGAGAATTGGGTAATTGGTGAGTTTTCTTCTTCTTTGTAATTCATTCTGGACTTGTTAGACTACAGCAATAGCACCTTTATGTGTTTGTAAAAATACTGATTTGACAGCCAATTACAAGGCAATCATGCCAATTACAAGGCAATTAATCGTATTTAATGAGCCCAATAAATACTAGATCATTTTATATGTATTTTTTCTTCCCCCTTTAAATTACAGGCTAACTAATAGCTGTCTCCCCGGGGCTGTTTCTTTAGGTGAAGAATGTCTCTGCAGGCACACAAGACATGCCTCCTCCCCCGTCGGACTACGTGGACAGGGTGTACAGCCCCGTGGCCTACTCTTCCAACGGCAAAGTGAATGACAAGAGGCTGTATCCGGAATCATCCTATAAGTCAACTCCGTGAGTAGCAGCTTCTTTTGATAGAATGAGTCTAAAACATAAACACTTGCACTGTTTTGTTACTGTTTTGTACCATTTACCTTAAACAAAAAAATCCATCAGTTTGCATAAAGGCTGGAGGCTGATCTTTGCATGGTAGGTGGATGCCGAGGCTTACAGGGAAGGTAAGAAAGGTGGGACTGTGCGGCAGGGTTCTCTTCTTCTGAGCAGAAAATGCTTTCCTCCTGATGATGGAATGGGTAAAGGTGGGTTAGGTTCTTTCACGCTAGGGGTATGGTTCTCTGCCCTAGTTCTGGTTTTGAGTTTAGGTGTGGGTATAAGGGCGTTCCTGATTGATAGCAAAGCTAAGTGCATTTCTCAGTCTCTCCTTTTGCCTATAATTATTAGAACTCATTTAGAGTGCTGAATAAACACACACACAAAAACAGGAAGCTTTGGCTAGAAATAAATGATAATAATTTACTCAAGGGTCTTAGAGTTTGCAAGCTGGAAACATACCTAGGCAAAAACCTATAATGCATGTGACCAGCTATGCTTCTAAATTAATTGTAAGACCTGCATGGTTACATAGCATTCCCACATGTTGTCCATTTTCATGAAAACCAAGATATTTTCAAATTCATTTAGATCAATTTAAAAATCTTACTTATTCTTAAGTAAGCCAATACATTCATAAGTAAAACTGAAAAGGGACAAAACAGATCTCTGGTTCCTCTCCCTGGAGGCAGCTGGTATTACCAGTTTCTTTTATATCCTTCCAGAGGTTATTTTTAAGTAAAATATGCTGGCCAAATATGAATATTGGTGTGTTTTTTCTTTAAAAAATACTAGCATATTAAATGCCTTGTTAGCACTGTATCTTGGAGAATGTTCATATTGGTATACAAAGAGTTTACTGATCTATTTCATAGCTGCATAATATTCCAGCAGTAACTTCTTTTGTTATTCCCATATCGATGCACAATTGTCCCCCAATGTTTTGAGATTACAAACCGCCGCAGGGAATAAACTTGCACACTTATCACTTTGCACATATGTGAATGTATCTGGAGGAAAAATGTTAAAAGTAGAATTGCTGGACTAAAAGAAATTGCGTACTTCATTTTGATAGATGTGGTCAAACTGTATTCCATAATGGTGGTACCAGTTTATACTCCCAACCTACACCCTGGAACTTTTTTGAAGGTCTTGGCAATGCAAATGTGATGCTTAATTTTAGAACCCAGAGTGGGAGGAGGGGAATGGTGCTAAGGGATACAAACGTGACAGCGAATCCCATGGCGCAGCACCTGCTGTGTGTGGTGGTGATGGAAGAAGAGACTGGCCGCCTCCCGGGAGTAATAGGAATTGTCGAGTGTCCGGGGAGTAATAGGAATTGTGGCGGGTTCAGAGTGCGTCGGCCATGGAGGGAGAGGTGCACACTGAGTCATAGTCTGTTTTTCCGCAGGCTTCCTGAGGTGCTGAGAGCCCATGAGCAGCTCTCCTCCTTGCTATTTTGGTAGGCAGAGACGGTGTTAGAATGGGAGCATTGTGTCTGAGGTCCACGGTTCCTCAACACTAAGATTTTTTCCCCCCAAAAGCATAATGTACACTTAGTAAAGGGCACTAATCTTGAGTATACAGACTGATGAATTTTTTAAAATATATTTTTATTGATTTTTTACAGAGAGGAAGAGAGAGGGATAGAGAGTTAGAAACATCGATGAGAGAGAATCACCGATCAGCTGCCTCCTGCACCTCCCCCCACTGGGGATGTGCCCGCAACCAAGGTACATGCCCTTGTCCGGAATCAAACCCTGAATCCTTCAGTCCGCAGGCTGATGCTCTATCCACTGAGCCAAACCGGTTTCAGCCAGACTGATGAATTTTCACAGAAGAACACTGAAGTCATCACCACCACCCCAAGAGAGACATCTCTAGCACCCCAAAAGGTCCTCTGGTGTCCTCTGTCATCCCCCGCCCCCCTATTTGGATGCCTATCACCATGGAATATTTATTTAATGAAATCACAAACATACTCTCGTGTCTGGCTCCTCTTCATCTTAATGTCCTGTGCGTTAGAATTTCAGGGTAGATGGACTTAATCCTGGATTAGGTGACAGCAGAAGGTGGTTGCCTCTTGACCCTTCCTAAGAGCATTGGGAGAGCCCTGTTAGGTACACTCCCTCGTGTCCTGTCCACACCCGGGGTGAATTAACCCTAATAAACCAAGGGAGCTGAGTGTGGACACTACAGAGAACTTTCAAGGCAGGATGACACCCTAGGGCGACAAGTAAGACAGCCCGTTGTTTGGTGGTAACAAATAGGCTGATGGAGTAATCTGTTAGGACTTTGATGCAAGTCGTAGGAATTCACTGGCCCAGGGATGGGTCTGTGACAGGCATGGCATATCCAGGGTCCAGAAGATATCAGGGCTCTTGTCGCTATGTTGTCTTTATTCTCAGTACAGCTTCCCTTGGAACAGGATGGGTTATCCAAGTTCCCATCAGAAAATTCCTCCTTGGCAGGTGTGGCTCAATGGATTGGGCGTTGTACTATGCACTGAAAGGTGGCTTGTTCCACTCCCAGTTAGAGGACATGCCCAAGTTTTAGGTTTGATCCCTGTTGCAGGTGCTTGTGGGAGGCAACCAATCAGTGCTTTTCTCTCTCCCTCCCTCCTCTCCTCTCTTTCTCTCCCCCTTCCTCTCTCTCTAAAATCAATAAAAACATATTTTAAAAAAGGAAACTCCCCCCCCCCCCCCAAAAGCTTGCATATCAGTCTATTGGAAAGATTCTGATTGGCCCTAACTGGTTTGGCTCAGTGGCTAGAGCTTCAGCCTGTGGACTCAACGGTTTGATTCCAGTCAAAGGCACGTGTCTTGGTTGCAGCACATAACCAGTAGGGAGTGTTCGGGTGGAAACTGATCGATGTTTCTCTCTCATTGATGTTTCTAACTCTCTATTCCTCTCCCTTCCTCTCTGTAAAAAAAAAAAAATCAATAAAATATACTTTAAAAAATATTCTGATTGGCCTTTTAGATCATTGTCATCCCATGGTCAGGAAGATGAAGTTCTGTGATTAGCAAGGATTAGTTATCCCCCCCATTAATGGTGACCATTCTAAACACCATATATAGGGTGTCCCCCAAAAATGTATACCGTATATACTGAATAATTAGTCCTTCCAATGAGTTAAATCTGAGAAGTAAAAAAACATCAGTTGACCTATCAGAAAAAAGTGTGTGAACATTTTTTTGGGGACACCAGAAAAACAATGGATATCATTCTGACAGTTGAGACACGGGTATTAATTGTGCATTGTTTCTCCCCCATTGATACTGGGTGTCATCAGAAAACAGGACTCATGTGACTGCTTTTAGGTGAGTAATTACCTTGAACACCTGCCATGCACACAGTCCTGGGCCAGCTGCCCTGGGAATACCAAGTCCATGCTCTCGTGGAGGCGGCAGACTGACAGGGCGGAAGAAAGTGCACAATGACTACATTGAGAGTCATGGCAAGATAGCAGCAAAGGCATGTGAGGGTGTGTGAGAGAGAATAAAACAAGTGAGTAAGAAGGAACAACCCAAAAGCTACAAAAGGGGCACTTCCAGACCTGGGAGACTGAGTTGGATACTGAGGAAAGAGTACTGCCGGTTACTGTTCTGGGTTATGTGGATTTTGACCTAATCTTACTCGCATCTAAAAATGGGTTAGAAGCCCTAACCGGTTTGGCTCTGTGAATAGAGCGTCGGCCTGTCGACTGAAGGTTCCCAGGTTCGATTCCGGCCAAGGGCATGTACCTTGGTTGTGGGCACATCCCCAGTATGAGGTGTGCAAGAGGCAGCTGATTGATGTTTCTAGCTCTCTATCCTTCACCCTTCCTCTCTGTAAAAAAAATCAATAAAATATATATTTTTTTAAAAAAGTAGGTTAGAAGATTATCAAGAGTACACATATTCCCTAGTTCTTAAATTTATGTATTCTTTTACTACTAAGCAAATTGTTCTTAGCTTTTATGCTATATTAAGTATGTTACTGTTTAGTATTTTAAAGGGTGTGGGAAGAGGATAGTTGGAAAACTTCCAAGGTAAAGATTTATAATATCAATACTAATAAAAAATTAGTGGGAAGCCTGCTTTAATGTTGCCTTTTTTTTTTTTTTAATTTCTCTTGCCCTTTCGTTTCCTTCCCTCCTGGCACTCAGCCTCTCAAAGCCAATGAAAGCTAAAGGTTTTGTTTGTCATCTCCAAGCAAGAAGCATGCATGGCGCCTGGCAATTTTGGCAATGTGTCTAGGAACTTGCTTAATTATTAACTCATGGAGAAAGTCACATTTTCCCTCCCTTTAGAGGTAGCATTCACTTAGCACATAAAGCCATGCTAACCTGGATAAATTTGGAAAGAAAAAAATAAATACTACGGCCACCCCCAACTACAAACGCATACACACCTTTAGACTTTTGACAACAGAGTCAGGCAGTTCTGGGTCACCTAGGAAAGAGAGTAAACCTTGTAGATAACACTCAAGATTACAGTTATGGTAAGTTGAAAGAAATAAGCGAAAATCTTCAAACACCTTTAGTGGCTGGTTTGAACAGCAAGGCTGAGGTTGGGAAGTCTCAGGTGCTTGCCTTGCCTTCCTGCCCTTTCTCTTGCCCTTCTCCAGCTTGGCCACAGGTGAAAGGGAAGCTTTGCGTTCCTGTTACTCAGAAGTGGGATACAGTTGCCATAGCTCTGGGTATTTTATTCCATGTTAGGCTTCAGCTGTAAGCTTGTGGCTGAAACATTACGGGCAATGAAAAGCCTGATTCAATACTGAACAATTGCATCAGAAAAATAAGTGTAGCCCTAGCCTATTTGACTCAGTGGATAGAGTGTCAGCCTGGGGACTGAAGGGTTCCGGGTTTGATTCCAGCCAAGGGCACATGCCTGGGTTGTGGCCTTGATCCCCAGTAGGGGGCATGCAGCAGGCAACCAATCAATAATTCTCATCATTGATGTTTCTGTCTCCCCCTTTCTCTCTAAAATCAATAAAAATATATTTAAAAAAGAAAAGTGTAATGGTAACTCCTCTGTTCCATTCATTCCATGTGGCTTCAGGATTAACAAAGCAATTTTACAAAAGAAGTCTACATGAGCCTTTTCATCTGTTACTGTATAAAGCTTTTCAGTGTTTTTTTTTTTTTTAATTTTTAGTTTTTTTTGAGACGTCTTGAAAAGGAAATTGATGTAAAGGAGTCTAAGATTAATACAAAGGCCCATCTCTGTGAGTCAGCTTCCAAAGGTAGAGATGCGTGTGCATCCCTCTTCTCTACTCAGCATGCCACGGAACTCAAAGAGTGTGTGGAAAAGAATCATGGCCATTGTTTTCCTGACAGCCTTTCGTGGAGTAGATCCCCAGCTCAGCTCAAGTCAGGCACGCCTGTCTTCCAGACCAGCCTAAATTAAATGAAAGCTTAGATCTATTTTACTTAAAAGGTTTACAACTGGGCTCCTCTTACACAGGAACCTTAAATCTTCCCGTGTGTATTAGAGGATCTGACCTGGTGCTACCTTGAATGCAGGATGCCAGGGGGGCCCCTCAGTGTTGAGCATATGAGCTGCTCGAGTGAATGCACCTCCACGCAGATCTCCTAAGTTACCGTTGCTGCTCTTTGTGCTGACAGCGCACTGGCAAAGGCTTGTCGGGTGCCCAGCGATCACTGAGAACACATTCCTGTTTATTAGGGTGCCAGAAGTGGTGCAGGAGCTGCCAGTGACTTCCCCGGTGGATGACTTCAGGCAGCCTCATTACGGCAGCGATGGCAACTTTGAGACCCCGTCCAAAAGGGCTCCCACAAAGAGAAGGCCGGGAAAGTCGAAGAGGCCAGAGCAAGACCACTACGAGACAGACTACACGACTGGCGGCGAGTCCTGCGATGAGCTGGAGGAGGACTGGATCAGGTACACGGCGCCTCTTTTGTGGGAACCACCTGCACATTTGATATTGGCCTTGGGGAGCTGTTGCATCCTAAACTGGGGTATAATTCCTTTCTTGGCCAACCAGGACTGGAGATTGGTCTTTTATGTTTTTTTTCTTAGTACTCGTCCGTAATGAAGGTGGACCATGGAGGGGATATGTTTGGCTGTAATCATGTCTTACATGGCCCCCACACATGGCTGATAAACTTCACCAGGACTCTTACTTTTGTCAATAATGACTCAAGAAAGGCCTTTGAATAAATTACATACACGCACAGAGGAACTTCATCTTACTGATTATAAGTTTCCCAGGCTTGTGCCGTGGCTCTGCTTCGGCATTTTTAAGCTTCCACGATGGCACCAGAGATTCTTTTAAAAGTTTATCCAAAGGATTTTGGAAAACAGTTCTGTAAACAGTTGTTAGCCAATTTAGTGTTCTGGCCAAGATTGAGGTTAAGTTCCTTTTGTGTGTGTGTCAACAGTTTTGTTATAGGCCATCAATCAGCACCAGCTATACTCGTGTTTGATGTAGCCCTTTTATGCCCAAGTATTGTGAGGAATGGGACTCAAATCAGAAACATTTGTGGTGTGAATGGTGATGAATGAAAACATTGCTTCTCAAGGTGTTATGGATGTGTGGTGTGTGTGTGGTTTGAAATCCCCTACACACTAGGGTTTTTCAGACCTCATTTCCCTTCTCTCCTTAAGGGTTTTTTGGCCTAGCTCAGCCATCTACCTGTGAAATATTTGCTTAACTTATATCATAGAAGATTTAAATGAAAACTTTTAGAAATTCTAGATTCTTGTTTCCCTTTTGAGCAAATCCTTTAATTTATCCTCTCTGCAAAATGAAGGTATTAGGCTGACGTAGGTCTAAAATTTGAAATTCCATATTCCTAAGAAGATCTGTAGTTCTGTGAAACAACTCAGTGTTTCCTCCGTGGATTAGGGGTGAAGAGCATTGCCTGCATGTGTAAAGAACAGCTGCTATATTGAGAGATACAGTGATTCAGAATCTCAGGGCTTTTTTTTTTTTTTTTTTAGTTCAGTGCATTGCCAGATTATTTGTACAACGAGCATGCATTTTTATACATGGACATTTTAAAGTCTACTTTTATCATCAAAGGACTTAAAATAAGCTATTTACCCTTAGGAAAAACAAGACCAAGATAAAAAATAAACAACAACAACAAAAAAACACCAACCCCATACCCTAAACAGTCTGAAAATGGTAGAAGATAGCGGAAAACAGCCAGCTGCCAGTGGGCTACCCTGTCCCCACAGTGACCACAACACACCTCGGGTGCCATAATACCAATTCTTAGACGTTAAACATAAGTTGCATTATCGTGTTGTATGTGCAGAATAAGTGAGTTCTTAGAACTTGAACCTTAAATTTCATAAGTTACTTTTAACTTATTTCCCAAAATTATGTAGGAATAGTTTTTATTAAAAAAAATATATACATACAACATGACCAGTGATGTATAAAGTATAGTTCTTCTTAAGAGAACTAGTTGTAGCCCATCTTCCTCTCCCCATCAGCTATAAAAAGAAGAATGTCATTCTCCACATCCCATCAGCCCTATTATCTTTGAGGAAGAAACACTGGATTTTATGTCTGCTAAAGGGCACGTAGTCATTTTTTCACTCCATTTTTAGGGAATATCCACCTATCACTTCAGATCAACAAAGACAAGTCTATAAGAGAAGTTTTGACACTGGCCTGCAGGAATACAAGCGCTTACAAGCAGAACTTGATGAGATCAATAGAGAACTCTCTCGTCTGGATAAGGAATTGGACGATTACAGAGAAGAAAGCGAAGAGTACATGGTAAGTTCAAATATGATAATTATATATTACATTTACTTTACTCTGATCTATGGGGATCCAGTATCCTTTATACTGATGTTAATACAAAATTTGTTAGTAATTATAAAACTGTAATTTCATTGAAGAATAATTGAAATTGAATCTTGGATGCAAGTCTTTCCAAATTGAAGAGTATACTAATACTAATTTACTTAAGAATTACAATACATAGCAATAGTCTACATATATTATCCCTTCCTCTTTAAAAGAAATTAACTATAGCACTTTTTCTGTTTATACATCCAGTTCATTCTTTATGTAAAGAATTCAAACAATACAGAATTGCCTAAATTCCTTAATTTCCACCACCTATTTATCACCAAAATATGGGTTGTTAAATACCCCTCCCTGTAGAAGTGCACCTACACACATGCAGTCTTTGATAAGGAATCATCTATGTTTTACCTATCTCTCTCCTGCATTTTTACTCAAAAATAGTTTATAGTTTCTTTCTTCGTCGGTCAACTGGCAGAGGTAGTATTTATCTATGTAAAGTCACTCCTTCCGTTGGAATGCCCCTTTCCATAACATATAATTGACCACACTTTAAGAAATGGAGACTAATGCTCCAGCTCTCCAAAGGAGATGTACCTACACAAATTATTCTGAAGTCTTCTGCATGGGAAATGGGTCACTTCTCCCATTTTTAAAATTTATTTAGTCCGTCACTTTTCAGTAAGGGTTTGTGGATATCTTATTTATACATTTGGCTCAGTCGATAGAGCTTTGGCCTATGGACTGAAAGGTCCCTGGTTTGATTCCAGTCAAGGGCATGTACCTGAGTTAGGCACATCCCCAGTAGGAAGTGTGCAGGAGGCAGCTGATTGATGGCTCTCTCTCATTGAAGTTTCTAACTCTCTATCCCTTTCCCTTCCTCTCTGTTGAAAAAAAAAAAATCAATAAAATATATATTTTTTAAAACAACAACCTGTGGTACATTTACACAATGAAATACTATGCTGCTGTAAAAAGGAAGGATCTTGCCCTATCTGGTTTGGCTCAATGGATAACTGTGTACTGAAGGGTCCTGGGTTCGATTCTGGTCAAGGGCACATGCCTGAGTTGCAGGCTTGATCCCCAGTAATGGATGTGCAGGAGGCAGTCAATCAATAAGTCAGTCAGAGGAAGTTAAATATCACATGATCTTGCTCATTTGTGGATTATAATGAACAACATAAACTGATGAACAAAAACAGATCCAGAGACAGAGAAGCATCGATCAGATGGTTCCCTCAGAGGGAAGGTAGGGGAAGGTACAGGTCTTGTATTTCCTTAGTCAAGTTTATTCCTAGGTATCTTAATTTTTTTGGTGCAATTGTAAATGGGTTTTAGTTTCTCTTTCTGTGAGTTCATTATTGATGTATAAAAAAGCCATAGATTTCTGGGTGTTAATTTTGTATCCTACTACATTGCCAAATTCAACTATTAAGTCTAATAGTTTTTTTTGATGGAGTCTTTAGGGTTTTCTGTGTACAGTATCATGTCATCTGCGAATAATGACAATTTTACTTTTCCAATTTGGATGCTTTTTCTTTCTTCTTCTCTGATTGCTAAGGCTGGCACTTCCAGACTATATCAATCAGGAATGGTGAAAGTGGGCATCCCAGTCTTTTCCTGTTCTTTGGAGAAATGGTTTTAGCTTTTGCCCATTGAGTATGATGTCAGCTGTTTGTTTATCATATATGGTTGAGGTATGATCCCTCTCTTTCCACTTTGCTGAGAGTTTTTATCAAGAAAGGGTGTTGGATTTTGTCAAGTGCTTTTTCTGCATCAATTTTAAAAAAATATATATTTTATTGATTTTTTACAGAGAGGAAGGGAGAGAGATAGAGAGCTAGAAATGTCAATGAGAGAGAAACATCGACCAGCCGCCTCCTGCACACCCCCTACCAGGAATGTGCCCGCAACCAATGTACATGCCCTTGACTGGAATCGAACCCGGGACCTTTCAGTTCGCAGACCGACGCTCTACCACTGAGCCAAACCGGCTTCGGAGGTGTATGATCTTTCTAATGTAATCCTGGATCCGATTTGCTAGGAATTTGTTGAGGATTTTAGCATCTGTGGTCATCAATGATATTGGCCTGTAATTCTCTTTCTTTGTAGTGTCTTTATCTGGTTTTGGAATTAGGGTAATGCTGGCTTCATAGAAAGAGCTTGGAAATGTGCCTTCCTCTTGAATTTTTTGGATTAGTCTTGAATTTTTTAGTTCTTTGAATGTTTGGTAAAACTCCCCTGTAAAGCCGTCCAGACCAGAGCTTTTGTTTGCTGGAAGATTTTTTTATTACTACTTCAATTTATCGGTAGTTACCAGCCTATTCAAGTTTTTTTTTTTTTTTCTTCCCCAGTGAGTTTTGGAAGCTTGTATTTTTCTAAGAATATGTCCATTTCATTTACAATAGTTTGTCCAGTTTGTTGGAGTAGAGTTGTTTGTAGTATGTTTTTACAATCCTTTGTATTTCTGTGGGGTTAGTTGTTACTTCACCTCTTTCATTTCTGATTTTGTTTATTTGGGTCCTCTCTCTGTGTTTTTTGGTGAGCCTGGCTGCAGTTCATCACTATTGTTTATCCTTTCAAAGAGCCAGCTCTTAGTTTTATTGGTCTTTTGTTTTTTGGTCTCTTCTTTTATTGCTTTTGTCTGATGTTATAGTGTTGTCATAAACTTTCATCAATTCATTAAGCAGTATTGATCATTATTATGCCCTAATGTAGAAGTATGGAAGTTAGGTAAATAAAATCCTGTGTCAGCCCTCAAAGAATTCATATCCAAGAGAGAAACTTGATAGCTAAACAACCTAGACAATGTGACTAATGTCATAGTCATGTTATATGTAGAAAGTACTATAAATAACTGCTGAGAGAAGGAATTAGATCTGCTGAAGGCCTAAAGAGTTTAGGAGAAGCTTCACTGAGAGGTAACCATTATAGATTCATTGGGCAAAATAAGGGAAGGGTACATGAGTACAGCTTTAGGGAGAACATGATAGAAATCTGGAAGCATTAACATGATTAATTGTTTAATTTGTAATTAAAAGGAATTGCAAATGATGAATGCTAAAACTGAATAGTTAGGAGACTAGATGAGTAGAGAGGTTAATGGGGAGCTCTGACAACTTGTATAACACTATATGACATGACGGAACAGTGTTTTATAAGAGACTTCTCTGGTGTCAGCGTGGCACATGGACTGGCATCAGGAAAGATGAGAGGCAGCAAAATAGTTACCTGCCTATGTGAATGGAATGTAAGAACTAAGAAATATATCAAAAGTTTCTCTTCACCAGCTTCCTCAGGCCTCCTGCTGACCATAATAGTTTTAAGAGCTTTAAAACGTCATTATTTTAATTTCCTGTATTTTTTGCATCTTTAGCTTCAAATTATAGCATCAGTGATGATATTTTTGAACATAAAAATGCCCATTGAACATATTCTCTTGTGTTTCTCATTAATAGGCTGCTGCTGATGAATACAATAGACTGAAGCAAGTTAAGGGAGTAAGTATCCCAGTTTGTAAGATTCTCCGAGGAATAATTTTTCTGTTGCATGTTTTTCCTTTAACCTTTAGAATACCTTGTCACGCATGTACTGATTATAGACAGAAAGCCCAATAGTTACCACATAAACTATAACTGAGAAGTTGGAACCTCAGTTTAAGTTGTTTGGATCTATCACCAATACTGATTTTTAAAAACTTTTTTAAAGGTTGAAGTATATATACATACAAGTACACATCATAAATGTACAAGTTGGTAAATTTTCACAAAGCAACCTTTGTACCTGGCATTCAGATCAAGAAATTTCCTTGTAACTCTGAGAATGCCCTTCTGTACTTTCTTACAATTTTTGCTCTCTCCAGAGGTAACCACCATTCTCACCTCTAACATCACAGATTAATATTGCCTGTTTTGAACTTCATATAAATGGAACTATTAAAAAAATGGAACCATGTATGTATGATTTCTCTCTAAAAAACTATTGATTGACTCAGAGAGAGAGAGAGAGAGAGAGAGAGAGAGAGAGAGAGAGAGAGAGAGAGAGAGAAACATTTATTTATTTTTCCATTTATTTATGCATTCATTGGTTGCTTTTTGTATGTGCCCTGACCCAGGACTGAATCCGCAACCTTGACATACAGGGATGATGCTCTAACTCAGTGGTTGGCAAACTGTGGCTCAAGAGCCACATGTGGCTCTTTGGCCCCTTGAGTGTGGCTCTTCCACAAAATACCACAGCCTTGGTGAGTCTATTTTGAAGAATTGGCATTAGAAGAAGTTTAAGTTTAAAAAATTTGGCTCTCAAAAGAAATTTCAATCGTTGTACTGTTGATATTTGGCTCTGTTGACTAATGAGTTTGCCGACCACTGGTCTAGTGGTAAATACCTGAAATTCTACCTCAGACAAAGCACTTCTCATGAAGCTAAAACAAGTAGCTCTGGGTGCAAAAATAAGATCATATTTTTAATTGGCTGTGAGGATCAGTTGTGTCTATGATGGGAGAACTTCTGTGCTGGAGACACCCTTGTGAGACAAGCCTTGCTTCAGTGGGGCTTTGGTGCTCACTGAGTCTGCCCCCTGAGTGTGTCCCTTATGGATCTGAGGAGTTGTAATCTTATGGTCCTACTCTGATCCCTGGGTACACTGGCCCTTGGATCTCCAAGGAGGTGCTAATTTAGCCTCTGCCTGAGGCGACCCAGCAGGAGCTATAGAGAGAACTGCAGATTCCTTTTCTTTGTTTGGGGTTTGGAGGTGCCCAGATGAGGCCCAGCTGTGAAGCAATGCAAGCTGCTATGGATGTCCTTGGGCCTTCTTTTGAAATGTTCTGGGTCTCTCTGATCTAGCTGCAGTTTGTAAGATAATTTTAGATTGCAAAGGGCCAGGCCATTCATATACAAAAGCCTCTGCACACAGCTTGGGTGGAGTGGGGTCTCAGGGAATTAACAGGGCAGAGCAGACAGCTATGGCTGATCCTCAGTCCTGCCCAAAGAGGTCCCCAGGTTTTCAGGTCCCACGGTAATTGGTAATTGCTGCAAGCACCTCTGAGAGGAAGCTGTCCTTGAGTTCTATCTGATGCCAGACAGTCCAATTTCTCCCCATATGAGTCTGGATCCCCAGAGTCTTGGCTGGAACTGGAGTTCAGAGGAGTCAGGAGTTTGTGTCTCCCTCCTGACTAAAAAAGACAACAGCATCCTCAGTTGCCAGCCCTTTCCACGCGCATGCCTCCGTACCTCTGCACTTTATTTCCGCAGCTCCTCTGAGTCTCCTCTATGCTTTTCTCTTCCCTTCTAGTTGTAGAATTTCCACTCAGCCAGTCTTTCTGTGGTTCTGGATGATGTCTGTTTTGTCTTTTAGTTGTAGTTTTGAAGTGGTTGTGTGAGGCAGCAATTTCAGGTGTTTACTTATGCTGCCATATTGGTTTTTCCCAGTTTTGGGTTGTGGTGGGTTTTTTTTGTGTTTTTTTTTTGGTCACTTTACAAATTGTTAGAAATTCAAGTATCATTTTAAAAACTCAGGTTAGAAGATGTTGTTCAGCAAAGAGCATCAACTGCCTCTCTGGTTTGAGATAGTGCCCGGTGCCTTATGTAACATGTTACATCATTTAACACTCCCAACAATTCTGGTGACTAATAGTCCCCTTTTTTTAGTTGACCTTGCCTTCCCAGCAGCTACACATAACTCATTTTTATTTTGTTAAATTTACCTGGTTCATATTTTTTTTCCTTTTCAGTCTGCAGATTACAAAAATAAGAGGAATTATTGCAAGCAGTTGAAGAGCAAGTTGTCCCACATCAAGAAGATGGTTGGAGATTATGACAGAGGGAAAACAGAAAGCAAATTCCAGATTGTTTGAGTGATTGAGAAGTGTCTGACATCTCTGCTGTGGTGCCAGCATGCAAAATGACTTTGGACTCTAACCAGAGAAGCCAAACCTTTGTGGTCATGACAAAGTTTTGGTAGCTTTAATATCATTGGTATTGAAGCATTTTATAAATAGCTTTTGATAATCAACTGGACTGAACACTCCAATTAAGGATTTAATGCTGTCAACATTGGTTCTGATATTAAGAACTGTTGTTTGAAGTTTTTAAACCTTTCAGGAAGGTTGCTCTGTGTACTGTGCCGTGAACTTTCACGCCCTAGGCAGTCATGTCTTAGTGCCTCATTAGTTCCAATAGGTAATCTCATTGAATCCTCCCAGAATCCTCCCTTCACATAACTGTTATTTATAATCATTCCTTTTCATATAAGGAAACTGGGTCCCTGCAATGAAGTGAAACCACTTGTTTCCTAGCTTGCAGTTTTGGTTAAGTCTGTTTTATGACTCCATTAATAAAGTCCCTAACCGTTCATATCTACTGATACTACATTCTACCAACTTCCCTATTGATTTTTTTTCTTCTGTGTGTAAATGGTTAAAAGAACTTTTTATTGTTTTATGTTATCTTGGTAATAAAGACCATATAAAAGTAACAACTTGTGAAATTTAAAGATTGTAAATATATATTTACTTTTTAAAAATCAAAATTTAAAACCACTGGCTAGAATTTTATTGTGTATATTTTAAAATACTTTTTAATCTTTTATGGTTTACATGCTTTTTTTTTTTTAAAACCATCTAGGCGCTTTCATTATATCAGAGTACCTGATTACATTTATAATTCAGTTGTGACTTGAAATGCATCTTACAGGAATTTTCAAGTTCTGTACATATTTTATAAGATATTAAACCAGGTGTTTTCTTTCTATAATAGACCTGTTTGATGTCATTAGTGCTGTTAATTTTAAGCTTTGCTAAACTACACTCAGCAATTATATCTGTTATTGTTTTAAACTCCTTTGGGTGTTATGCTGGTTGCTTGTTTCCCAATCTGTTAATAAGGAAAGGAAGCCAATTCATTTGCTCTAAAATCTCAGCACTTCCTTTTCATTCAGATTTTTATTAGTAAAGTAAAACTAGCTGATAATACTGGGCATGTCACTAGCCAAGTTGATTGTGATTATCCCTCCAATTTAGAACTATGTTTTTGTGGAAATATTTTGAATCTGTAAGTTGATCATCAGTCTGCAATTCAAACATTCAAGTATGTCAATATACCTATAGAGATTTATTTAAAATTTTTTAATATTGACATTATTGCAGAGTCCCCCTCCCCACCCTTTGCCCGCCTCTGCTCTCTCTGGCCTCCTTCTTCCTTGGCCTTTACCAAATTACTGTCCATGTCCATGGGGTATGCATATATGAGATTTTTAAAGGAGTTTATTTGAGCCAAATGTTTTGACAATATGTCAGGAAGCAAGATCTCAAATGCTCCAAGAATTATACTTTTGCAGTTTCTTTTGTGTATTTGGAAATAAGGAAGATTACATGAAGATTGGAGAAAGCAAGATAGGGATTGTATTACAAGAAAAATGATGTGTTCTCTTGAGGGTGGTTATGCCTTTGAGGAGTCTGAAAAAGAGGAATAATCTGACATTTTAAAGGTTTATGAACCTAGAAGCACAAGAACAATGGACAGGGCTTACGTAAGGCAAAGGTAAACCTTTTACTGAAGAAGCTATATGCCTGGGGTGTGACTACCACCATAATCAGCACAGGAATTTATGATCAGCCTTGGACTTTTCAGATTTATTACAGAGCCCCATTTTCATCAAGTATGTCCTTTTTTATATACTAGTCTGAATAATTTTCCAAAGATAAACTTTTTTATTTATTTATTATTGATTTTTAGAGAGAGAGAACCATCAACTCGTTGCTCCGTCCATTCATGCACTTATTGGTTGCTTCTTGTTTGTGCCCTGACCAGGGTCAAACCTACAACCTTTACATATCGGGACAACGCTCTCACCAACTGTCTTGCCTGCCAGGGCCCAAAGATAAACTTTTAAGTAATGTTTCCATTATAACACCAATTCATTTGTTCAAATTGAAGAAATTCTTAATTTCCCAGGTGCTTTACCTACTTTTGAATAAAGATAATAGTCTATGCTTTTCATACCTTTTGGATTCACATCAAATGGTAAGGACTCTCTTGAGCCACTTAACTGATTTCTATGTGTGCTAAAATCTCAACTTTGTGCTTGGAAGTCAATGTAATCATTAGTTCACGAAGTCAAGCTTGCCAGTGTTTTTACAAAACCAATTCAGCTGAATACAGAAAATCAAATAGCCTAAGTTTGCATTGTAAAATGTGCCATAAAATTGGACTTTAAAATACAAAAACAAAATCATTTTTCAAATGTGGTACTTATTAAAGACCACTTCATGAGCCAGGATTAGAGCGTTTCTGATGGGATTGACATTAACTAGTTGCATATAACTTTGAAAAGGCACTCAAGCAGTTCCTAGTCTTAAAAGGAAGAGGTTTAGATTTGATTTCTGAGGTCTCTTTCATCTCTGTGATTCTTATGTCTGCATTCTAATATATATATATATATATATATATATATATATATATATATATATATGTATATATGTGTGTGTGAATTTGTTCAAGGTTTTGTTGTGAAAGCATATGGTCTATTTGATAAAGGTTCACTGCATAAGATTTCCTTACATGTGTGTTTTGTATTAAAAGTAGATGAGATCAACATTTTTATTTCTTTATTTTGAAAAATTTAAATATAGGAAACTATAAACATTACCTGTACCCATCACCCAGAAATAAAAGGTGTTAGTTTTGTCACTTATGCTTTGTATTTTTTGAAATAAATTTAACTCTTAGTATTTATAGTAAAAGTTACATTCTATATACGCGCATACATACACAGAATATTTAATTTCTTACAACAGTTCCATCGATTTGCAACCATTTCTCATTTTACTATAAAGTAATGATCTGATGGATTCATTGGTCCATTGCCACATTCTATCAAGTGACTAAACTATAAATCTTTTAAAAATATATATATATTTTATTGATTTTTTACAGAGAGGAAGAGAGGGATAGAGAGTTAGAAACATCAATAAGAGAAACATCCATCAGCTGCCTCTTGCACACCCTCCACTGGGGATGTGCCTGCAACCAGGGTACATGCCCTTGTTGGAATTGAACCCAGGACCTTTCAGTCTGCAGGCCAATGCTCTATCCACTGAGCCAAATGGGTTTTGGCTAAACTAGGAATCTTTGATTATGAGGTTCTACTCCCACTCTAGCTTGATTTTTTAAATAAATTAATAGGTTGGATAAGGTGGAGTTGCTCTGTCCTTTTTAATTTTCAGTGCATTTTAAATACTTATAATAATGTGAAATATTTTCATATAAATATCTGAGTTTCTATAACTACCTGAATGAGGGGTATGCATGTATTAAAGGGTCAGGGTAGAATTCTTTAGTCATGGTTGCAGGGATCTTAGATTCAGTTGGCTGGGGAGGGGATAGGGGAGTTCCCTAACATAAACACACTCGTCATTTTTCAGCCTTGGGATTGGAAGTATCCCAAGTGGACATTTTAAAGGCTCAGCCATAGAAATAAGAATTCAAACTCAATCTCCTGGAAGTTCATGGTTCTGCTTACACTCACCATATAACTCTTGTATGAAAGCACAAATAAATTAGATGGAAGATGATCTCACCTCTCCTCCTGTGTTTCATATTGTTAACATTTCTTCTAAAGGGACTAGTTTTCATGAATGAAATGGCCAAGTATCTTGTGTAGGTTTTAGGAAACACTGTGTTAAAATTAATGTCACTTTGGAGTTAGAAAAAGAACATGCATACAGAACCAGGGTGGGGGGGGGGGGGAGGAGGGAGTCATGCGGGCACACGTGCTGTGGAAGGGTGTTCCAAAAACATCTTTAGTTGCTGCCAAAGAACCTGCTTGCTCTTTCCTGCAGGTGGTCTTGCTTTGCCCTCCAGCAATTACTTGCTGTTTGTGTGTGACCTTGGGCAAATTACTTCCTGGGTCTCGCTTTGCTTATTTGAAAGATATCTGTACCCAATCTAGTTAGATGAAGGTAGTTAATGTGTAATTTAGACCAGTCCTTGTCAGAAAGTAAATAATAAGTATGGCCAGTTACATCTATTCCCAAAGCCGGAAGGTGAAACTTTTTAAAAGCAAATTGTGTCTTACAAGTTTATGTATTATCCCAACCCCCTATGTACTTCATCGGTGTTGGGTGCAGGTTAAATTCTGGATTGTAGAATTGTAGCATTAGGCTTGGCACTGTGACTTCATAAATGATGAACAAATGCTTAAAAGAAGAGAGTTTACATATCAAGGTAAGGATTATTAGGTACTATTATAAGAAATTCTGGAGGTTTTTAATGAGTCTCTTGAATGATTTAAGTTCCATCTAAAGGTACTGGAGTGGGCAGGCTCACCTCTCCCAGTCTTTGAGGTTGCATACTTTGAATATCGGCCTGATTCCACTGGCTGAGCTGTTCAGGAATTTTCTAACTGTGGATGGTGCCCAACCACTAACGGGCAAAGAACAAATTGTTCCATTCTTTATAGTTGCCTCTTAGTTTTATACGGTGAAACATTTGGCTAGGTGAGATCATTTATTATACTACTTTGTACAAGATAAGAATATTGTCTCATAATTATGGCAACGATTATGGATTTATGCTTATTTCTGTTAGCTTTGCTTTAGTACCATTCCTACTTGAGTCACAGTCTAAAACTAAAATCTGCACAGAGGAGAGTAACTTTATACTTGCTAAAAGTCTGAATGATTCAGGCTTCTCTCCACAAATATGCTTTAATTTAATTATTGGAGAGCCCTCTGTTCTTTCCCTGGTTTTACATTAAAAAAGTTTCTAGGGTGGTAAACCTAAGTGAGAAACTTGGAGCTTGGGATTGTGGCTGTTATGCATTCATTGTGTGGTAATGCATTCCATCTTGGAATAGGATGGTCCATCAGAATGGAAGGAAAGAAAAAAAGAAGAAAGCACGGAGTTTATAGAAAGAAGGAAGGGGGCCAAAACCGGTTTGGCTCAGTGACAGAGCACCCATCTGTGGACTGAAAGGTCCCAGGTTAGATTCCGGTCAAGGTCATGTACATTGGTTTCGGGCATGTCCCCAGTAGGGGGTGTGCAAGAGGCAGCTGGTCGATGTTTCTTTTTCTCTCATCGATGTTTCTATTATAGCTCTCTCCTCCTCTGTAAAAAATCAATGAAATATATATATATATAAAAAAAAAAAAAAAAAGAAGGAAGGGGGTTTAAGAAAAATGGAAGGAGGGAAAGAAAAAAATTGTGGTGTTTGTGTATGAGTCCTGTACAGGAGTCAAAGATGTGAGGGAGGCAAAGATGGAAGGTGACTGGCACTGTGGGAAAAATCATCAATGCTAATTTCCCCTCGCCCTTTTAAAGACAATAAGACCTCATCTTCTGGTTATGTTGCCACTATGTGATGTATAAAACCTATAGAGTAGGTGGAGGTATCCCCATTTTATAGGTGACTTGCTTGAGGTCACCCAGCTAGTCAGGCAGAGCCTGATATTAAAGCCAGGTCTGTTCATTCCACTACTATGCAGGATGGCTTCTGTTTGAGTTTGTTTTTGAGTGTGTAGAACGCATGGGGAAATAATTTTGGTGACAAAGGGGAAGCAAAGCAGCTCCAGACCCTATAGTTCCTTTCTGCTCCTCCTCTCCTGGGTCTAACCTTCTAAAAAAAATATTCTGGGGTTGCTTTGCTTCTCCATTACTCGAGCGTGGGAAATAGTAGTATTTAATTCCATATATACTAGCAGGCATCTCAAACAACTTTTCCAAAACAACTGACCTTACCCATCCCTTACCCTCTCAGTAATTGCAACTCCAACCTTTCAGTTGCTCAACTAAAAGAGTTTGGAATCACTGGTTCCTTGTTCATAACGCACCCAATCTAAGGACAATATTGTGAATCCACCCGCTTCTCACTCCCTGCACTGCCCTACTACGCTAGTTCAAGCCATCCTCCTCCCCCAGAAGTTCTCCGGATGGTCTCAGCCACCGACCTCTCCGATTTCCGTGGCCACCGTTCACCCCTCAAACATGCCACTGTTCTTCCACCTTTGCACTCGCCCCTCTCTTTACCTGCAGAGATCTTCCCTAAGAGCAGCATGGTTTACCTCCCTCTCTCATTCTGATCATGGCCCAACTGTTCAGGTGTGAATTCCTCTGACCACGCCATTTAATACGCCCACCCATTCCTCCTTTCAGGCTTCACTGCACTCCCTGCCACTATCACCACTTGATAGGGTGTGTTTTTCTTGACCACCGTCTCCATAAAAGGAAACCCGTGAAGCCAAGGATATCTGTCCGTTTTTCACTGCTGCCTTCTCAGTGGTGAGCACTGTAATCAGGCCCAGAGTTAGTGGTGTCACATTTGTGTGTAAATATTTTTAGTCTTTCTTGGGGATGGGAAAAAGTCCCATGAGGATTTTGTAAAGTATGTTCAATAAAACATTCGTCACGTGCACACCGGGAGCAGCGGAGGCCTCCCAGAAAACCTGCACAGTCAGGTCCCGGGTTAGCTGCTGCCGTTCTCACCATGCCAACCCTTAGAAATAAAACCAAGTCATGCTCCTCAGTTCCTGGATCGACAGCTATCGGGACTCCAACCTTGCAAGAGGGGAGGATGCTTTTGTCGCCTCTTCGTTAGCTGGAAGCGGGGACAGTAGGTCGCTCCCCGCACTCAAAATCAGCTGGGGGAAGCCGCGGCCCCGGAACGTCAGGTTCCCACCACCTGCACTTGAAGCGGCCGGAACCTTTCTGCCACGCCTCCGCGTGCGTGCGGCGGAAGGACTTCGGAGTTGCCCTTAGAGCGGATCGGGCGGAGCTTCCGGGCAGAGCGGCTTCCGGGCAGAGCAGCGTCGGGCGGGACCGGTGAGTCCACGGGTGGAGGCGGCCCGCGCTGATCGGGGGTGTGGGGCCGGCTGCCTGGGGAGGCCGGCGGCGAGGAGGGCCTGCACTCCCCGGGCTGGAGGCCGAGTGCGCTGAGCGGCGCCCTAGGGAATGAGGATGTGCGGGAGTGTGAGGGAGAGGAGGGCAGTTCTGGGTGGGAGCTGCGGGGAAACCTCTGGGGGAGTGTCCCCACTGCAGAGCGCGAGTTTTGGAAATGGTGATCCTGGGTTCGAGTTTGAGACCTGCCTCCAGCCGTGAGGCCTCGAGAGAGAGAGTTACGAACCACTGATCCTCGAGTTGCACACCTGAAACACAGGACAGGGATCTCCCGTGCCTGTCTCTCACCGCCGGCTAGGATCAGGTCTGACACAAGCTTCACGAGTTGGGTGTTTGATGCAGACCTTCGATTGTCTGAGCTCCTGGGACAGGAGGCACACCCACAGGCTTAACGCTGGGCTTTCCTGGGCTTGGATTCCCAGGAAACAGATTAGTGATATTTTAAGAAGATGGAATATGAGGAAGTTAGTTACAAGAGTTGGATGACATAGGGGTCCCCAAGCACATTTTTCTCCGGGATGCGTTGTAAGCATCCAACTTCCCTTCGAACGTCTGTAGTGATGGGGAGCTTCCCACCTGTATCCTATGCCCTGCAGTGATGGGGAGCTTCCCACCTGTATCCTATGCCCGAAGTTTCCCGTCCCAGGCAGCTCGAATTAAAACAAACCTACTTGTATGCAGCGAGCCAGAAGTGTCCCCACTTGCAGTTTCAACTCACTTTGTTTCTGAACTTTCAGAAAATTCAGTATGAAATTAAAAGTAAAATACATTTTGATGCGATGGGTGCCAGTAGCCACTTTTCAAAGGATTTGAGTTTAAAAACATTGAAAACACTTGCTTGGAGAATCAAAATGTTCAATTTATTCACTGTAATGTTATGTTATTACATTAAACCTACAAGACCATCAACGTTGCTGTCAAAAAATTACAGAAGTTAGAATTAAATCGTTTCTCTTTACTTCAAGATGTTAAAGTGGATCACCAGATTTCCTGAAACAAAAGAATCTCTTTTAGTGCCATAGAGTGGTTAATTCAGTGAGAGACTCCGAGCTTTAGTAAATAACACCTAATTATTATAGGTGCCATAGAAAACAGTGATGCCATAAAAACACTGTACAACTTGTCAATAGATTTTAATTCCAGAAGTCCATTTATAGGTTAGTTCTTCAAATTCTTAAATACCTGTTTTTGAAACAATAATATAAAAGGAAGGTAAGGTCTTGGTTATGGTCCTCATCATAAAAATCTATCTTTGGCTCTGCCAGCGATGGGATTTGTTTTGTCCTCAATGTCCTGGCACTTAGGATTCCTTCGAGTCTTCATTTATGCAGAAAGGAGGCTGAGAATGAGTGTGGGGTAGGGAGGGTGGAGGTGTAGATGAGGTGGGATGTTTATTACTTGGTTATGCTTAATAGGTTCCCCCTACTACCTGTTTTGTCCTTGATTTATTAAAGAAATGAAGGTTTGTACTGAAAATACAGAAATGAATAAAGAAGCAAAACAACCATCCTTCATCCAGTCATACAGATGAAACCTATTTATTGAATTACTATTTTTTTTCCCTTTTAATAGTTGAGATCTGTGTAGGTTTAATAGTGTTTCATTTTTTGAATTATGAGCCATAAGTATTTATCATTTATAAATAATAAACTTCATATAAACACCTGATTATGAAACAATTCACATGTACACAAAGATGAAGGGGTAGTATAATAAATCACCATATCCATCACTCAGCTATAGTAATAATCATTAATTGTAGCTAATCTTACTTTATCTACACCGTACCCACTTCTCATAATCCATGGTACAGTCCTATGACACATCTATAATGCATATTTGTTTTTTAAAAATTATAAAAGATACTTTTATTGATGCCAAATTTGTGTGTAAATATTTTTAGTATTTCTTGGGGATGGGAAAAAGTTCCATGAGGATTTTGTAAAGTATTTTCACCCAACAACAAGTATTGAATAAATTTCAAAGAATATAAGATGAACTTGCATTCTGATTTTTTTTTACTTTGTATGTTTACTTCCCCCTCTTTACTTTTCAGATTTAATTGTATAAAAAATGTAATTCCTAAAAATATTTTTAGGAAATTTATAATGTAATGATTTTTATAGGATATTGAATAATATAATACATTTAAGAAAAAATGGATGAAGAACCTGAAAAAACTAAGCGATGGGAAGGAGGCTATGAAAGAACATGGTGAGTAGAGCATTATTACAATGTCTCTTTTCTCTTTTATACATTAAAAAATATTTTTAAATTGATTTTTAGAGAGAGAGGAAGGGAGAGGAATAAAGATATAGAAACAGAGAGGAAGTCATTGATGGCTGCCTCCTACATGGCCCTAACTGGAATTGAGCCCACAACCCGGGCATGTGCCTTGACTGGGAATGGAACTGGCAACCTCTTAGTTCCTGGGTTGACTCTCAACTGCTGAGCCACACCAGCTAGGCATCTTTTAGACATTTTTTTTTACAACTTAATTAAAGTATATTTTACAAATGTTAAAATTGAGCTGTTTCCAGTGTGTAACTGAGTGATTTTTAGAAAATTGTGCATTCACCACCACCAGTTTTAGAACATTAAAAATTTTTTAGAGAGAGAGACATCAGTTTGTTGCTCCACTCATTTATGCATTCATTAGTTGTTTCTTTTATATGCCTGACCGGAGATCGAATGCAACCTAGTTATATTGGGATAATGCTCCAACCAACTGAGCTATCTGTCAGATCCTAGAACATTTTTTACCACCCCAGTAAGATCCCTTCTGCCCACTTACAGTTAATTCAGTTTATACCTCTAGCCCTAGCCAACCACTAATCTACATTCTGTCTCTATAGATTTGCCCTTTCTGGACATGACATGTAAATGTAATAATAAAATATGTGGTCATTTGTGTCTGGCTTCCATTCACTTAACATACTGTTTTTCCTGTTAGGCCAGTAGTTCAGGTGGTTAGAGTGTTAGCCTGATATGCTAGGGTTGCAGGTTTTTTTGTTATTGTTTGTTTTTGTTAATTCGAGGATATTTTTTCCCACTGTTTTTTTTTTTTTTTTAGAGAGAGAGAGAGAGAGAGAGAGAGAGAGAGAGAGAGAGAGAGAGAACATTGATGTATGAGAGATACATCAATTGATTGCCTCCTGCACATGCCCTGACCAGGGCCTGGGATTGATCCTGCAACCCAGGTACGTGCCCTTCCTTGACAGGGAATGCAACCCTTGGCCCTTCAGTGTACAGGCCAATGCTCTAACCACTGAATACACCGGCCAGGCAAGGATGTAGGTTTGTTTTTGGGTTGGCACAAACAGGAAGCAACCAATGAATGCATAAATATGTGGAACAACAAATAAATGTTTCCCTCTTCCTTCTTCCCTCTCATCATCCTTTCCTTCCTCCCTTCCCTATTTTTCTCCTTCCCTCCTTCCCTTTCTTCCCTTCTATCTCTAAAATCAATTTAAAAAAAAAATGCTATTTTCAAGGTTTATTCATGTAGCATATATCAATAACATTCTTTTTTATTGGAGAATAGTATTCTATTGTTATACCATATTTTTATTCATCTACTCATCAGTCAGTAGACATTTAGATTGTTTACAGTTTTTGGCTGTTATGAATAATGCACCAGTGAACATTTACATACAGATCTTTATATGGACATATGTTTTCATTTCTGTTGGGTTAATAAATTTTTAGCTTATCTTTTTAAACAAGTAATTACTGCTTATAGGGAGATTCTTAAAGAAGATGAGTCAGGATCACTTAAAGCTACAATAGAAGACATTCTCTTCAAAGCAAAGAGAAAAAGGTATGTAAACTTTTTTGTAGGTATGTTACAAAAGCTAAAATATATTTCTTTAAGCTTTTCTGTGCACCTATATCCACTCCTCAGTACTTAATGTCACCAATGTTTCCAGAAATCTGACCTGTAACAAGAACAGGGGGAAGGAACCAGCAACCTAGTACCTCTGCAGGGAAACGGGTCTTTAGAGACTATCCAGAATGCCTATAATTATGTGGCTTTCATAAATTAATAATTTACTAAATAAATGCAGGTTAGTTGAAGCATTGTGTTGATTTTGGGGGGCAGTATATGGTAGTCCATTAAAATGTTTGCATAATTTTAACAGAGTATATGAGCACCATGGACAAGTTCGACTTGGAATGGTATGTTATTTTTTCTTTTACTGGTATAGAACTATTTTGGGGTTAAGAAGCATTCTGGCTTGATAGAATAAACAAACCTTTTAAAACAACATATTAAGAAAATATATATATAGACTATGGAGTACTAAATGCCATTTTTACTTCTTGGTCAAAAAGTCTTTGAATACTGTCCTTCTTTGTAATTTCTTTTGTAGATGCGCCATCTTTATGTGGTCGTGGATGGATCAAGAACAATGGAAGACCAAGATTTAAAGCCGAATAGACTGACGTGTACTTTAAAGGTAAAAGAAAATTTTTTACATAAATATTTTTTTCTTTTTCTTTTGGGTTAATACAAACTATAACTATGTAGAAGTGCTACCAGATCATTTAGAAAATGATACCTAAAATAGCTATTATAGTAGTCCCCCCCTTATCCTCAGTTCAGTTACCACGGTCAATCACAATCTTAAAATATTAATTAAAAAACTCCAGAGAAAAAAGCTCAGACATTTTATTTACTTAATTGTTATCCAAGGATATATTTGTATTGATTTTAGAGAGAAAGGAAGGGAGGGAAAGAGAGAAAGACATCGATGTGAGAGAGAAACAGCAGTCGGTTGTTAACCGTATGTGTGCGCCCCAGCCAGGGATTGAACCTGTTACCTTTATGGAGTTTGGGACAATACTCTAACTGAGTCACTGGCCAGAGCTAAATTTTATCATTTTTTTACTTAATATTTTTACTAATGAACATTTTTTGAAAATTTAATAACTTAAAAATCATGCTTGATAAATAGGCTTCCCAAAATATGTTCCCTGTGGTTGTTATTTTGCTCTTACCTGGAATTTCCTTTTGTTTTATTTGAACAGTTGTTGGAATACTTCGTAGAGGAATATTTTGATCAAAATCCTATTAGTCAGGTATGTAAATAAGTGATGGAATTCAGAATTAGATTCCTGATATTACTACCAAATAGAATTTATTTTTAAAACATTTTAGAACATCTGTTCTATGAATTATTAAGTGATTCAGACTGTGTACCAGTTTTTAGTATATTTGTCAATGAAAGACAAGACAGCTCTAAAAGTTAAATTATGTACAGTGAACTAATAGGTAAAGTTATGTCTAAAGCATCATGAAAAAAGGTTTCACACATTTTACTTACTCCTTTTGTAATTACTAATTTATGTTAATGTACATTCTTACCAAAAAGTAGTTTATTAAATTAATAATCCCTTTTATTTTTATTTTTAGATTGGAATTATTGTGACAAAGAGTAAAAGAGCTGAAAAATTGACAGAACTCTCAGGTATGCATAAAATTACCTTTACAGGACTCAAGGATTGGCTTTATTTACTCAGCCTTGTAACCCTATTCAAAAGGTTGCCTAGTAAGTAAAATTAGACCTTCTGTATGCTCTCTATTAAATTTGGTATCAAAGATGAACTGTTTGTGTGTGTGTGTATGTGTGTGTATCTTTATTTTTTTAATTCTTACCTAAGGATATGGTTTTATTTATTTATTTATTTATTAAATATATTTTATTGATTTTATACAGAGAGGAAGGGAGAGAGAGAGAGAGTCATCGATCAGCTGCCTCTTGCACACCCCCCACTGGGGATATGCCCGCAACCAAGGTACATGCCCTTGACCGGAATCGAACCCGGGACCTTTCAGTCCCCAAGCCTACGCTCTATCCATTGAGCCAAACCGGTCCCGGCAGGATATGGTTTTTTTAAATTGGTTTGAGAGAGAGAGAAAAAGAGAGACATTATTGGTTGTTTCCTCATCAGAGATTGAACGCACAACCTGGGTATGTTCCAGGGCTAAGATGAACTGTTTTTATTTATTTATTTAAAGCATATTTTTATTGATTTCAGAGAGGAAGGAAGAGGAAAAGAGAGATAGAAACATCAATGATGAGAGAGAATCATTAACCAATAGCCTCCTGCACGCCCCACACTGGGGATCGAACCCGCAACACAGGCATGTACCCTGACCAGGAATCAAACCATCATAGGTCAGTGCTCAACCACTGAGCCACATTGGCCATGCGGTGAGTTTTGATTATCAATATTTAATATGAAGACTGTTAAAATAGGAGAAAATGTCCGAAGAATACTCTATTCAGTGTTTCCCATAGTGTGGTACGTGTACCCCCAGGGGTACGGGAAGAGTTTGGTGGGGGTACGGGTTGCACCGGAGTTTGTTGGGGATATGCACTGCACTGTGCTTAGCTGCCCCTAATTCTGCGTTCTCATTAGTGCGAGGGTTACTCAGCATTACATAAATTATAGAAGGGGTACACATATGTCAAAAGTTTGGGAAACACTGCTTGAATCTCAGATTTCATCATTTGTGAGATAGCATCAAGAAGAAAACACCGCCTAGCTGGAGTGACTCCATTGTTTGAGTGTCGTCCTCTGCACTGAAAGGTTGCCAGTTCAATTCCTGGTCAGGGCATATACCTGGATCGTGGATTTGATCTCCAGTAAGGGCATGTGAGGAAGGCAACTAATTGATGTTTCTCTCTAACATCAATATTTCCCTCTTTCTCGCTCCTTTCTTCTCTCTAAGCATGTCCTCTGGTGAGGATTTAAACAAAAAAGGAAACACTAGCAATAAAATTTTGACACAAGGTCATTGACTTGTTCATATCAGCTTCTTTATGATTTAATGTGTTTGTCAGCCATTCTAAAGAATTGGGCAATTTGTCCTCCCTTTTATTTGTATTACTTGGCTGTAGGAACTTAACTCTTATTTATATCAATTAGTAAAGTTGGTCTTGTTTTACATTGTTTTTGTTTAAAGTTGTAGAACCTATCAACGACATTAGTGTGGACTTACTGTATTTTTTTTAGTGTGAAGTGAGACTATATAACAAACATCTCTCATAAATGCAAGTTGCTAAAAACATAAATTGAAAAGATTCTGTTCTTTAACATAAATATGTAAATTTTGGGAGAGACATAAATTCCATGTGTAAATAGAAATTTATTAAAAGTAAATTAATAGGGAATACACTTTGTTAAGTATATGGTTGTCTTAACAACTATGCTGTACGCCTGAAACTAATGCAAAATAATATTGAATGTAATCCGTAACTAAAATAAATAAAATTAAAAATAAATAAAAGTAAATTATTCCATTTCTATTTTAGGAAACCCTAGAAAACACATAACGTCTTTGAAGAAAGCTGTAGATATGACCTGCCATGGAGAGCCATCTCTTTATAACTCCTTAGACATGGCTATGCAAACTCTAAAGTTAGTGTTTTATATTTATTACATATTTGACCTCAAAGTGTTTTGGAAAAGTTGTTGAAAAGATAATATGTTAATATGTATCTCTATAAACCCTGCTATAATGAAATCATTAAGAGAAATATGTAATGTCATTTATGATGTTTAGTGTGGTGTTTATTTTATGTTTTAATTGGTAAAGTTTTAGAAAAATATAATTAATATTGTAGCAACATTAGCATTACAAAAGAAATGTTGAATTATTTTATTGAAAATTAATTGTATATGGAATTCAATGTGGTGTAATAATTTGAGTTTGTTGTATATTTATTGCCTTTTATTAGCTTACTAGAGGCCCGGTGCACAGATTTGTGCACAAAAAATATATAGATTTTGTAATCTGTAAATCAATAGCACTCTTTTCCAACAAGTTCAATTATATAGAATATAACTTAGACCCAAGAGGAAGTATTCAGTATAGTTAAAGCTCATATAGTTTGTCCCTGGCTAATCTATCCTGACTCAGGTTTTAAAGCTTTATATAATAGATGTTATTCTAGTTTCAAAGTAGATGAGAAAGTAATATATGTAAAAAAGGTAGGCACCGTAGCAGCATCCACAAGTGAAGCTAAGGGCCTAATATGGAAGATATAAGCAGGTAGGCTATAAATAACTGATAAAATTGCTCCTAAAAGCATAGAAATCTCTATTTAGTATAGGGGATGACTGCTTATTACATCTTAAAAGTCCATAAGCCATCATTTAATTAAATGGTATATAAAAATTAAGGTTTATAATGATAATTATGACTCTGAATCACCCTGAACTTTAAAAAATGAACTTTAAAAGTACATTACTGTTATCAAGCCACATGTATACATCTTAAAATTGATCCATATGGTATTATTGTACTTTCTAATGTACCCTTTAAATTTAGTATGAAACTAATCTCCTGGAATATAAGATTCATGATGTCAAGAACCTTTGTCAGTCTTGTTTATCTCTATCCCCAAAACTTAAGGTAATTTTCAATTCCTTTTTTTGCAGTATTGAAACAAATGAGATATTCTATAGTCTAAATTTATAAACCATGAATACTGTCCATTTTGGGGAAACTTTTCAATGGTGTAATTTGTTGTACCTAATTGGATTGTATTTTATCTTTGTTTAGACACATGCCTGGGCATACAAGTAGAGAAGTTCTAATCATCTTTAGCAGCCTCACAACTTGTGATCCATCTAATATCTATGACCTAATCAAGGTAGATACAATAATTATGTAATCACAACCAAAATTACAACTCTAAAGAAAATTCTGTAGTGAATTTATTACAAGTTTTCAAAGTATTCTATTTATTTTTTAAACATTAATTGTTCAATGCTCTTTTTTTCTTCCCCCCAAAACCATCCATTTCCTTGGATTTTATGAAGACCCTCAAGACAGCTAAAATTAGAGTGTCTGTTATCGGATTGTCTGCAGAGGTTCGGGTTTGCACTGTCCTTGCTCGTGAAACTGGTGGTATGTATCTAGAATCTTCAATATTTACTCATAATTACTATGTAAGAAGTAACAAGCTATTACTTAAGTTACGATGTTTTAGCCTGTTTTTAAGCTTTAATTAAGCAGTTCTTGTCCTGAAGTCTAAAATATGGGTAGTCATTTTAAATATATCATTGATTCTGTTGATATCTCAAAATGCAAGGAATTTTCAGAAATTATGTCAGTGTGCAGAGGCGGTATAATTCTTGAAAAGCTAGAAATTTCATTAGATGTAATAACTTGTAAAGATCTTACAACTTGACTTTAAATTGTAATTATAATTATTCCTAGAGAAGATAAGTAAAGATACTATTTAAATAAGATTTTTGAAAAAATGATAATTTAACAAATGTTTTTATAGAAATACATAGAAATTATATAATTCATTGTTCTCTCTGGAAAGCAGATTTTATTTTATTTTGCTTTTTATCTTGTTAGGCACATACCATGTTATTTTAGATGAAAGCCATTACAAAGAATTGCTAACACATCATGTTAGTCCTCCTCCTGCTAGCTCAAGTTCAGAGTGCTCCCTGATTCGTATGGGTAAGTGTTTATTTTAAAATAGACATTTAACCCTTTGCACTCCGAACCATTCTGGACATTGGCTACCAGCTACTCGACGCTACTTTGCGAAACGTGCGTTGACTTAACTCAATTCCCCGTAATCACTAATAAACTGCAGTGTCCCCTGAGAGGGGACATCCGAGTGATATGCTAGAATTCCAATGTCCCCTGAGAGGGGACAGCGGAGTGCAAAGGGTTTATATATATATATATATATATATATATATATATATATATATATATACACACACACACACACACACACACATACATATATATATATATACACACATATATATATGTGTATATATATATATATATTTTTTTTTTTTGGCTTAAAATAGGCTTTCTATTTTCATTTGCACAATGTTAAAAGATTTTAACATTTAAGATTTTTTAAACTCAAATGTTTTATAATTAGAGAAAATTATGCTGTTGAAGCAATTTTGGAAAAGAGAGAGATAGAAAAAGAAAATTAAAACCATTTGTAGTCCTATCACTCAGAGAACACTACTGGCTTTCTTTTATTGTCACAGTGTGAAATGTATAAAGACACTGTATTTATAGAAAAATTCTTATACTAGGAAATTTAACAAATAAGCTACAAAACCGTCCGTACTGTTTGATCAAAGCTGTGTCATACAAATTGAAAAGACACAGAAGGTGGTAGATGAGAAACATCGACCAGCTGCCTCAACACCCCCAACTGGGGATGTGCACTCCCCCAACTGGGGATGTGCCTGCAACCAAGGTACGTGCCCTTGATCGGAATCGAACCCAGGACCTTTCAGTCCGCAGTCCGACGCTCTATCCATTGAGCCAAACCGGTTTTGGCATAGGTATACAATTTTTGTCCAGTCTCTTCCTGCATCCCCCATACACCTTTCCCCCTGAGAATTGTCAGTCCACTCCCTTTCTATGCCCCTGATTTTATTATATTTACTAGTTTATTCTGTTTTTCAGATTTTTTTACTCACTTGATTTTTAGATTCAATTGTTGATAGATGTATTGGAGCTTTTGTCTCCCTCCAGCTTAAGAAAGCCCGTGGCATACGCAGTTGCCTGCCCTCTCCGCACATGCGCCTCTGGACCTCTGCCTTCTGCAGTTCCTCTGAGTCTCAGTGTGCTTTTCTCTTTCCTGACAGTCCAGTTTCACCCCGTGTGACTCTGGGTCTCCAGAGTCTTGCCCGGAATTGAAGTTCAGTGTAGTCAGGAGCTTTTGTCTCCCTCCTTCTTGAGAAAGCCAGTACTCAGTTGCCTGCCTTCTCTGCACACATGTCTTCGTACCTCAGCCTTTTGCAGCTCCTCAGAGTCTTAATTGCTTTTCTTTTTCCTTCTAGTTGTAGAATTTATACTCAGCCAGCTTTTCTGTGGTTCTGGATGGTGTCCGTTTTGTCTTTTAGTTGTAGTTTTGAAATTGTTGTGTGAGGCAGCCGCCATCTTGGTTTCTCTCATTCCAAAATTTTAAACAGAGACATATTTTTATTTAAAGTCAAAGTAGATTAAGCAACAGATTTCTCTATTGTGCCAGAAACTATTTTAAAATTACATTTCCTTCTTAAAAAGCAGTATGTGTTGTTATTAGAAAATATAGATACGAATTTGAGAATCTGAGGCCATATGTATGGACAGATCCTTCTCCCATTTCCTCCACTTTAATTTTTCTTGTAAACTGGAATTACAGTAAGTTTGACCATGCTATATTAAACATACCTAAAGGCAGGAAAGAGGACTTGTGTACAACTTTGTGGTCTTTGTGGTAGGAACATTTTTAGTTTCTGGTCCTGGAATTTTGTTATTTGCTTGGAAAAAATAAGTAATACATTTTTTTCTATGAAGGATTTCCTCAGCATACCGTTGCTTCTCTGTCTGATCAAGATGCAAAGCCCTCTTTCAGCATGGTGTAAGTACAAACCTGAAGCTGTCAGTGATGATGTTTTATCGTTTTAATTCCCTTCGTAAGTTACAAATGAAAAGGATGGGCTTGACATTTAACTGCTTTTGTAAAAGATTACATTCTATGTAGCTGTAAAAAGGAGTGAGAACTATCTATACACCTATGCAGTAATATTTAGGATATATTACTAAGTAAAACAAGGTAGAGAAAAGTGTATAGTATACCAGTTATGTAAGAGAGGGAGGAAATTAGAGTAGATATACCTACTTGCTTATATTAATAATAAAAATAGTAATGGAAATCAAAAGGGAAAACTGAAAATTGTTTACCTAGGTGTGTGGAGAAAGGCAAAGAGATAGCTCATAGACTTTTCTGAGTAAACCTTGTTTTAACTTTGGAGCTTTACATTTTATCTAATGGTAAAAGTACGAGTACATTTAAGAAAGTAATTTTTAAAAAATATATTTTTATTAATTTTTTACAGAGAGGAAAGGAGAGAGATAGAGAGTTAGAAACATTGATGAGAGAGAATCATCAATCAGCTGCCTCTTGCACACCCCATACTGGGGATGTGCCCGCAACCCAGGTACATGCCCTTGACCGGAATCGAACCCGGGACCTTTCAGTCCGCAGGCTGACGCTCTATCCACTGAGCCAAACCGGTTTCAGCAAGAAAGTAATTTTTAAATATTACAAAAAAGACTGCTGTCTCTAGCTATAAAGGTGTAACAGGGACTGGATTTACCCTCTTGCTTCCTGACAGAAAAACCAGACAAAATATATAAAACAACAGTTTTTCGATATTGGAAACAGGTAGTGCAGATAAGAATCCCTAAAAAAGGGGGAACAAAAGATATGGGCCCTATGATTGCAGTCCATTGTCTAGAGAGAATTTACAGGCAGTAGTATAGGGAAGGAGAACCCCCTAAGCCTGGAGGTCTTGCTCAGTTGAAGAAACCAAGCTCAGAGATTGGGGAGGCTGAAATGGCTGTTATTTCGTAGGACAGAGTACTAGAGAGTGAAGAGCTTTACACAGCTCTCAAGATCTATAGGGACTTCCCCATGAGTCACTGTGAGCGAATTCCTGGGGCTATAGGAAGAGCCAGTGGGCAGGAGCAGGCAGGACAATCCCTAGAGCTCACACGGGGCAGGGAATAGTTTATGTCCCCACCAGTCAGTTTGCAGAGACCTCTTAACATAATAAGCATTGAACACAGTCCACAGTAATGGAACCAAATTAACACTAGACTAACAGCTGCTCTGGGCAGCCTAATAAACTTAAAAGCGAGTCTTGGACAGATCAAACTATTCCAAGTTACTTACGTATATTTCAGAAAAAGCCTACCATATTTAAGGGAATGCAAAAAAGTCCACCACCCCAAAGCAAAATTCACAATGTCTTTAGCCAGTCAAAAATTACCAGGCATGCAAAGAAGTCAGAAAATACCCATAATAAGGGGGGGGGGGGGGGGGGGAATCATAGAACAGAAACATATCCAGTAATAACACAATTGACAGAATTAATAAAGTGTTAAAAGATAGACAAGTGTGTATATTCCATATGTTCAGGAAAGTAGAGAAGAACATGAGCATAGGAGACATGGAAAATGGAGGGGGGGGGCAATTCCGATTTCTAGAGATGAAAAAATACAGTTTGTAAGATGAAAAATTTAACAGTAAATTAGTCACTAAGAAGAAAAGATCAGTAAATTCAAAGACATTAATAGAAACCGTTCAAAACAAAAATGCAGACAGGAAAACCCCCCAAAATGAACATAAGTGAGCTATAAAACAACTTCAAGATTTTAAAATCAAGGTGGCATACTTCCTTTTGCTCTAACTTTTCACATCTTTATATATCATGTTTTTAAGGTAATGTTTTTCTTCCATAGGCATTTGGATAGCAATACTGAGCCAGGACTTACATTAGGAGGCTATTTCTGCCCTCAGTGTCGGGCAAAGTATTGTGAGCTTCCTGTTGAATGTAAAATCTGTGGTAAGAAACCAACTATTTATTGATTCAGCAAACTAATTTTTAATAACCTCTCACCTATATTGCTATTAAAATAGATGTAAATATTAAGCTCTGCCTATGTTTCTAGATTTAATGTGAGAAGAGAAATAAATTACTTTTTTATTTATTTCATTTATTTATTTTTTAAAATTATTTTTTGTTGAAAGTAGTCATATGTCCTCTTCTTCTCCTCCCCCCGCCCCCGCCCCCATTGACCTCTTCTGGCCCTCCACCTACTCCCCACCCCCATTCCCCCAGACTTTACCACCCTATTGTCTGTGTCCATGGGTTATGCATATATGCATACATGATCTTTGGATGATCTCTTCCCACCCCTCCCCTTCCCTCTAAGATTCCATAGTCTGTCTTTGCCTGAGGATATTTTTAAAAATTGATTTGAGAGAGAAAGGGCAGGGAGAGAGAGAAGCATGACCTACTGTATGCCCCCACCAAAAGGGAACCTACCACCTAAGTTGTGCCCTGACCTAGGAATTAAATCCACAACCTTTTTGGTGTACAGGACAATGCTCCAACCAACTGAGCCACCTGGCTGGGCTAGAGTACTTTTTATTGAGTGTCAGTATTCCATTTCTAAGAACAAACATGGCATTCCAGAAGAGTTTCCTGATTCTCTTTCTGAACAAAGCATATTCTTATTTATTTATTTATTTATTTTTATTTTTTAATTTTAATTTTTTAAAATTTCTTTATTGATAAAGGTATTGCATATGTGTCCTTATATCTCCCCCTCCCCCCCATTAAACTCCCCTCTCATGCCCTCACCCCCCTGTTTTCTGTGTCCATTGGTTAGGCTTATATGCATGCATACAAGTCCATTGTCTTTATGAGGTTTGGGCTATTAATATGTCTCTCTGCTGTCATGTCAGGTCTTACTTTGGTGTCTGCTCCCCATTTGGCACGGTCTTATCATCATTTATTTCCTTTGGATGCTTTTCAAGAAATTCCCCTAGAAGAACATAATGGCGAAAGGTACATGCATTTTGATTAATTTATGTTATAAGTTAATGTTTGAATACATTGTTACTACATTTTAGTTGTATTGTCCTGGGCAAAATTATTCCTAACTTTAAAAAACAAGATAAAATGCCTTGGTTATGACTGAAATGGCTCGTTAAATAGATCTGGATTTCCAGAAGTCTGGAGATCCCTAAACCTATCTGTGTGGTATACTAGTAGACCAGCTCTCCAAAAAGATCAAAGAAAAAAGCCCTGATTTTTAGCATTTGCTAATTTCCATGGTGTAAAACTGGAGAATTTATCCAAAAGGTCTAATGTCAGAATAATATGAAAATAAAAGATCAAATGAAGAGTAGAAGATAATGAGTTCAAGGGCATTTTGTACTACTAAAGGACAAAACTTTCTGGATTGAAAGGACTATTGAAGGAAAACACCCACACTAAAGTATACTTGTGAAATTTCAGCATACGAAGCAAAATCCAAAATCCAAACATTTCTGAAAAAGAAAAATTAGGTCACATAATCTGGAATTAAAAATATTTGGCTTCTCATCAGTAACATTGGATGCTGACAAGGAGCAATTTCTTTCAAAATGTATACTGAAAACTATTAGCAACCTAAGTTATATATCCAGACAATATCAATTAAATGTAGATAGAATAAAGACGTTTTTAGACTTGTAAGGTCTCAAAAAGAGATTTTCTGAGGTAGTTGTAAAAGAAATGCATCAGAGGAACTGGGAATGAATGAAAGAGAAAGGAATATCTAATTCAACATTGGCTAAGGAAAAGCCTGCGATGATGATAAAGGGAAACTCCAGAATGTCTCTTGTGTGTCATGTGTCATGTGGAGAATGGTCAGTCCAGTTTGGAGAAGGTCAAAATGTTCCAGGAGATATGTCACCAAGAGGACAAAAGCTATGTAATTCCTTATATGTTTGCACATAACGAGAGGATCTTTAGTATTCTCAGGGAAAGGTTGGGGCTAAGGTAATGACAATTCCAAAGAAAACTAAGCTTGTGAATAACTATAATAATTAACTAGGAAAAAATGTTTTTAAATTATTTTTAAAATATGTGTTTTTATTGATTTTAGAGAGAGGAAGTGAGAGAGAGAAACATCGATCCACTGCCTCCTGCATGCCCCCTTCCAGGGGTTGAGCCCATACCCACGCATGTGGCCTGACCAGGAATGGAATCTGTGATCTCTTGGTGCATGAGATCATGCTCAACCAACTGAACCACACTGGTTAGGGTGAGGAAAAAATGTTTTAAAGAGAGGAAAAGTTATATTACACGTCTCAACTGAATGTTTATATAGTCATAATAAACTAAATATTTAATATTGTTCTACTTAAGATAATTTAACTACATAGAATTGAGAATGACATTAGTTATACATGTGCATGCTGTTGGTTCAAGAGGGTTAAAAGAGAATTAAATCCTCATCTTCCATAGTAAGAGTTTTATAGCTAATGCCTATGAAAAAACCAAAAGATAGCACTATAAGCATAGGTAACTATCAGACAAAAGTTTTTAAGGTGTTATCTCTGGGGAACTAGAAATGAAGTGTGGGGTGGATAGGCAGGGAACTGTTACTATTATTTTTTTTTGTAATAAGTTTTGAGAATTATTAACTCAAAATCATTCCTTGAAAATTAAGCCTACAAGCATCTATTATATATAATAAATTAACTCCTTTCCTGTTTATCTAGAATTGAACCAGCTGTCTATATCTTTGGAAGGGGTGAAAAATAGTCACTTAAATCATTTTCTATAAGGTTTAATTCTTTTGTATAATCCCAATTGAGAAAGCATCTTATGTTTAACCTTGATGAAAATAAAAGTACTTTTTTTTTTTTTTTTTCTGCTTTTAAAATATAACATTTATTGCTTAGATGATTTGGTACAGAACAGCTTTTCTTCTCATTTTGAATTTGGAAATTCTGTACAGATGAATACAAAGAGGAACAAAAGTATCAAAACCAAACTTATGATTCTGTTCATGTGGCATAAACCACTTTTATAGATAACATGCTGCAGTAATTTTTAAGTTCCCTTTAGAAACCATGAAATCTGCACATTTATATTGCCTCCTGTTTAATGCATGGGCTGAAATCTCTAGAATCAACTTCCTTCTTGAAGAAAAGTAAATTTTTTTTTATTTTAAAGTATCATTTTGGGCTGACTGTTAGATGACTGGATTTACCATGGAATTTCTTAAATTACTGGTATTCTTAACTCTTTCTTGTAAAAGTCGTGTAAATTAATTGTAAGATTACTTATTAATTAAAATTTTGCTAATGAGCTTTTGCTGAACTATTTGAATGAGCTAATTCTAAACAAAATGATTCTTAAACTTTTTCAGATTTTGTTATGGATGTCAGGGGGAATTGAAAGACCAACACGTAAGTTTATGTACTTACTAAATATTAAGTATTATACAAGAAATATTATAAGTTTTCAGTAGATTATTGAAGAGCAAACTCCTATCAGGTTATTCCTCAGAAGTATAATAATAGGTAGAAATAAAATGGAACACAATAGTTTAAACATTTGTTTGTCATTCTGCATTCTAATTTTGCTACAAAGATCTTATAGTACTTTAAACTGCCTTCAGTTTGCATGCTAAACTGCATTTAGTTTGGAAAAAGTAAATATTTTTTCTCTGTATTGTGCTTTAAACGCTGTCATAACACATTTTGAAGTGAAGTTACCACTTAAGATGGCCACAGGTCAAAGGTTATCCCCCCATTTTGCCAATAAGAAAATATTTTTAAAAATTTTGGAAGGGGCCAATTTGAATGTATAAACTTATATAAAGATACAAGTAAGATAGATAATTCTCTAGTTTTGATATTTTTATTAATTTAGTTGCTTGTTCATATTTAAAACTATGCATTATCTATATATATAAAAGGATAATATGCAGTGTCCCCTCGGGAGTTCAGTCGCTTGCTATGATGTGCTCTGACCAGCAGGAGGCAGTTTGGAATGAAGGCCTTGATTGGCCCTGATTGCTGGCCAGGCCTAGGGACCCTACCCATGCAAGAATTACATGCACTGGGCCTCTAGTAAACTATATAAAATGTTAGTGGGAATGATTGCTTGTTTATTCTACTGTCACATTTCATCAAACAATTTTATTAAGTTTTACATGCCTCTTTGATGTCAGTAGCTTCATCCTCACTGGACTCACTTTTTGAACTGTTCGTTTATTCTTAAATATATTTTTCTTGATTTCAAAGAAGAAGGGAGAGGGCTCAGAGATAGAAACATCAGTGATGAAATCATTGATCAGCTGGCAAGCCCCCTACTGGGGATCGAGCCAACCTGGGCATGTGCCCTTGACTGGCATCAAACCTGGAACCCTTTAGTCTACAGACTGATGCTCTTACCCACTGAGCAAACCAGCTAAGGCATATTTGACGGTTTTACTTCTATGCTGTTTAAGATTTAATGATTTTTGAATCTGTGTAAGATGCTGCTCTGAAAGTTTTATACAGGCAAATAATTTACTAATTAATACTAATAGAATAATGAGTTTTTTCTTTTTGTCTTACATGTGTCTTTTGCCATATTCTTTAGTGGTTTAAAAGGGTAATGTAACTTTTGCAATTGTGAGGTCATTACTGAAGGAATAACTAAATCTGTGTTATATTGTTGTGCTTCTCCTTTTTAAAATTTTTTTTAAAATTTTACTTTATTTTATTTTTTCTTCAGGAATAACCTGATAGGAGTTTGCTCATCATTTATCCTCCCTATACCCTCTTCCAACTCCATCTCCCACCCCCATAGTGCTTCTCTTTTTTAATTGAACAAGTCAGATGACCTCTCCAAGCATTCAAAACTAGTGCTAATTTCAAGCTTGTGTCTTCCCCAAATAGTTACTTAAAATAGAATAATTGAGAGTGTCCCATATAGAAGGGACTTTAGGTCTCAAAGACAAAGCTATTTCTTTGTTTCTAAGGAATATTTTTGGGGGAAAAATAGTCACCTTAGATTTGAGAACATATAATACATAGGAAGAAATAATGTAGATGGGGAAAATTTGATAAGAGCTATAAAAGAGCAAAGCACTTTTAGTGTCTTCTAGGTATTCTATGCTTACGTTTAGAAACTGCTTTTTAAAGTTACTTTTCTCCTTTTCACTGCAGGTCTATCATTGCACTGTGTGCCAAAATGTTTTCTGTGTGGACTGTGATGTTTTTGTTCATGACTCTCTCCACTGTTGTCCTGGATGTATTCATAATATTCCAACTCCTTCAGGTATTTGATTCCAGCATATAATACACATTGTATGTGTTAAAAAGAAACTTGCAATTGTAAATAAAATGATTTTTTAGAAGAAGTTCTAATTAAAACATGAAAAGCAGTTAAAAAAGAAAATCTGACTTAAACTTTTTTGCTAAGAAAATGTAATATTTTATTAAATTTTAAAATGTCCTGCCACAGAAATTCCTGGAATTCAATAGTAGTTCTTTTAGTTAATCTTGTTTTCTATTATTTTGAGTTATAATGTTTTCTTTTTTAAAAATAGTTCTTTATTGGTGAAAGTATTACATATTTCCCTTCCCCCCATTGAGTTACATTATTATATTTATAATTTTCTGTGATTTCGTTTTTATTGATTTTTAGTATAAAAAGAAAATAAGTATCATTGTTAATTCAATGTAAGATAAAAATTAATCAATAGTTATTAAATTAATGCCTATTGATATATTTAGGTTTAAATCTCTCATCTCACTTTATGTTATTTTAACTATTCCATCTTTATTTTTCTCTTCTTGCCTTTTTTTGGGTTGATTTTTTTTATAAATTCTAGGTTTTTCTCCAACTAGCTTAGAAATTACATACTTTATTTTTATTCTTTTAGTGGTTGCCCCAGAAATTACAATCTGCATAATTTCTTAATTTGGGACCTCTAGGGGTTGGGGATGGGAAAGGATTAACCAAGTAACTTACATGCATATGTGCATAACCCATGGACACAGACAATAGTGTAGTGAAGGCCTGGGTCGGGGGTAGATGTGGGCTAGAAGAGGTCAATGGGGAAAAAATAGAACATCTGTAATACTTTCAACAATAAAGATAAATTTTTTTTTAAAGTGGGACCTGAGGTAAAGATGAAAGTATTGTTCCTTTTTTTGGGAGATGCTGGAAAGTGAGGGTAGGGCAGAAAAAGGAAAGAGGTTGAGGTTGTGTTGATTTCTAGTCAAAGGCACCTACCTGTGCTCGTGCGTGCAGGAGGCAATCAGTTGATGTGTCCTTGTATAGATGTTCTATCTCTCTCTTCTCCTCCTTCCCTCCATTCCACTCTCTAAAAATCAATGAAAAAAATATCCTCAGGTGAGGATAAATTAATAAATAAATAAAATTGATTGTGATGATGATTGTTCAATTCTGTGAACATTCTGGAAACCATTGAACTATACACTTTAAATGGGTGAATTGTATGATACGTGAATTATCTCTATATATAAAAGGCTAAGTGACTGAATGTCTATCTGTCCTACCGCCTGACTGGATGGTACGTGACATGCATTGGCTTGACTCGCGCATGGGTGATACATATAAAGCTCTCACTGGCACCAGTCCCACACGTGTTTTGATCTGTCACTGTCAGTAATTTATTTGGTTGTTTTTGTTGACATTCTGAAGCTGAAAGAAAGAGGTGTCTTCAACAGAATATGTCTGAAGACCAACTATTGGCACAACGTACCTCTGAAGCTGGCTAAGTACTGTAGTGTTTGGAGATGTTTCAGACAGTTGTCTCTTAAAAGAAATATGAGATCAGAGGATTTTGCTTCTAGCAAATGGTTAATAAAACTTGGAGATGGCAAACTAGATAGCAGTTTTTATTTAGGAACAAGAGGCCCAGTGCATGACATTCAGACACTCAGTGGAGGGGTGTCCCTCAGCCTGCCTGCTCCCTCTTGCAGTCCAGGAGTCCCCAGGGGATGTCCCTCTGACGGACATCCTTAGCGCTGCGGCAGAGGCGAGAGTGGCTCCCACTACCTCTGCTGCACTTTCTAGCCATAAGCTTGGCGTCTGTGTTGAGTGTCTGCCCCCCTCGTGGTCAATGAGTGTCAAGCAACCTGTCTTTCCACCATTCAGTCTATTTTATTATTACCTTTTTATTATTTAGGATGGATATTATTGAAATCCCCCGTGAAATGATTTGTAATGGATCTATCATTGAAGCTACCTTTGAAAATAGTATATCTATAGATAGTACTAAAAATATTAAAAAAAAAAAATATATATATATATATATATATATATCTAAACATGTAATTCTTTGTCCTAAAAATGACCATGTTCATAAATTGAATGAAGAAATTTTGGATATACTTGATGGAGATTTTCACACCTATTTGAGTGATGATTCCATCGATTCAATAGATGATGCCAAAAAGGAAAATTTTCCCATTGAATTTCTTAATAGTATTACTCCTTCAGGAATGCCTTGTCATACATTAAAATTGAAAGTAGGTGCAATCATCATGCTACTGAGAAATCTTAATAGTAAATGGGGTCTTTATAATGGTATTAGTTTTATCACAAGATTGCGACCTAACGTAATCAAAGCTGAAGTATTAACAGGATCTGCGGAAGGAGAGGTTGTTCTGATTCCAAGAATTGATTTGTCCCCATCTGACACTGGCCTCCCATTTAACTTAATTCAAATACAGTTTCCTGTGATGCCAGCATTCGCGAAGACTATTAATAAATCACAAGGACAAACTCTAGATAGAGTAGGAATATTCCTACCAGAATCCGTTTTCAGACATGATCAGTTATATGTTGCTTTCTCTCAAGTTCGAAGAGCATGTGACGTTAAAGTTGTAAATACTTCATCACAAGGGAAATTAGTCAAGCACCCTGAAAGTGTTTGTGATGTACAGAGAGATATTAGAATAAATTTAATCAATTTATCAGTCATTGTTTTTTTGGTTTTTATATCATGTTTTTGTTTTTATATCATGTTTTTGTTGTTATATCCTATTGTTTATTATTTATATATTATTTTCATATACATGTTACTAATTTTCTTTCATCTCTGACACTTATAGAGAGGGCAAATAGCGATATTAAAATATTTCTTCTAATTAATTTCCTTTCAGTATACACAAATCTGTGCACCAGGCCACTAGTATCTCAATAAATCTGTCTTAAAAGTGAACTACTAGGAGAATACAAAGAGGTAGGGTATAGAGGAGGAGATGAATGCAGGGCTGAGAGAGAATTATTTTTTAGCATTTTTTATGTAGTTTTAATTTTTGAGACTTGTAAACAAATAAAGTATTCAAAAATAATAACATTGCCCTAGCTGGTTTGGCTCAGTGGATAGAGCATCAGCCTATGAACTGAAAGGTCCGGGGTTTGATCCTAGTCAAGCGTACATGGGCTCAATCCCCAGTGGGGGATGTGCAGAAGTCAGCCAATCAGTGATTGTCTCTCATCATTGATGTTTCCATTCCTCTCCTCCTTTCCTCTCTTAAATCAATAAAAATATATTTAAAAAAACATTTTGGAATCTTGGGACGTTGTGGTGAAGAAAATGTAAATAATGTTTTAGCTCATGTTACCTGTTAGTTGAGGGCCTGAATAATAACACAAAAGCAATCCTGTTCATCAAATAATGTAGTAGTAATGGAGTTGAGGTTTGGAAGGGAATTGCAATAAATTTCTTTTTCATTTATTTGGGTCATGGTTCAAGTGATACATTGTCCACCTATATGTGGCAATACGTGCACTGTTTCTATTTTGTTGTGACTCTTGCCCTTGAAAATAACTATATCTATACATCTATACATCTATGAAGATGGCAGTACTCTTTGAGGATTTAGATAAAAAATGTGAGTCTTATATTTAAGGACCGTGGGTGACCCACTGTTCAGAAGGCATGTCACAATCAAAATATGTCACTAACATATTTCAAAACTGAGGGGACAGTAGGACTTCTTCTCAGAATGATAGTAGGAAAGAAGAACCATAAATATTTTGTAAGTTTTCTCAGTGCTTTGTAACTTCCTCATGTCCCATCTGAGTTCAGCTGTCTGTATCTCCGTAATGATTGGAAACTCATAACATGACATGATTTCCAGTGGTGAGAAAGAAGGGGCACAGCCGGTCCTTGGGAAGTGGGGTGGTAGAAATTCAGGCCGTTAGTGGATGGCAGAGTTTAGGAGAAAGGGCGAGAAGTTTGAGTCTGAGGGGCCTATTCTGTTTTGGGGAAACCTATTACAAGGTGGACTGGGGCTCTGATGGGGTCCTTATGGGATTTAAATTTGTGATTTCACCTGACTAACTTGCTATTTGAGTCACACCTCAGGCCAGGACCCTGAAAATATCAATAATACACAGTTTGTTAATTTATTAATTCACTCAGCAAACCTGTACATGTCTATCTATCTAATAGTAACCTAGGAAGTAGGATATAGATACTAAAAAGTAGGATATAGATACTAACCTCATGGATCTGTGAATCTCCAAGTCTAGAAGGGAGACCTATAAAGAAGTCACTGTGAAAGTGCGAATAGTATGCCAAGTGCTTTGGGAATGCAGAAGAGGTGCTGTAAATGAGCCAGGCTGCAAACCTAGTACCTACGAGGCCAGGCAGATAATGCAAATGAGTGAGAAAGGGACAAGTCGCTGCCAAGTGGTGGCATCTGGAAGCACTTGTTGCATCTAAAAGAGGCAGCCTCTGGATGCTGGGCTCAGAGACAGAAGAGGGACACAGTTTTTACTGTACATCTTTTTGTACCTTTTGAGTTTTATCGCCTTATTAAATAACATTATATAAAAGGATAGCATCTCCCTAGCCAGTTTGGCTCTGTGCATAGTGTGTTGGCCTGCAGACCAAAGGGTCCCAGGTTTGATTCTGGTCAAGGACACGTCACCTTGATTGCAGGTTCTTCCCTGGTCTGGGACCTGGTCACGCTCATGCAGGAGGCAACCAATTGATGAGTTTCTCTCTGTCTTTCCCTCTGTCTTCCACTCCCTCTAAAAGATCAATGGAAAAATATCCTTGGATAAGGATTAACAAAAAGATAAAAAGGATAGCATCAAGGCCAAAAGACAAGAAAATGAAATGACTGTAAAAAACAAAACTATCATAATATTCAAATAATACAAATATCTACTTAGAAAAATTAATAGGATTTCTAATCATTAAAAATCCTATACATTTAGAAAACAATAGTAAAATAAGGGCAACGAAATCTACAAGTTACATCAAATGTAATGTGCATTGGGCAGAGATGCACACGACATAGATGAAAAGTGAGGTTACTGTCAGAAGGGTCAGCTGTGAGGAGAGGTTGCAGCTGGATGCACCATGGAAAGTGCTTCAAAAGAACGCTGTCCCTGTAACATTATACTTACACATTAGTACAAAAGTTAGGTGGGACCAGGGAACAGCTGGTCAGCTCTTTTAACAATAATTGCTTCTTGGCTGGGAAAATAATCTTGTTGGACCAGAGCCTAGCCAGAGGAGATCGCATGCCAGGCCAGCTAGTGAAAAAGCTTTGCTACTTGCTCAAATACCAAAATGAGGAGGAAATGAGCTCTCTGGGATACCTTTGTTTAAAGGTTTGCCTTTGTTTAAAATCTAACCTTTATGGCAGCATCACATAGTGGTTAAGAGTGCAGGCTTTGCACCCTAACCAGTTTGGCTCAGTGGATAGAGTGTCCTCCTTCAGACTGAAAGGTCTCAGGTTCTATTCCGGTCAAGGGCATGTATCTTGGTTGCGGGCCCATCCCCAGTAGGAGGTGTGTAGGAGGCAACTGATGGATGTTTCTCTCTCATCGATGTTTCTAACTCTATTCCTCTCCCTTTTTCTCTGAGAAAAAAAAAATCAATAAAATACATATTTTTATAAAAAGAGTGCAGACTCTGTAGCCAGACTGATTTATCTGAACCCCTATCTGCCTAAGTTTCCTTGTCTATAAAATGGAAATAGCATACCTGCTTTGTTACTGTTAAAGGGATTATATGTACCTTTCTGAAGTACTTGGAACTGTGTCTAGCAAGTAGTAGTCTCTAAATAAATTTTAATTCTTTTTCAAAAGATATTTTATTGATTTCAGAGAAGAAGGGAGAGCGAGAGAGAGGGATAGAAACATCAATGATGAGAGAGACTCATTGATTGGCTGCCTCCTGCATGCCCCACACAGAGGATTGAGCCCGCAACCTGGGCATGTGGCCTTGACTGGAATTGAACCCAGAACCCTTCAGTCTGCAGGCTAATACTCTATCCACTGAGCCAAACCAGCTAGGGCCTTAGTTCTTCTTTTGTAATTTTAAGAGGACGTTTATTTGGTACATCACAGAGAAAGAAAAAAAGTAATTCCTAAAAGAAATGGGCTTAGGAAACAAGTTATAGAGGTAAAGGAAGGGCCCTGGGAACTTGGAGTGAAGAAGGTAATGGTAACGTGCCTGGTGCGGGTGTGTGTGTGTGTGTGTGTGTGTGTGTGTGTGTGTGTAGAAAAAGGCATGGACAGACATGCTCCCTGGAGGGAGAGCACTTTAGTTCTATTTTTTATAATAATTACACAATATTGAAATCATTTTTTTAAGTATAAACCCAGAAAAAAATTAAGAAAGCGGGAGGGGACCATCAGCACATAGACTATTTTAACAAATTTTTGGAAGGTGGAAACTTAAATAGAATGATAGTAACCAATGAAGTGGACCAACGGAAACCACATCCTGTACACGCATATCCCCTATGGGAGGCTCTTCGCCCTGCAGAGAATCCTGGAGCAGCGGGGACCCTGAGTGCCAGGTAAGGAGGGCAGGAGTGACGGGAAGGGCTGGAAATCGGTGGACTAATTTAAAATCTGTGTATGGGGAGGGCATATGTAAGGAGGGGTTTGGGATGGGATTCGGGGGATGAGGACAATTATGTGATACCATAATCAATAAAAAAAAAATTAAAATTAAATCTGTATGGCACAGTTGGCTCCCTCCATCAGATTATTTGATAGGGTTTAATTAAACCTGAGGCAAAAAATATCAGATGATTATCTTTAAAAAAGAAACTGAATAAGTTGTTTCAGCTAACTTGAGCTGGTTTGGGCACTGACACCCTAAAACAAGGAATCCTTCCAGAACTGGTCATTTTCTGCTCAAGGAACATCCCCAGTGTGCTTTCAGCTACCAGCTCTCTCACAGGTAACTTGGAGTAGTTTTCTGAGGTGTTCCTCTGATGTAGAGCTTCTCCAGGGTAAACCCTGGCTCCCCAATCTGGCGTCCATAAAGTAAAGGGGTTTAGTCCAAGTCACAATGATGTGGCTTTTAATTAAATTTTATTTTTATTTTTTTTAATATATTTTATTGATTTTTTACAGAGAGGAAGGGAGAGATATAGAGAGCTAGAAACGTCCATGAGAGAGAAACATCGACCAGCTGCCTCTTGCACACCCCCTACTGGGGATGTGCCCGCAACTCAGGTACATGCCCTTAACCGGAATCGAACCTGGGACCCCTCAGTCCGCAGACCGACGCTCTACCACTGAGCCAAACCGGTTTAATTAAATTTTAACCATAATTCTGACCAATCAGCTTTTCAACGGCCTACTTCTTAAACATAAATTGCAAACCGAGTATCAGTGTGCATTTGAGGATGGCTGGAAATGTTAAAAATAAACACAAAGGTAAATGGTAATAGCCTTGGAGAAAACATAGTTTAGGAGACAGATGAACTAAACCTTAGTATTGATAAAGTTAGTTTATCAGGACCTACAAAATGGAGGCTACCCCAGTGGCCTGGCCCAACTCACAAATCTAAACCTCAATTAGCCTGCACTTATGAGACACACCCGTTAGGGAAACTTAACATCCACCAATCACAAGCCTCCAACTCAGCTTTAGCTAGTCTACCTTCCCCTAGGAAAACTGACTGTGGTCCTCAGGAAACCCCCGCTCTCCTAGCCAACCCTGCCCTGTTTCCTGTTGCCTCTTCTCCATAAAACTCGCTCTTGCCCTGAATCCCTGGGGAACAGTGTTCCACTGCTTGTGAGCCACCCCCTCCCCAATCCTGGGCTGTTTTTCCCTTGAACCAGGACAGCAAACTCCTCATTCACTTTAGTTTTATTATCAGACAGTATCGTAGGAGAGTCATAAACGTGGTGTTGGTTAGAAATAATATTTCATGAAAATAGAGAACAAGAAAGAGCTGTGGGAAATTAAAACTATAATTGCTGAATTAATAATTACTGTAGGAGAATTGGAAGATACTGGAGAGAAAATTTCCCAGAAAATAGAGCAAAAGCACTAAGAATATGGGGAGGAAGTGGGGGAAGAACTTGAGTGATCAATTAAATCCCCACCTAAATCGTGGGGATACCAGAAAGAGTGAAAAGAGATGAGCAGACAGTAGGAAATCATCAAAGAAAATTATAGAAAACGGGCACAAGTTTTAGAACCACTGATGTCTTAGGGCTGAGGGGCCACCCCTGTGTTCAGGGGGAAAGGGCCCATTGAGTGTCCAGAACAATGATTGTAGAAACACCCAAATCTATCTACAGCATTTTGGAATTTTATAAGCCCAAGGATAAAAGAGAAAATCCAAAAATAAACGAGAAAGAAACTGTCACCAGCCAAGAAATAAAGCTTATTCTAGCACTCTGAGCACTAACCAATCTTAACTGTTTAGAATAAAACACTTCCTGTTGTGGGGACTTGGTAGGTGTTGTCATTCCTTCTGGGACCTGACTGGCCCTTTTGACTTCATACTTAGAGCATTTCCGGGTAATTTCTCAGTGGACTGCAATTTGTTTTGAGTTTCAGTTCCTCAAATACTTTCTCATTGCTTTCCATTAAAGGACCAACACAGCATTTGTACTCCGGCTGCCCATTCTCCTTCCACTGGACAGGGACTCTGGCTATACCTCTTGGTAAGTAGGTTACCATTTCTGGCAAAGGTGCTTTTCTCCCACAACTGAAGTGATGGACCTCTTATTTCTCTTATTTCTGTTTCTCTGGATGTTTCTCTAGAGGACAGGCACCCAGACGGGTTTAAAGCCTGGATCCGGGACATAGGTGCCTCAGCTGGTACTCTTTGCTCTTGTAGTCAAAGGACGTGACATCTGGAGGGGGTCTTGGAGATCTTTCATCCCCAGAAATGGCCTCCTGATGAGCACAATGGACCCTGAACCTAAAATTGATCCTAGCTGTTCTGTCGAAACCCGTGTTTATTTGTCTCTGGGGAGGCCTGAAGCCCCGATGCTATCTCTTGGCCAAATCTGCACGGAATGTACTAACTAGTGATTACTGTGGTCCTGTGCTGGGGTCTGAGACAGACCGGCGGCACCCAATCCTATACCAGGTTTTCTGTTTTTGAGGCTGGTCAAGTAGCCTAGTTTTGGCCATGTGACCAGAAGAGTATAAAAGACCCCTCCTTGGAAGAGATTGTAGTTTCCTGAGACCAAGGTATCTTGCACACACCTAGGTTGTCCATTCCCTGAAATGCAGCACAGCCTGTGCAGCTTAGGCCTCCAGGAACTGGACCTGGGATCTGAGCCCTCTCTGATATTTGCCCGTTTTTTATTTTTATTTTTGTATCTTATCCTTTACCTGTATTAAAGTCTTATGTAAGTATACTATGCAGAGTCCAGTGAGGTTTTTTTTTAAGTACCCAAACCAGTGTAAATGTTAAAGATAGCACTGTGAATGGGATCATTGAAACAGTCTTTGGCTTTATAATATAAATAACGACTAAGGCTTTGTTTGGCAGAAAGAAGAATGAAAAGTGGGTGGAAGGTTTACAATCACTGCCCTTGCTGGTTTGGCTCAATAGATAAAGCATTGGCCTAGGGACTGAAGGGTCCTGGGTTCGATTCCATTCAAGAGCACATGCCCAGGTTGTGGGCTCGATCCCCAGTGGGGGGCCTGCAGGAGGCAGCCAATCAATGATTATCTCTCATCATTGATGTTTCTATTTCCCCCTCTCCCATCCTTTCTGAAATCAATAAAAATATATTTTTAAAAAAAGATTTATAACCACTGATGGCAGGCTGGCTGCCGAGGAACCCCTAGTTTGAATGCATTCAAGTTCTATGACTGTTGATGGGAGGAAAAGCACAGCAATGGAATGTAAATGTGATCAATCCAGAGCCAGAGGAAATAGCTGAGTGAATTAAAACAGAAATTCAGATAGAGGGGAAGTCAGCTGAGAATGCTGTACCTCAGCTGGTTTTGGTTGCTTTGGCAAAAATGAAAGTAACTAAGAAAGAGCCTTAGCCTGCCAAGACCAAAGCTTTGGCTGGTTTCTTCTGTGAAGGGAAGAAACATGAGGCCAAAGGAGAGGTGGGCAAGTATTAATATTTCATCTGTTTGGAATGATAGATACCCACTAAAGAGGCTCTACAGGGAGAGGCAGCAAGAGAATTTGAAATAAAGGAACTAATCAATCAAAAAGCAAAGTAACCCTGGGGACTGCTATAGAGAGCTACTCGGAAAACTGCTGGAGCAGATTTAACTCATTACTGACCACTGAGTGCTTTTCCTTGCTTTAGTTACTTCGAAATGAAGGGCACGCTTGGCCTTCATCAAGACCTTCTGTTTGCTGCCACTATTGCAGAAATGTGGGTAGACGGGCAAATTGCAAATCTGCTTAGCTGGGTAAAGGCAGGGGGCACATAAAACACCCAATTCCACCTACGGGGGTACATGGAATACTCCTGAGGCTCCTGAAGTGTTGGGGATGCAAGCGATCATCTTTGGATTTGTGTGACTACACTAGGAGTCCCCTATTTTATGCCTTTGATGTAAGTGATGATTGATGCTGTGATAGGAGGGCCTCCAACCACTTGGGCTGAACAGGTGACCTTACTGCTGGGTGGACAGGATGAGTGAGAGGGGCCATCGTTGACCTACTAGCCTCTTCCCTCCCCTTCGGGCTGAATGATGCACAGATCAGTACTATTCAGAAGAAATGAAACAGTAAGGATAAAAGGGTTGAAGAAAATCTCAGGACTACTCAAACAAGTGGAAATGTCTGGTAACCTGCTCTTCTTTCCCTTCTCAGAAAATGGCCTTGCAGGAGAAGGCCGCTGACCAGAGGGTTTCCCAGCATGATGTAACTTCCCTCGCTCCGGTGGCTGCTCTTCTAGGCTTCGACCCAGTTCAGTTTGTAAAGAAAATGGAAACAGAGGAGCAGGAAGATCGAGCAAAAATGCAGAAAGGCTTTAACTCAGAAATGCGCAGTGAGGCAAAAAGGCTAAAGACTTTTGTGACCTATGACTCCTTCAGCTCGTGGACGCCGCAGGAGATGGCAGCGGCTGGGTTTTATTTCACCGGCATCAAATCGGGGGTGCAGTGCTTCTGCTGTAGCTTAGTCCTGTTTTGTAATGCCCTCAAGAGACTCCCCATAGAAGACCATAAGGAGTTCAGCCCGCACTGTGAGTTCCTTTTGGGCACAGACGTTGGCAACATTGCTAAGTATGACATAAGAGTTAAGAATCCAGAGAGCGGGGTGAGAGGAGGCAAAGCAAAGTACCAAGAAGAGAAGGCCAGACTTGAAACCTTCCAAGATTGGCCTTTTTATGCCCATGGGACATCCCCACGGGAGCTATCAGCTGCTGGCTTTGTCTTTACAGGTAATTTGAAATCATTTTCTGAAGCATTTCTCTGGAGTTTTAAGTTTAGGTTCCATATTTCAGTTGCAGTATTTTGTGAACCTTTCCTCACTTGTTAAATGTGTTAGGTATAAGGTCTAGTTTATTAAGATTCAACTTCAATAATTTACTTGAGCTTTATGTTTCATATCGCATATTAATTTGTCAAATGTGTATATTATTAGGCAGTTATTTTTCCTTAAATTTGGACCTTAGACAATATTGACAACATTCTTAAGGTCCTTAAAATAAATCATGAGGGCCCTAGCTGGTGTGCTAAGTGGTTAGAGTGTCGGCCCACACACTGAAGGATCTCAGGTTCAATTCCTGGTCAAGGGAACATACTGGGATTGCAGGTTCAATCCCCACCCCCCCTATATTGATGTTTCTCTCTTTTCCCCTCCCTCCCTCACTCCTTCTTTCCCTCCCTCCCTCCCTCCTTCCACTCTCTCTAAAAATCAATGGAAAATATATCTTGGGTGAAGATTAACAAGAAATGAATAAAATAAAATAAATCATGAGATCAGCTGGACCCCAGTCTTCTCCCTTTTCCTTTTGCTGTTCCTATAAGATCTTCCTTTGAATCTTTTAATTGCTGCAATATTGGAATGGCTTTCTGTTTGTTGGGTTGGTTTTTAATCTTAGGGCTAATTCGAATGTATAGGGCAAACTGCATTTAAGAAAACTGCAGTTTGAATTGACCTAGACATGCTGTAAATGTTGTGATGGGTGTAAATGAGAATTGTAATAACAAAAACAGCAATCCTTTACTGAGAACCAACAAACTCACCAATTACCCCCATTTCACAGTTGAGTTCATTGAGGCTCAAAGAGTTTAAAAAGAAATTTCCATAGAAATTTCATTGCACAGCTACAACTGAGGTTTTCTAACCACGCTCTCCGTTGGTGAGTTCTGGGGTTTCCTTGTTTCCCCACTACTGCAGCGCTGAGAGCTCAAACAGCAAACACCAGCCCTGGGAACACCTGGTGGGCAGGTGTCAAACAGGGGTATGTGCAGTATGGCCATGGCTGACGGGAGGTCCTAGGCTTAGAAAATGGTCTTTTAGGGCCCTGGGGCTGCGGATGGAGATTCAGCCAGATGGCAGTGGGAGTGCACAGAGATGTTGGAGTAAGTCTTCCTCACATACACAGCAGGCAACTCCCAGAAACAGACCTTCTGGGACTTGCCCATGGTGCCATTGCTGGGCATTCTAAATGTTTTCCTTCACGTGCAGGGAAGCGGGACACTGTGCAGTGTTTTTCCTGTGGTGGATGCTTAGGAAATTGGGAGGAAGGAGATGATCCTTGGAAGGAGCATGCCAAGTGGTTCCCCAAGTAAGTAGATCTCTCTCTCTCTCTCTCTCTCTCTCTCTCTCTCTCTCTCTCTCTCTCTCTCTCTCTTTCTCTCTCTGTCTCTGTCTCTATCTCTCTCATCTGAAACAAAACTAAAGACAAGAATTACCTTCCTAGAGTAGCATACTCAAAACTGGAATGTTCCAGAATTTCTTCAAGCAAGAATCACACAATTTAAAAATAATTTCTTAAATGTTACTTTGTCATCCTAAATATGAAGACATGTTTTGTCAAGTAGAAGAGTCAGGATCTACCCTAAGTGATAAATAAGAATAATTCATATAGGGATGATGTAAAATGGCATTTAAAGGAAACTGGAGAGTAAAGCAATGTTTAAGACTATTACAAATGGTTTTATGTACATTTTTATTTTAAAAACTCAGAATTTTGATTGTTGCAATGCTCTTTAATTCCCTTAGAAAATAAAGTATATTTTAATTATTTTTAATGCTATACTTACTAGTATCTATCTCTACATTACTTTGTATCTAGCAAATACATATTCATTTCCTTTATAATTTTTAAAACCTTTATTATAGAAAATTTCAAAGGTGGAGAGCATCTATAATAATAAAGTATAGTACACAAATCAACCAAACGGCCAAACAGCAGAACGACCATCCAGATGACCTTCTGGACGAAGCTGGGGCTCGAGGGCCTACTTTTTCATGAATTTTGTGCATCAGGCCTCTATTAGTATAATAAGAATTTATTAACACATGGCCAAGTCATATTCCATTGATCTTTCACCCACCTTTCTTCAGAAATAACAGCCAGTTTATATTAAAGTCAATTTTATACATCATACAATGCCATTTGTTGTTATTCTTTTAATATATTTTATTGATTCTTTACAGAGAGGAAGAGAGAGGGATAGAGAGCTAGAAATGTCGATGAGAGAGAACTATCGACCAGATGCCTCCTGCACACCCCCCAGTGGGGATGTGCCCGCAACCAATGTACATGCCCCTGACAGGAATCGAACCTGGGACCTTTCAGTCCGCAGACCGACGCTCTACCACTGAGCCAAACCGGTAGAGAAACATTGATCAGCTGCCTCCTGCACACCTCCAACTGGGTATGTGCCCACAACCAAGGTATATTACTTTGACTGGAATTGAACCTGGGACCTTTCAGTCCAGAGGCCAATGCTCTGTCCTCTGAGCCAAACTGGTTAGGGCTCTTAATATTTTTAATTTATAGATTTCCTTCTTTCGTCTTTTCTTGTCACTTATTCTTTATAGAAGCCATGTAATCTGTCCTGTAAAATTTCCTACACTCTAGGTTTGGCTGAATGTGTTTCTGTAGTTACTTAATGTTTTTCTACTTCCTGTTTTTCCATTTCCTATAACCTAGTACTTGGATCTAGCGATGTGATCAAGCTCATACTCTATTTCTCTATATATAATTAATTAATTTCAGTGAGGAAGAGAGAGGGAAAGACAGAAACTGTTGATAAGAGAGAATCATTGATTGGTCACCTTCTGTACGCCCCCTACTGGGGATCGAGCCCTGCAATTCAGGCATGTGCCCTTGACTGGAATCAAACCCAGGATCTTTCAGTCCACAGGCCAATGCTCTATCCACTGACCCAAACCAGCTAGGGCATCATACTCTATTTCTTTAACAAATATTTGTCATATAGCTACTACATGCAAAGAGGTTATTGGTTGTATCATAGATCGGCCACACAATACCTGGGCAGTTATCTATGTTTATAAGTAATTTTGCACATATACAGTCATGCTTACAAAAGAGGAAGGATATCTATGATATGGTAAGTGAAAAAAAGCAATATGCAAAATAATATGTGTAATGTAAGCCCTTAAAAAAATGTGTAAAGCCACTCAACCCATATACAGATTTGTTTGAAAATATATAGAGCCCTAGATGGTTTGCTTAGTGGATAGTGCATCGGACTGTGGACTGTAGGGTCAAGGGCGCATGCCCAGGTTGCAGACTGGCTCTCCAGTAGCGGACATTAAGAGACACTGATCAGTGATTCTCTCTCATCATTGATGTTTCTTTCTCTTTCCCTTTCTTTCTGAAATCAATAAACCTGGGCATGTGCCCTACCTGGGAATTGAACTGTGATCTCCTGGTTCATAGATCGATGCTCAACCACTGAGCCATACCAGCTACTAACAAAATCTCCAGCATATATAATATATATGTATATATTACTGTAAATCAGTCTCTTTGATTGTATTATGTATTTTGTTTCAAGAGAAAAGATAATTTTAAGACTTAATTTTAAATTATTTGTATTGTCACTTATGTAAGTAAAGAATAATTATGTGAGAATAATGATGAATCTCTTACATTTTGGTATAAGTCTCTTGACAGTTTTATTTGAAGTTGAAAAAATTCACTGTTTTTAAAGTGTACAATTCAGTAAGTTTTAACAAATGTTTATTGTATAACCATCACCACAATAATAGAGATATAGAACATCTCTATCACAATATTGGTGTAAATTTTAATTATGTTTATTAATTATAGATGTGAATTTCTTCAAAGTAAGAAATCCTCAGAGGAAATTGGCCAGTATATTCAAAGCTACAAGGGATTTGTTGGTGTCACGGTAATTCATAACAGCATTTCCCCCCCTCATGTTGGCTTTTCATTACCTAATAATATCTGAATTAGAAGAGGATGGGCTTTCTTTATTTGTTTTTTTGGGGGAGAGTCATGGGCTTCCTTTTTTGGGGGGGAGTCATGAATTCTACTTCTTACTTCTTTCTTATTCCCTTCTTTCCTACCCCTACTTCTCATCTGGCAGAATGAAGAAAATCACATTCTCTTGCTAGACTAGAGCCCTTAAAAGTCCTTTTTTCCAGGACTGTCTTTTGATTGGTCGGTTTGTCTTTCTCATAGTCTTTCCCTCTTTGACTCAGGCCACCTCCCCTAGCTTTCCTTGGCGGTCCCATCTGAATCTCTGTGTGAGATTTTTGGGACCATGTCACCATCACCCTTAGAGGGCCTCAGTTCCTGTCTCCTAGCTAGTTACTCTATAACTATTAATAAGAATTCCCTAATGGCAGGTCATAGAAATTCCAACCCAAATTGACTTAAGCAAAAAGGGGAATTGATTGGTTAACATGACTCAGAAGATGAGAACCCTGCAGAGAGAACTTGACCTGAACGTGGAGAAGTGTTTCCTGAGAAAGAAATCAAGTGCGGTTACCAGAGAAGGATCAGTTGCTTAATACCTAATGCCCTTCTCAATCTAGTTTCCTTCCTATATTTCATACTTCCTCATTAGGCAAAGTACATCTATGATATCCACATGTAAATCAGCTTTGGAGCTAGATGTCTGGAAGCAGCCACTCTAGAAGGCTTCCTGTTAGGTAGCAGCACTGCATAAAAAATTCCAACATTAATAGAAACAAATATTTAGAAAACGATCCCTAACAACCTTGCCACTCAATCCAATGAAACTTTATTTCATAGATATTTGTATCCTCTAAGTCAAAGTCAAATTTTTCATTTTCTTCAGGGAGAACATTTTGTGAATTCCTGGGTCAAGAGAGATTTACCTATGGCATCAGGTAAACACTCATTTTTTTTTTTTTAAGAAAAGAAACGTTAAAATATTTATTTTTAATTTTTATTTTTTAAAAATATATTTTATTCATTTTTGTACAGGGAGGAAGGGAGAGAGATAGAGAGTTAGAAACATCAATGAGAGTCATTGATCAGCTGCCTCTTGCACACCCCCTACTGGGGATATGCCCGCAACCAAGGTACATGCCCTTGACCGGAATCGAACCTGGGACCCTTCAGTCTGTAGGCCGATGCTCTATTCACTGAGCCAAACTGGTTTTGGCAAACTTTCTTCTTTTTAACCTCCCCCAATTATGCTGAAGCAAACTTCAAGCATCATATCATTTTGTCTGTAAATATGAAATGATAACTTGAACATGATACTTGCAATATCAAAACTTGCTGATCTGACCCTTTGCCTTTTATTCCAGCTTTTTGTAATGACAGCATCTTTGCTAATGAAGAACTACGACTGGACTCTTTTAAGAAATGGCCCCATGCATTCCCTGGGGCTCCTGCTGCTCTGGCCAAAGCAGGTCTTTTCTACATAGGTGAGTCAGTAGTTTGCCTCTTGCCTTGCTGCGCATTCAAGGCCCAGATACATTTAATGACCCTGGATTTGTATTTATCTAGTCTCAACAATATCCACTCTTCTAATCTTTCCTTATATATCCTTTTCCTTGCTATGTCAGAAAGCTGCTCCCAGTTTTCTATGACTAACTTAGGTAGAGAAGCTCCAAATTGAAACCTTAAGAACTCGACTAACAATGAATACAAGTACATGTATCCTCCACTTTTCAAAAGTTATTTTTATGCCACTTTGTTTTTATGAAAGATATATATATGAGTAAAGGTAGACTTGGAGATACTGCAGGTTCAGTTCCAGACCACTGCAATAAAGCAACTATCACAATATGGGAGTCATAATCCATTTGCTGGTGGAGGGTATTGTCTTCCATTTGCAAAAAATGTAATATCTGTGAAGCACATGACAGCAAAGCACAATAAAACTGTCACATGACCCTTCTGCTTCTACCCCTTTAACCAGAACTTAGTATGGCCAGACTAGCTATAAGAAAAGCGAAAAGTCAAGCAATTCTTTTTGTTGTTGTTAATCCTCACCTGAGGATGTTTTTTCCCTGATTTTTAGAGAGAGTGAAAGTGAGGGAGGGAGAGAAAGAGAGAAATAGAGACACATCGATTGGCTGCCTTTCAGATATGCCTGGATCAGGACTGGGGAATTGATTGACTGAGGTATGTACGTGTCTTTGACTGGAATTGAACCCAGGACCCTTTAGTCTGCGGGTGGACGCTCTAGCTACTGAGCCAAACTGGTTAGGGTCATAGCATTCTCTTTATTTATTCTTTTATTTTTATTTTTATATATTTTTAAATATATTTTATTGATTTTGTACAGAGAGGAAGGGGGAGAGAGAAAGAGTTAGAAACATCGATGAGAGAGAGTCATCGATCAGCTGCCTCTTGCACACCCCCTACTGGGGATATGCCCGCAACCAAGGTACATGCCTTTGACCGGAATCGAACCCGGGACCCTTCAGTCCCCAAGCCAACGCTCTATCCATTGAGCCAAACCGGTCTCAGCATAGCATTCTCTTTAGCTTCTGGTCATCAGGAAGTTCCCCTCTGTAATCCACAACTATTAATAGTAGGCTGGTTCCCTTCAGCTAACTGCCTGAGGTACAGTAATGATCAGAGAAAGGCTATTGTGCCCTGCCTCTGTCCTTGCTGACCTTCTTCAGACCAGACACACACATTGAGTTACAGGACCATGCAGATCTTTTACTGAGAGGTCAAATGGATGTCACAAATATCACACAGCAGTGCAGAGTAGGGGAATAGGGTGGTCACTTTATTTTTATTTTTATTTTAAAAAATATATATTTTATTGATTTTTTTTACAGAGAGGAAGGGAGAGGGATAGAGTTAAAAATATCGATGAGAGAGAAACATTGATCAACTGCCTCCTGCATACCTCCTACTGGGGATGCACCCATAATCGAGGTATATGACCTTGACCAGAATTGAACCTGGGACCCTTCAGTCCACAGGCCGATGCTCTATCCACTGAGCCAAACCGGTAAGGGCTGTAGGTTTGGTCACTTTAATAAAAATATTCCATAGTACAGAATGATCTTAATGGCTCACAAACTTAAGCATTTGGAAAGGCAGTGCTCCTACTCTTTATTCTGTCTTCCTCTTGCCAGCCTCCTTCAAATACCCTCTGTCCAGTATCCTCATCCTCTTCCTGTCGAACCTCCATCTCTCCCCACAAATCCTAATCATCTGACCCTCTAAAAGTCTTGCCAACTCTAGGACCTCATATTGTCATGCAGACACAAAGGGAGGTTCTCCTCTGCTCCAGCTTTGCCATGCCTACAGAGGTCTAAGAGTGGAAGATGATAGATATTCCATTTCTACTTCAATCCTTTGGTAGATTCAAATGCTAGTTTCCTTCCTAAGAAATATAGTCTCACAAGGAGACTTGATCTACTTCTAGTGGAATAAACCTGGCAATAATGTGGTAATAGGTATTTGAACACAGGGCTGCAAAATTTGCTCACATTTTCCCCCCATGAGCTCCATCTGTATTCTCTCTGATTTAATCATGAAAAAAATGCTTATAGAGTGCCTAATAAATGCTAGGCACTCTTCAGGTCCACGAGATTCATTGGGGAACAAAACAGACAAAAGTTTTTTCCTTCATAGAGCTTTAATGCGCACACTGATTTGCATATCTCCTACTCTATAGGAGGATGGGACAGGGAAAGGGTGTTCATCGAAGTACATGGTACATAGCAGCATCCATGACTATTTGGTCCTGTATAGAATATTGCCCCAACTTGTGACTTTGTCACAAAATCTGATTGGAAATGCAAGTAGGGTTTTGCTAATAAAGGCCTAGTAGTTACTTGTGTCAGTTGAGAAATACACATGCCAGTTACATTGATTGAATTTCCTTACATCTAGGTATAGAGGATACCGTCCAGTGTTTTTCCTGTGGAGGATGTATGAACAACTGGGTGGAAGGTGATGACCCATTAGGAGATCATTCCAAATATTTTCCTAAGTGAGTGGAATGCTTAGTGTCGGTGAATTTGGATATACTTTAAAACAATCATTTTTTTCACATTTTCTTATTAAATATTTGCTCAACCCTCTGATTCCTGCTCTGAAGAATGAGTCTTTACCTCTTATCCCCTTGTTCTCATGACACCCTTTCAATTTAGCATTTCCTTTATTTTAGTTATAGCATAGTTTTGGTGAGATCAGTATTTTTACATTATATGTTTACTTATGACTGCATAAATGCTATGCAGAACTGAACTTGTTGTAAATTTTTATTTTCCCTCTCTGTACAAGTTTTAGCTTTTGTAAAAAGTAATAATTGTCTCGTTAGTAGTTTAATTTTTAGTTTAGTTTTTAAAAAATATATATTTTATTGATTTTATTACAGAGAGGAAGGGGAGGGATAGAGTGCTAGAAACATTGATGAGAGAGAAACATCCATCAGCTGCCTCCTGCATACCCCCCACTGGGAATGTGCCCGCAACCAATGTACATGTCCTTGATCGGAATCAAACCTGGGACTCTTCAGTCTGCAGACCGACGCTCTATCCACTGAGCCAAACCGGTTTCGGCTAAAATGAAATTCATACATTAACCACTTTAAAGTGCACAATCTAGTAGTATTTAGTACATTTACAGTGTTGTGCAAATACTTCCTCTAATTCCATTTTAATTACCCCAAAAGAAAACTGTACCCATTAAGTAATCACTCCCTATCTTTCCACACCATCCTACTCTAGCTCCTTAGAGCTACCAATATACGTTCTGTCTCTACAGATTTACTTATTATGGATATTTTATTTGTTTGTTTATTTTTAAAATATATTTTATTGATTTTCTACAGAGAGGAAGGGAGAGGGGAGAGAGCTAGAATATCAATGAGAGAGAAACATCGATCAGCTGCCTCCTATACACCCCCCACTGGTGACGTACCCGCAACCAAGGCACATGCCCTTAACCGGAATCAAACCTGGGACCCTTGAGTCCGCAGGCTGACGCTTCATCCACTGAGCCAAACCGGTCAGGGCTGGATATTTTATATAAATGGAAACATACAATATGACTTTTTGTGTCTGGTTTCTTTCACTTAGCATAATGTATTGAGGTTCATCCATGTTGTAGCATGTATCAGTACTTCATTTTTTTTTTTTTTTAATATATATTTTATTGATTTTTCACAGAGAGGAAGAGAGAGAGAGTTAGAAACATCGATGAGAGAGAATCATGGACCAGCTGCCTCTTGCACACCCCCCACTGGGGATGTGCCTGCAACCAAGGTACATGCCCCTGCCCGGAATCGAACCCGGGACCCTTCAGTCCCCAGGCCGACGCTCTATCCACTGAGCCAAACCGGTCCCGGCAGTACTTCATTTTTTTTTTTTTATGACAGAGTTATATATATTTTCCATATTCTCACCAATACTTTTCTTTAACTATAGTATTTGCTTAGGTTTGTTTTTTTTCCCCAAATGTCTTGAGCACCAGTTTATCATCAAATTTACCCAAATGTTTAAATCTTCTCTAGTCATTCAGAGCTATAAGATATTCCATAATTTTCATTTTCTTGAAGTTTCTCTCCAACATGAACTGCTTATCCTGTAGTCTTCCTGGGATCCTAGGGATTCCTGTTGGCTTTCTCCTGTATTGTAGCTCCTGTGTCCTGGATCTAATGTCATCTTTTTGTTTTATCCACTCATTTGGTGGAGCACTCCCCCATTTCCCTGGAAAAGATTGACCAAGTGATACATATTTCTAGCTTGTATATAATTCATATATCTGAATATAATCTCATATTTGTTTCATAGTTTAGCTGGGTATAGAATTCTAGGTTAGAAGTTGTCCTAATTTCAATTGTAAAGGCATTGCTACATTTTTCTATAGCTTCCAATGTTGCTATTGATTTTGATTCTTTTTTTTTTTTTTTAATATATATATTTTATTGATTTTTTTACAGAGAGGAAGAGAGAGGAATAGAGAGTTAGAAACATCAATGAGAGAGAATCATCGATCAGCTGCCTCTTGCACGCCCCCTACTGGAGATGTGTCCGCAACCAAGGTACATGCCCTTGCCTGGAATCAAACCCGGGACCCTTCAGTCCCCAGGCCGACGCTCTATCTACTGAGCCAAACCGGTTTCGGCTGATTCTGATTCTTAATCATATATATTAGGTAATATGCTAATTGGGCCTAATGACTCTGATAGAACAAACCACTAGAAATGTCAATTTTATATTAAATTTTCCAACTAAAACTAGTAGTATTTAAAAAAACCTAATGCAAAGACTTACTTACCTACAACTAATTTTATAACTTTTAACTTTTGTGCTTAGCTGTCCGTTTCTCCAAAGTCTGAAGGCCTCTGTAAAAGTGACTCCAGACCTGCAGAACCACGATGAGCTTTCTGAATTGACGGTAACAAACACCATGATCTTGTTTATTTTAGCAACACATGGTTGAAAACTGTGTTTGATAGGAATTATTTATCCTAAACAAATAAATAAATAAATTTGACAAATATCTATTAAGCATCTATGATGTGTTAGGTGTGGATGGGAATACTACATAAATAAGATATAATACCTCGCTTCATTAAATGTAGAGTTAGTCCCTTCTACTTTGGGGCCCAGACTCTTTTAGACTCAGAGGTGCTCAGATCCAGGCAATCTTCACTTGGAAGACAAATAAGGTCTGTCTTGCTACTTGGCCATGCTCAGGGCTGGAAAGATAGTTCTTTTACAAAAGCAAATGACCAACAAAATCATAAATCCAAATTATAGGTGTACCCCTTTAAATGGGTCATAGTTCTCTAGCATATAAACCATCAATTTCACACACACACACACCTAGACACCTTATTTGAGACTGTATGTTAGGTATATTAGGTTTGTCATCCCATAGAAATATAAAGTAACTGGCTGTTCATTTGATTTAAGTTAATATTTGTTAGCTGAAAAAATAAAATTGAAGAAAAAAGCTTGGGGATATTAAAATGACTTACTTTTTAAGGAAGAAACATAACCTTCCTATACCACAGGTATGTAATATTAAACATGTTAATAACTTAGGTCAATAGCTATATCTAATGATTTTTGGAGGATTGTCTTGCTCTAGATGCTATGATTCTGATTACCTGGACAGTAATCTCTCCTTGACTCACCCATGTGTACCACTTAGGAGCACACACTTAAGGGGTTTGCAGATCAGGTATTACTCCATATTTATAGCATGCCTCTTTTCAACAGGCATAAATATTTGAGGGTGGGTTGTATTTCAGTGATGTTTGGTCCACAATTATAACATGATACCTCACCCTCTTATATACATTTTTATTTAATAGAGGATTTTATTTTTAAAGGAAACCATAAGTGAAACCAATCTTGAAGATTCAGCAGCAGTTAGTTCTCTAATGCCAGGTAAGGATTTTAAAATAGCTCATGGGATTATATACAGGATGCCCCCCAAAATAATGAGGGTAATATTTATTAAAATATATTTCATTTTCAAAATGTAATAGAAATCAGCTGTTAATGTGTGTGTATACATTTTTTGGGACTCCCTGTATATGTGTACATATATTTATATGAAGGGGATTTTAAAAGAGAAAGGATTTGTATTTGTGCCTTCTTTCTTTCCTTCCACAGAGACAGCCCAGAGTGAATCCCAGTGGTTTTGGAAGGCAAAAAGCCTGAACCAGAGGCTGAAAGAAGCCTACATCGATGCCAGTTTCCGCCACATGTGTATGCTTGAGGTCTCTTCCAAGCTGGCCACAGACCACTTGTTGAGTTGTGATCTGTCCCTTGCTTCAAAACACATCAGCTCTCCTGTGCAAAAGCCTGTACTGTTGTCTGATGTCTTTGCCAACTTGAACTCTGTCATGTGTGTGGAGGGTGAAGCTGGTAGTGGAAAGACAGTCCTCCTGAAGAAAATAGCTTTTCTTTGGGCATCAGGATGCTGTCCCTTGTTAAACAGGTTCCAGCTGGTCTTCTATCTCTCCCTTAGCTCTACCAGACTGGACCAAGGGCTGGCCAACATCATTTGTGACCAACTCCTAGAGACAGAAGGATCTGTTACTGAGACGTGCCTACGGAACATCATGCACCAATTAAAGAATCAGGTGTTATTCCTTTTGGATGACTACAAAGAAATGTGTTCAGTCCCTCAAGTCATACAAAAACTGATTCAAAAGAACCATTCATCAAAGACCTGTTTATTGGTTGCCGTCCGCACAAACAGAACCAGAGACATCCGGCAATACCTACATACGGTTCTAGAGATCAAAGCGTTTCCCTTCTATAACACTGTCTACATATTACGGAAGTTTTTTTCTCATGATTTGACCCGTCTGCGAAAGTTTATAATTCACTACAAATTAAATGAAAATTTGCAAGGAATTCAGAAAACTCCTCTTTTTGTAGCAGCAATTTGTGCTAATTGGTTTCGAAACCCCTTTGACGGGTCCTATGATTATGTGGCTGTTTTCAAGTCCTATATGGAATGCCTTTCCTTAAAGCACAAAACTTCAGCTGAACGTCTCAAAGCAACTGTGTCCTCCTGTGGTACGCTGGCCTTGAAAGGGTTTTTCTCTTCTTGCTTTGAGTTTAGTGATGATGACCTTGTAGAAGCAGGAGTTGACAAAGATGAAGATCTAACCATGTGCCTGATGAGTAAATTCACAGCCCAGAGACTGAAACCAGTCTATCAGTTTTTGGATCCTGCATTTCAAGAATTTCTCGCCGGGATGAGGCTGATGGTACTGCTGGATTCCGATAGGCAAGAAGATCAAGACTTGGGACTTTATTATTTGAAACAAATCCAGTCTCCCATGATGACTGTAAGTCCCTGTAACAATTTTTTGACGTACGTCTCCTGCTACCCTTCAACAAAGGCAGGGCCAAAAATTGTATCTCATTTGCTTCATCTTTTGGACAACCAAGAGTCATTGGAGAATATATCTGAAAAAGACAATCTGAAGCACCATCCGGAAGTTTTGAAGACAGTGCACATCCTTAGATCATGCTGGCAAATATCTCCAGAAAATTACTTTTCACTGGTTTCAAAACATTTACTGACTCTTGCCATAAAAATTGCTTATCAAAGCAACACTATTGAAGCATGTTCTCCATTTATTTTACAATTCCTTCAAGGGAGAACCCTGACTTTGGATATGCTTAAGTTACAGTATTTTTATGACCATCCAGAAAGCCTGCTATTATTGAAGAGCATCCGAGTCTCAATAAGTGGAGACTTGAAAATCGTATCACCTATACCAGATAATTCATTTCTGGAGGCATATGGGGACAAATCACAGGCACCAGCTATACATCAGGACTGTGCTTCTGCCTTTGAGGATATGATGGAATGGGAACGGGATTTAGCTGAAAAGCAGAAAAACATAAAGAGATTCCTGAATATGAGGGTCAAAGCACCACCAGACATCAGCTCCGGCTATTGGAAACTTTCTCCAAAGCAGCACAAGATTCCCCTTTTGGAAGTCCACGTGACTGATATGGATGGTGTGGACCAAGAGATGCTCAGGATTCTAATGACAATTTTCTCAGCTTCACAACGCATTGAACTTCACTTAAAGGGAAGCAAGGGCTTTATTGAAAGCCTTTGCCCAGCTCTTGAGCAATATAAGGCTTCTTTCACCAAGTGCTCCATAAACAGATCTGAGCTGAATGCAGTAAAACAGGAATTGCTTCTCAATCTGCCTTCCTTGGAATCCCTTGAAGTCTCAGAAACAGCCCACATACCAGGTGTGTGTGTGTGTGTGTGTGTGTGTGTGTGTGTGTATCTGAATATATTTTAGCTGGCTATTCTGATAGTAATTTTATTTGCTTACTCTTGGTTTTAGGTGGATAAAACTTGTGAAAGCATGAGACCATAAATGCTTGCTGATAGAATAGATATAAAATAAATAATTTATTTTTGTCAGTAGTATGAAATAGTGAAAGGCTTCTAAACAGAATGTTTTTCAAACAGCTCAGATAAAAAATTAATGAAAATTAAATATTTCATACAACTCAGATAAAAATATTAAGTAAATAAGCAGACACAAATTACTAGTAAAATAATGATCTGTATGTAAAGATGATGCTTGAGGATTACCCTTACCCTATCTGCCAAATGGAAGGAAGGGCTTACACTGTACTGTCTGGAAAATAAATGGGAAATAATATCTCCCACTTATGTTTCCTTTCACATGCTTTTAGTAATGTTTGCAAGTTTTCCATGTAGGCTTCCTATTTCTTTCATTAAATTTATTCCTAGGTACTTATGTAAATAATATTTAATTTTTTTTCCATTTTCTACTTTTTGTTCTTGTGGCTTTGGTTTTTCAACAAAAACCAATGTCTAGGTCTGCTTTGTTTTATGTTATTTCTTCTGGCTATTGTAAGTCACGTTGCTATGAATATGGGTGTACATATATCTGAGACCCTGCTTTCAATTCTTTCAGATATAAACTCAGAAATGGAATTGCTGCATCATATTAACTATAGTAATTTTTTTTGTTTGTTAATCCTCATAACAGATTATTTTTTTCATTGATTTTTACAGAGTGGGATGGTGAAACAGAGAGAAATGTCAACGTGAGAGAGACACATTAACTGGTTGCCTCCTGCATACACCCTGATCAGGGCTGGAGATTGAGCCTGCAACTAAGGTTCGTTCCCTTCACCTGAACAGAACCCGGGACCCTTTAGTCATGGACCGATGCTCTAACTGACCCAAACCAGCTAAGACAAATAGTAATTTTCCTTAATTTTTGAAAAATCTCCAAATTTCTTAATTTTCCCGAGTGGTTGCACCATTTTATTTTTTTAAATATATTTTTATTAATTTCAGAGAGGAAGTGAGAGGAGAGATAGAAACATCAATGATGAGAATCATTGATCAGCTGCCTCTTGCATGCTCCCTACCAGGGATTGACCTGCAATCTGGGTATGTGCCCCGACCAGGAATCAAACGTGACTTCCTGGTTTATAGGTTGACACTCAACCACTGAGCCACATTGGCCAGACATGGCTGCACCATTTTGTATTTCCATGAGCAATGTATGGAGGAGCAGTGTATTTGGGGGTAGCCCCAATTTCTCCACATCCTCATCAAAACATTTTTTTAATTTTTATAAAGGCATCCTAGTAGGTGTGAAGAAGTATTTCATTGTGGATTTGATTTTCATTTCCCTAATGACTAATGGTTTGTGCATATTTTCATGTGCTTATTTATTGGTTGCTTGTGTCTTTTTTTCTTTTTTTCCCCAAATATATTTTATTGATTTTTTTACAGAACAGAAGAGAGAGGGATAGAGAGTTAGAAACATCAATGAGAGAATCATCAATCAGCTGCCTCTTGCACACCTCCTACTGGGGATGTGCCTGCAACCAAGGTACATGCCCTTGACCGGAATTGAACCTGGGACCTTTCAGTCTGCAGGCCAATGCTCTATCCACTGAGCCAAATCTATTTTGGCTGCTTATGTCTTTTTTGAGAAGACATGTCTAGTAAGTCCTTTGCCCATTTTTCAATTTTATTGCCCTTTAATTCTGAGTTGTAGTTCTTTGTATATTCTGATATTAAATCCTTATTGGGCGTATGGTTTGAAAATATTTTCTTATACTGTAGAGGTTGTCTTTTCAATGTCTCAATGATGTCCTTCGATGCACCATTTTAAATTTGATTCAGTCCAATTGCTAGTGCTTTTACTAGCATATCTAAGAATCCAGTTTCCTTCTAAGAGTTGTATAGTTTAGTTTTTATATTTAGGTTGTTGATCCACTTTGAGTTAATTTTGTATATGGAGCCAGAAGTAGAGAGTCCAACTTCATTCTTTTGCATGTAGATATCCAATTGTATTTGTTGAGACAAGGTCTTATTTTTGTGAATCCGGACAGTAGCACAAGTCTTCCCACACAGTAAGTAGTCAATAAGTGCTGCATAAAGCAGTATCTTCATATATATATACTTTCTAGAAAAGAATGTTTTATGGTATTGATACCACTATAATTAGCTAGTTATAAAAAATTGGAAAGAAGCAGAGAAGACCAGACATTATAGGCATGTTTCCTAAAAAACACGGGGGAGAGATCCAATAAAGGAAGATAGACGCATGCCCAGTAAAGTTGGGATGACAGAGGGAAAGTCTGTCAGTCACACCTGGGGAGAGAGATGGTTGGCCAGAATGGGTGTGGCCACTGTAAGTGCTTGGAAATTTGGGATATTTAACCCCCTGAATAAAGGAGTTCACTGTCTTGGTTCCTCTTGGCACACTTGGCTCACACTTGGCTTCCTGGCATTCTCCTAAGTGGCCCACAGACCCCCCCACACAATGGACTAATGAACTACTGGACTGCAGCTGGCCTAATGGCTGTATTTGACCCAGCTGCAACATTGAACTATAGTTTCGGATACTGGCTCTGCTTTTAGCCCTGCTGAAACCCCAGCTACACTTCTATTCGTGAAATGGGGCTTCGGAAACTCAGGGATATAATTCCTCCTTTGCGAGTCTCAGAAAATTCCGTTTCTTGGCGTATGGCAAGGACCCCACTCCCATTAGCAAGGGAGTGGGAAAAGTTTTCATGTGAAAACAGTGTGATGAATCAAAATGAGTTTCAAATTTGCCACTCTGGAACTCTTTACATAAATAACAGGAAACTGTGTTGCTTTCTAGATCAACTCTTTCCTAATTTGGACAAGTTCCCATGTCTGAAAGAATTGTCAGTGGACATGAATGAAAAAAATGTTTTTCCAGTTATTCCTGAAGAATTCGTAAATCTCCACCATATGGAGAAATTATTGATCAAAATTTCCACTGAGAAAGGTCCTTCCAATATAGGTAAGGATGGCACATTGTTTTTACATCACTTGGTAGAACTACTTGGCCAATGATTCATTTAAGAGTAAAAGCTGCTGTGGGCCTGTGGGTAAAGCCTGTATCCATGGTAAATTGGGAGAATAGCACATTCTCATTAAGAGAGCAAAGAGGTATTGGTAATTATTGAGTCCTTACTACAATACATGCTAGGAAATTACTACAAGCACTTTACAGGTTTTAGCTCACTTAACCTTCATATCCATTCAAGAGGTAAGATACTGTTATTCTCATTTTACAACTGGGAAATTGAGGTATAAAGAGGTAATTGCTCAAGGTCACCCCAACTAAGGAAATGGTCGCCTGTGATTCAAACACAGGAATTCTAACTACTACCAAGGCTGAGCTTTAACCACGGAAATACTGTCTCTCCAAAATAATTTGTAGAGTTATTTTATTTTGTTTTAAAGTTACAGATACCTGCCAAATTAGGTAGAAGGAAATATGCTGATGGGTAGCAATTGGAAGCATTTCCCCGTTTTTCCCACCAGCCTATGTTCACGGTTAATGGACTTAGGCATCATCAGTTCCTTAGTTCAGTACAGGCTGAACACTAAGGACTGAGAAAATGTAAAATTCTATGGAACTGACATGCAAAAGAATTCACTGAACTGGAAGAAGTTATTTTCTTAACTCTGTTAGCAATTTTTGCATCAAATTTAGATTTTTGTTTCAGAGTTGTCATTGCTTGTTTCTTTGTATAGTATTCCTATTGTGTAAATGTCATGTGCGCACTTAGGAGCATTAAGAGTTAAAACTGAAGGTGACTTTCCTGAGTCAATGCCCTTCTTTTACAGAAAATTGATCCCTGAAGAGGCTCAGTTCAAGTTCACATAGCTTACTAGGTCATTGCAGATCCTGAACCTAAGCCGAAGTGGCTTGACTTGTGGATCATTACATCATGGTGCTTTGTTTTAATTCAAGATTGTTGAACCACAATAACAAATTATGTGGCTAATCCTGATAGAAATTTGCAATCTTCCCTAATTTCTTAAATCCTTGATATTTTACAGTTAAATTAATTGAGAATTCTCCAAACCTTAATGTTTTCCATCTGCAATGTAATTTCTTTTCGGATTTTGAGTCTCTCATGACTGTACTCGCTTCCTGCAAGAAACTGAAAGAAATTAAATTTTCTGGAGCATTTTTAAAACCCATCCCATTTGGTAAGAGGCTACAATTTTAAAATTTTGGTTTAAGGCACTTTTTAAAAATAGGCACATTTTAAATATGCAATTGATGCCAAATTGATGTAATATATATATATATATGATCTTAATTGAGTTATCAAATAAGTTGTGTTTCTAAAAGTTTAAATATTTCTAGTTATCAGAATTATTTCCTGCACAAAGAATTATTTCCTGACTAAATATTACCTATTTAGTCATACTAATTAATTCTATCTGAATTACTGTATTATTTTCTATTGCTTTAAAAATATTTTTAATCACATTACTTTTTGGTATGTGAGTTATAATTAATATAACTAGATTTTTATTTTCCTTTTATAGTCACCATTCTGCCGAATTTTATTTCTCTGAAGATATTAAATCTTAATCTACAGGAATTTCCAGATAAGGAGACATCTGAAAAATTTGGTATGTGTACAAAACAGTACCTTTTATTCTTTAGTCTCTTCCCCCTCAAATCCTTCCATCTATTTTGCATTAGCTACAACAAATCACGATATGTATCAACTATCCTAGCTAATTAGAAGGGACAGGGCTGCTCAACTTTTACCCTCACATGCCTTGATTATTCTCAGAATGCCTTATGGGTCATTATACCACTATGCAATTTCATTGGCAGGTACCCGTTCCAAAGATGTTAAGTCTGTGTTGTTTTAAGTTTCTGGGATATAGATAAAACTGTCTTTTAAGGTTCAGAAAACTCATATGTGAAAACCCAGACTTAATAAAATGATTAGCAATAAAAAGAGCGTAAGTATTTTTTCATTTTTTTTATGATTACAAAAGTAATGTATGCTGATTGGAAAAAAACATAAACTGAGGCATATTAACAATTTTAAGTTCACTTAAGTAAAAATTGATTTGAATTGGGGAACATCCTGTTTAGCAGACAGAAAGGAGCTCGGAGGAGCAGCGACACAGAATGACTTATAGGTAGAAGGGAGCAGCAACAAGGAAGTTATATCGGGTAAAAAAGTTGGTTGGTGAATGCAAGGATAATTTCCTTTAGGGGATGGCAGAGTTTTAAAGGCTGATAACCTAACTAGCGCTGTTCAGATGATTCCTGATTACCTGGTTTAAGATTCCATTTCTGGGAGAGCTGGAAGTCGAAGTCTTGGTTTGGTGACAAGAAACTTAGCATAAGCAACTCTGTTTGGGGATCATGTCTCATTTTTAACTCAGGAAAATATAAGTTGGGTCAATAGAGATATGGAGTGTTGAACAGTTAGTCCCTTTTAAACTAGCAAACTTTAGCATGCTTAAGGATCACTTGGATCTCGTCCTCCTCTTTTCTCCCTTTGGAGGCAGCTGTGTGGGTAGGGGAAGAGCAGGAGGGCTGAATTGGGCAGAGGAAGGACCAGGGGTCAAGAAAGTGCCTGGTATATACAACAGGTTGATTAAACAAATATGCTGAGTATAATGAGAGCCAAGTTTCCTCACTGAGAAGGAATTTATAAATATTGAAAGGGTAGGTTAGAAAGAACTTTACGGTATTAAATTAGAATTGGAAATATTGACGTGAACTCATGGCTTTTTTTTTTAAAGTGTTTTTATTGATTTTAGAGAGAGAGGAAGTGAGAGGGAGAGCTAGAAACATCGATGGGAGAGAATCATTGATCACCTGTCTCCTGCACGCCCCACACTGGGGATTGAGCCTGCAACTTGAGCATGTGCCCTGATTGGGAATTGAACCAGTGACCTCCTGGTTCATAAGTCCACACTCAACCACTGAGCCGCACCGCCTGGGTTGAACTCATAGTTTTAATCTATTCACAAAATATTTCTATACACAAACACACATTTATATTTCTAAGTTCAGTCAACCGAGACACTAGAAAATACCTTAATAGCAATGAGTACAACAGATGCCCAGATCTAGAGTTTTTAAATATTGGCTTCCCCAAAAGGAACGCAAGTTCTTATAGAAATGGCTTAAGAACTGGGATAGAGAAAGCAAAAGGTTGGAACATTGTTTTTTTTTTTTTTTTTTTTAAATCCTCACCTGAGGAGGATATGCTTTTCGTTGATTTTAGAGAGAGGTAGAGAAACATCAATGTGAGAAACATCAATTGGTTGCCTCCTGTACATACCCCAACGGAGGATCAAACCTGCAACCTGGGTATGGGCCCTGACCGGGAATCAAACTCCCAACCTTTCAGTGTACGGGACAACACTCCAACCAACTGAGCCATCTGACTGGGGCCTAGGACATTGTTTTAAGGTAGAAAGTATCCAAAACATCTCCAGGTGTGATGCCTCAGAAGTAAAGAACTTTTTAGGGATCAAGTAATCTACTGTACAATGTTAAGGATGGAATTCAAGTGAAAAGGAAAGAGAGTGGTGGATTGAGATTTAGTGCTGTGAGGCAGAGGGAAACATCACTGAGATAATAGCAGGAAGTGGGATTGAAAGGAAGTGGGGCCGAAGGCCTTCAGGAGCTAGGAGAGTTATCCAGGATGCCAGAAGCAGCTTCAGTCTAAAAGAGGGAAGGGATATGTTAGGTATTGTGCACTTCAATGCAGGAAAGACTGGGGAGGGTGAAAAAATGGTTGTCTGGAAGTAGCAATGAAGACGAAGGTGGCCCTAGCTGGTTTGGCTCAGTGGATAGAGCATTAGCCTGTGGATTGAAGGGTCCCAGGTTCGATTCTGGTCAAGGGCACATGCTTGTATTGCGGGCTCGATCCATAGTAGAGGTCATGTCGGAGGGAGCTGATCAATGATTCCTTCTCATTGATGTTTCTCTCTCTCTCTCCTCTCCCTCTTCCTCATCTGAAATAAAAAATATATTAAAAAAAAGATCAAGGTGTAGACTGACCCCTTTCTCTCGTCTTTGGAGAGGAAGAGGAACAGTCTCTATGACAGTGTTTTTCAACCTTTTTTGGGCAAAGGCACACTTGTTTCATGAAAAAAAATCACGAGGCACACCACCATTGGAAAATGTTAAAAAATTTAACTCTGTGCCTATATTGACTATATATAAAGTAATTCTCTTGAATAGGAATCAAATAAACACAAAGAAAGTATTTTATAATTACTTTATTATGAAATATTAAGTAAACAAAATAGTGAAAAATTATAAAATTCTTGTCTTGTCTGCACATACGGCACACCAGGCAACATCTGTGTGCCGCGGAACAGCGGTTGAAAAATGCTGCTCTATGATATATGGGGCCTCCTGGACTGTGCATGATTTTGAGGCTAGAGACCATGAAAAAGCTGTTGATTTGTTTGTCTTCTGATAGCCTACACATTAGGTTCTCTTAGCAATCTGGAAGAATTGATCCTTCCTACTGGGGATGGGATTCATCAGGTGGCCAAACTGATCATCCAGCAGTGTCAGCATCTTCGATGTCTCCGAGTTCTTTCATTTTTCAAGACTTTAAATGATGACAGTGTAATGGAAATTGGTGAGTTACCCTCTGATAAAATGTTTCAACCTTGCCCTAGATGGGTGGCTCAGTTGGTTGGAGCATTATCCTGTAAACCAGAAAGATTGTGGGTTCAGTTTCCAGTCAAGATACATATCTATGTTGCAGCTTCAATCCTCAAGTCAGGACGAGCATGGGAAGCAACCCATCTTTCCCTCCCTCTGTTTTTCTCTCAAATCAATAAACATGTCTTCAGGTGAGGATTTAAAAAACATTTTGGCTTGAATGAAAGCCAGTGACATTAGTCAAATTTTCTGCTACGTTGTCTATACAGCTGCCTGGCCGGCGTGGCTCAATGCTTTGAGCATCAACCTACGAACAAGGAGATCATGGTTGGATTCCTGGTCAAGGCACATGCCCCAATTGCAGGCACAAACCCCAGTTGAGGGGCATGCAGGAGATGGCCAACCAATGATTCTCTCTCAGCATTGATGTTTCTAGCTCTCCCTTCTCTGAAATCAATTAAAAAAAAAATTTTTTTAATGTCTATAGACTTCTCTCTCTCTAAAAATGTTCAACCCACTTCATTATCTCTATCTTATCATTCCCTCTAATGTCCTGGTCAGATATGGAAGTAAAAGATGCCCTCCAATTTGAGACTATACAAAGCTCTCAAGTCTGTTCTTTAAAAATAATTTTTTTTTTAAATTTTTAAATACTTCTGTTTAAGAAATATATTTTAAACAAAATCATCGTAATATATATAAAATGATTTCAGAGAGGAAGGAAGAGGGAGAGAGAGAAACATCCATGATAAGAGAGAGTCATGAGTTGGCCTGCTCCCGCAAGTCCCCCCACTGGGGATCCAGCCCACAACCCAGGCATGTGTCCTTGATCAGAATCAAACCTGGGACCGACCTTTCAGTTCACAGGCCGATGCTCTATCCACTAAGCCAAACCAGCTAGGGCAAATTTTGTATGTTTTATTGATTTTAGAGAAGGGATGGGGAATGTCTGGTCTGTGAGCTATATAAGGCCCATGAAATCATTTGGACTGGCCCTTCCAAGGCATTAAGGGAGAGTTAATTAAATGTGTGACCAAATACAGCAGAATAATTTTTAAGTTGATAATTATTGGTCCATGAGTGATGTTATAAATATCTAAATAGCCCTTGGCAGAAAAAAGGTTTCCCATCCATTTATATGTATATATGTGCGTGTAAATATATGTATGTACGTATGTATGTATTTATTTATTGGCATTTTCTATTTCCAGTGATGATGAGAGAGGAGATTGGTTCAAATAATCTAGTCTATTATTATTGAAACAAAAATCTTAAGATTCCCATTTCATAAATATTTTGCTTTTACAGCCAAAGTAGCAATCAGTGGAGGTTTCCAGAAACTTGAGGACTTAAACCTTTCAATGAATCACAAGATTACAGAGGAAGGATATAGAAATTTCTTTCAACTACTGGACAACTTGCCAAACTTGCAAAAGTTGACCATTTCCAGGTATTACACTGAATGTATCAGAGCTCAGGCCACCACAGTGAAGTCTTTGAGTCAATGTATGTTACGGCTGCCAAGTCTCACCACACTGACCATGTTTAGCTGGCTCCTGGATGCAGAAGACATCACACTGCTTACTTCGACAAAAGAAAAACACCCTCAATCTAAACATTTCAATATTTGGTGGAAATGGATATTGCCATTCTCTCCAATCATTCAGAAGTAGAAGACTTAGCTAAAAACTGCTGTATCAAGAAAAATTTTGTCAACAATTTAAAAACCGAATTATCCAAAAACATTTTATTACACACTAGAGGACCAGTGCACAAAATTTGTGCACCGGTGGTGGTGGGGTGTCCCTCAGTTCAGCCTGCACCCCTTTCCAATCTGTGACCCCTTGAGAGATGTCCAACTGCCAGCTTAGGCCTGATCCCTAAACCAGTAGTTGGACATCCCTCACAATCCTGGACTGCAGGCTAACCACTTGCCTGCCTGCCTGCCTGATTGCCCCTAATCACTCTCCTGATAGCCCCCTAACTATTCCTCTGGCGACCTGATTGATGCCTATCTGCTCCCCTGCCAGCATGATCATACCAAACTGCCCTTCCCTGTTGGCCCTATCACCCCCAACTGTCTTCCCCTGTGGGGCTGAGGGGACTAAACACCGCCTTGTGGCTGTGGGTGCCACCATCTTTGTGAGGGTGTGAAAGTGAATTAGTATATTCCCTCTTTATTAGATAGGATTACAAGCAAAATAATATTTATAAAACATGTAAGGCATGTAAAAAAATAACCCTGCATGCCCACCATTCAGCTTAAGAAACATTACCACCAGTATCTTTGAACTCTTGATGATCTTCCCAACTAAAGTTTATACATCTAACCTTCCATAGTCCAGCATAAGCACCAGATTTTCAGGGTAACTGTGGCAGAGAGAAACAAAGCCACAGGGAGAGGGTGGAGGGAGGTACACTGATCTAGCTAAAAGTCACAATGTGGAAGAATCAGGTTATATATGAAATGAGTAAATTAAGGACTAAATCAGTTTCACACATAGGTGAAACAGAGTTGACTTTAACAGGGTACAGATGAGTCAGTCTTTTGTGCCAAGAGATATTCCTTAATTCTGGTAGGATCTGTTCTGTACATTTAACTTTGGTGTAGTCAGGTTTACTTGTACTTTCCCTTTATCCACTGCCAATGTGAAGAAATAGGGTTTAGGGGGAAATGCTTTAATTCAGGGGCTTTGATTCAAATGCCCTGGCACTCACCTTTATGTTTCTAAACTACTTCCTTTCTCATAAAGCATAGTAACTTTCATCTTGGGTAAAAACTGCTGTTTAAAATTTTAAATTCTGGCTTCTGTAAACATTTGCTTGCTTGAATAATAGGGAAAATAAGACTACTCCCATTCCAAAGAGGCCATAAACTATGTCCCAGACAGAGTTGCCAGTGCCAGGCTTTAAGATAGGGGACTTTCCTAGCACACAGGACTTTTTCTCAGGTCTGAAAAGTCTCATTCTAAATTTGGAAGACAAAGAGCTGAAAAACATATAAATAGGAAAGACTTCCACTATGTTGGGTCCCAAAATTTGAGAAGCAATATTTCCTCTGGGCCTGCTAGTGCTAGCGAAATGAAAGAGACTCCAAATAAATTTGGCTTATTAAGGCGTCTTGTGGTTTACGATATAGTACTCACATATCCCAAGCTCTCCAACTCCCTAAAATCTTTCCACTGTACCCACATGAGTAACCTGCCTAATATCCTCAGCCTCCTTTCTAAACGTTCTCTGCACCTTATTTTAACTCCATATTTTTTCAAACTTTTAAAAAAACTAGGACCCATAGTAAAGAATGAACTCTATATGGAAAAATTTGCACATTTATATACATACAACTGAAACAAGATTAGAAAAATGAAAGCTACATATTTTACTAATATGCAAATTAACAAATAATTAAAAAAATTCTTTTTAAGAGTTGTTTATATACACTGCTTTCAGTTGTTTATGTAGACTTTTCTTTATTTAAATATATTTTATAGATTTTTTACGGAGAGGAAGAGAGAGGGACAGAGAGTTAGAAACATTGATGAGAGAGAATCATTGATTAGCTGCCTCTTGCACACCCCCTACTGAGGATGTGCCTGCAACCAAGGTACATGCCCCTGACCCGAATCGAACCTGGGACCTTTCAGTCTGCAGGCCGACGCTCTAACCATTGAGCCAAACCGGCTTCGGCTGTATACTGTTTTCTTTCTTACATTTCCTCCCATCAGCATTTTACCTCCTCTATTAGTGTTGACCTATGAACCAGGAGGTCATGATTCGATTCTCTGCCAGGGCATATGCCCAGTTTGGGTGACTTGATCCCAGTGTGGGGCATGCAGAAGGCAGCCGATAAATGATTCTTTCTCATCATTGATGTTTCTATCTCTCTCCTCTCCCTTCCTTTCTAAAATCAATAAAAATCATATTTAAAAAACAAAACAAAACTTAAAACACCACTTAACCTGTATAGAAAGCGTTAAGCCATACATAGAACCCATTTTGCAAAGTTTACTTAACACACAATGAATATTCATTTATTCAAAAAAACATGTACTGATATGTGGGGCATATTTGGTTTCCCCATGTAAAACCTCAGAAAGAAATACAAAAGTATTTTTAAATTTAAAAAATAAAATAAAACCTCAGAAAGAAATAGCATTTATATATTAATATCTTCTGCAGCTAAACAGACTAGAAAATATCCCAGGTCCCATGGACACCAAACTTCAGACTAAACTTTAACAATATGATCTAAGAATTTGAATGGAGAGAGAGATATATAGAGTGAAATGAATGAGAGATGGAACTACGAGGTGGAGATGAAGAGAGACTAGCTTGGCCAACCATTTCGGGTGTGTGCATGATGAGCACGTGGAGGTGAGAAGAGAGAGGGCCAGAAAGACAGGAGAAGGTGCAAGGAGGAAAATAACATGACTTTCAAAAGACAATACAGCTTGGGTTCCTGATTGGTGGGGCCCAGTGCTTGTGCCACTCAGCTTCAGTGAGGGTTTCTTAACCATGGATTCTCATTAACATTGTTTTGTAATTGGTTGTATCTTTATAATACTACCCCCTTTACCCTGAGTAGTTTTCGTTCTATAGACTCTACCCTTAACCATATATATTCTAAAGAAAAATATTCAGATAGTCAAGATTAAAAAATATTTATCATTTATTTTTAAAGGCATCAGTAAAAAGCTTAACATACTAAGAAAGTTACAATATACAAATGTGTTGACAGATTGACTTTTCTGCACTATATGTGACCTTGAGTTTCTTTTAATTACTCACATTTCCATTGTTCAGTTATTCAAACTGGTTATTCCCTACAAATACCTGGCTGGTTACTTAAGCACAAGTCACATACAACAAAAGTAAATTTAGAAGATTGTGCCATTCAACCAAGTGCTCATGAAGAAAAGATGAAACTGTTCACATCGACCAGGGCATATCAAACACCCTTCTCCTTGGGAGAGAGCTGCACCTTAATTTGAAAGAAAAAAAGCCTAGATATAATTATGAAACTTAAAAACCCGTTTTCTTATAAAATCATAAAGGAGAGAGGAAATGGAAAGCAATACACTCATCAAAGTAAATAAAACTAGAATAAATATATGCAAATACTAATTTCTATCTTTATGGAATAAATAGACTAATTGTGAAATTCATTTGGAAGAGTAAATGGGAATGAATATATATATATATATATATATATATATATATATATATATATTTTTTTTTTTTTACATTATAAAACAATGATCAAAATCATGTGTAAGAAACAATTTGGGGTTGCTGTACTTGAATTCTCATTGAAATTACTAACAGTTATTTATCACATCTCTTTATGCTCCTGTATACTGTCTGTAAAATGAGTTAAAAGGAAATACAGGTGACTCTTTAAAGTCACCACAAACATGGAATTTATAAATACAAAGCCATCACTCCTAGAAAAAATACTGGGCTAAGTTCCTGCAAGTCTCTGATAACATTTTAATCAATCGATAAATAACCTTGTTTTTTGTGTTTCCATTGAAACACATTATTAATAAATAATATTGATGCATTAACACTGAACTCACGGCCAACAGCACTATTTCTCATGCCCAGAATGAAGCTTAACTAACATGTATATGTATTTTCGCTGCAAGGCACATCAGAGTTCTTACACTTGGGAAACACTAGATAACCCTTCTGCATAATGCTTGAGGAACATTTTAAAGCATGAAATCAAAAGGCACAAAAATGTAGCACTAAGATTGTGAAAAGGACACATATATACTATGAGTACTGAAACAAGAGAACAGCATTGCTCAGTGTCAGCTGAGAACATCTATGTCAGGTGTTCTCAGGACTCAAATTTTTCACCTTTCTGCGCCTGTCCATGAATTATAGCAAAAGTGCCTCAAATACTGATAAATTTTAGCAAGTAGGCAAATTTGCAAATCCAGAATCTATGAATAAGGAGGATTTACAGTAGATAAAACTTTATAAGCAAAATTTGAAAGAGCAAATATAAATATTTAAAATGTAATAGGGGAATAATATATAGACACAGGAAAAAAATGAAACAAAACAGAAAATCCAAAAGCCATAAAGAAGGAATGAATCTGACTATAAGAAAATAAAATAGTATGACTACATAAAAAGCAAACATTGCTATCAAAATGAAAACTGCTATTACTATGAGCAAAGTCAAGCAAGATGACAAACTAGTTGTAGAAAAAAGTACCTACAACTCATATCACAAAGGATGGTTACCATTACAAAGAATTCTTGCAAATCAAAAGGAAAAACATATCCAAGTTGAAAAGTGTGTAAAAGTAATGTTCATCAAGTTTTCAGAAAAAATACATAGCTCTCAAACACATAAAAAGGTGCTAAACTTCACAATAAAATAATTATAAATAAAATAAGACAATCATTTTCAACTATTAGATTGACAAAGACCTAAAGGTTTGATAAATTACTGGATTGGCTGTGGGAAACAGGAAGTCTCAAACAATGTTGATGGGAATATAAATTAACACAATTTCTACTGAGAGCATTTTAACAAAAATTGATTAAAATTATAAATGCATATCCTCTTCAATCCCAGAAGTTCTATTATTTAGATAATTTTAGAAATGTACTCATCTACAAAAAGAATTGTATAAAAGAATGACTATATATTAAACAGCAAATGATTGCAAACAGCCAAAACTTCCATGCATAAGAATTCAATTAAATAAGCATGATATATTTATACATAATATCCTGCAGTTATTTAAAACAAAAGTTATATACACTGATATGGAATACATATACATCTAAATATAAACAAGAAATAATGAGGAAAAAGCACTTACTTCTTAAGGAATACTGTATAATTACCTATAAAAATAAAAAATTAAAAGTTTAAAACATTGATACATCTTATCACATATATTTTAATCACGTGTTATTTTTTATGGTCAATAAATGCTCACAGCACAAAAATACAAAAGGGTACACTGTGAAGTCTCCCTCATATGGCTTTGTCTTCTCCTCTCCAAAGGTAACTAAAGTATCACTCTGAGATGATCATCAATGCATATACATGTACATAAATATATGGTTACACAAATAGCAGGCAGTATGATATACATAGCTCTGTGTCTTATTTTCATTTAAGTATATCTTCCTGTCAAGAATGCTACATATAACAAGCAACAATGTAGTTAAAAGGATTACAAGAATAAATTGAATATTAGTTCAAATTTTAAAACATTTTTTATAAAAAAGAGTAACAACGAAGAATAATTCTTGAACTATAACAAGTAGATACTCTTAACAATTAGACAGGTATGAAGAAATGAGGGCATTATTAACTAGTTTATTCTTTTGAGGAAGCACTATGACAACATATGATGATCTATAGAACTATTTAGAATTTGAAGACCAAACTTAAAAATTAATCAATACACAAAATAATTCTACAAAACAGTGGGAAAGAAAAAAAAAAAAAAGCCAAACTGGTTTGCTCAGTGGATAGAGCATTGGCCTGGTGATTAAAGGGTCCCGGGCCTGATTCCAATCAAGGGCATATACCTTGGCTGCAGGAGGTAACCAATCAACGTGTCTCTCTCTCATTGGTGTTTTTCTTTGTCTACCCTCTTCCTTCTACTTTTTAAAAATCAATGGAAAAATATCCTCAGGTGATTATTATTTTTAAAAAAGAAAAAAGCTAAAAGTAGATTATTGCCATATATGTATATAATAATCCCAAATGTGATATACTGATCCTACATACTTGAGAGATATAGAGGTAATGTTGTTTAGTACATTTTTTTAAACCACCACAAATACAATAGACCAGTGATTTTTGCGACATTTTGCTGCAAGAATTTTTAAAACATTCAACACCTGACTAGTCAAGAGCACTGACCTCTTTTCCTTAGATGATAATAAATAATAATAATAATAAATCACATCAGCTAACATAATAGCCATCTACTGTGAATGAATAAAAGTTATATCTATTTTGTCAGATCAGCAAAAAATACATTTTTTGATGTGTTTCAAAATTTTAGTAATTAAGTGTTCCACAAGATGGAAAATATTGAAAATTGCTGCAATACTAAACTTCCAGAAAACATGCAACAATTGAAAATTCATCGTTTAAAAATAATAGGAATAGCTGGTAGTGTACTTGTTTTCCTGCCAGATTATAAAACTCGGCACAATATACAGGTTGGGGCAAAAGTAGGTTTACAGTTGTTTGTATAGAAAATAATATAAGAATAAACTTCTGCATTTCACAATGGTACACCTAGTTTTGAACTACCGTGTATGACACAACTGTTTTCAGGCACTGGACAATACAGTGTACTGTATTGAACTTGATAAAGGGAAACAAATACGGTGAACTTCACTTTCACCTCTTTTTTGGCTGGACACAATTTTCAAACTGCAGCATGGAAAGAGAAACTTGAGTCAAGAGTATTGCTCTTCTTAGGTGGAAGAAATAGATTGTAGTTTGGGTCTTGGAATAAGGCAGCTGGAATTTGAAGAGGCAAGTCTAAAGAGTGATTTGAAGAGAAGGACCTCCAGAAACTTGTATAGAATTTCCATTTAGGTCCTTGACCAAATCCTAAATTATGTATACATAGGACAAAATTCCACAAAGCCTGGAAAAAACAGTTGCTGGTGTGGAGATGGTAGGGGACTGAGAGCTGAGGAGAGAATTCAGAGTTCCATCATTTGCTGTGTGGCCCACAGCAAGTCATTCACCTCTATGAGCCTTTCTCATCTGTGTAAAATGGAAATAATTATAATATCTAACTTGATTGTGCTATATGGATTAAATGAAATATCTACATCTAGCACACCCAGTAGTGATTAAAAAAAAAAAGAAGCTAATATTAGAGAAAAATTTCACATAGCAGTTTCTAGATTCCTGTACAATAAAAACACAAATTAATAGATACCTGAGAGTACTGAAACCAAGATTTATAAAATAAGATTTTTTTTACTCTTAACCAGAAGTCTTTATGTAAACACAAAGATTCAATAATACTCAGATATACTGTTTCACCTCTGTCTTTTGCCTGGAAACCAAGAACTTGTTTTATTTAAAATGGGCTATAGCTCAATTCACAATTATATACCATTTTAAAATGTGCAAGGTCAAGTTATATCACACATTAACTAGAAATGAAAAAAATCAAAATTTCAAATCTCAAAAATTTGTTTATCCAAAAGCTATTCCAATTTTTGAATCTTCAAAATGTAACATATATTCCCTTACAATTAACTTTCAAAACCATTAATTTACTTGTAGAATTTGTTATAAAGAAAAGTCTTCTTTAAAGCTAACAAAAAGCAGTGTTTATATTTAATTTTTCATGATGGGTGAAAGATTTGATCTGAAAACAACTTGGAAATCTTTCCTCCATTTACCATTTCTCTCTTTTTGTATATTCCCTCCATCCTATGCTCTTTAAGCAAAAAACTGTGCCAGATATTATATAGACATAAAGAATGAGATGTAGTGCTTTGCCTCTAATGACAGAGGAATGACAAATATATAAACATAAAGATAACATAATGAGGAAAGATATGTAATAGAAACAAGTAGAGAGCAGATTCAAAGAGGGAAAATTATACAAATGGCATTAGGAACAGAGGTAAGGCATTTGAGCTACCTTGGGCCTTGAAATATACAATGCTTCTGGCTTTATATACAATACTTTCTGTATAGAAAACTTTAACCCATTTTATCCCCTACCTAATTTTTCTCTTCATCCTTTTAGACTTGGCTCAATAACCTAGCTAAAGAAGAACGTCAATGAAATGAAAAATGACTTCAATCAAAGAATGAAATATAGGTAATTATCATTTATTTTTAATTCTATATTAATTTTATTGTTGAAATTACTACAGATGTTCCTCCTCTTTACCTCCGAGTAATTTTACTTTCAAATGTGACTTATGAAATTTAAAAAATACCCGTCCAAGAAATGCAACTCCCATTTTGAAAACCAAAAAGAAAACATGGTTTTCAAAATTTGCTTTTTTAATCACTACTGGGTGTGCTAGATGTAGATATTTCAAGGCAACATGAAAACATCTACCAAAAGTCATAATAATATCCACAACTTTTATCAAATAGCCACAACACGGAAGTTTACCTTAAGGCTATAAGAGAGTAGAATCAAATCACTACACATAAGGAAGAACTTACTGCAGCATTATCCAGAATGCTAAATTGAAGGAACAGTGTCATAACCTATTGACAGCCTCCATTCCTGGTAGGGGGCATGCAGGAGGCAGTGGATTGATGTGTCACTCTCACATCAATGTTTCTCTCTCTCCCTCTCCCTTCTTTTCTAAAAGTCAATATAAATTCTTAAAAAATAAAAAAGGTGATGTTGGCCCTGACTGGGTAGCTCACTTTGTGAGGGCACAGTCCCAATATGCCAAGGTTGTGGGTTCAATCTTGAGGGCACATCGAAGAACCAATTAATGAATGCATAAATGGTTGGAACAACAAATCAGTATTTTGGTCTTTTTCAATTAAATAAATAAAAATGTAAAAAAAATGTAATGTTAAGTATGCGCGCGCGCGCGCGCGCGTGCGCGCGCACACACACACACACACACACACACACACACACACACGAAATAATGGCATCCACATCAAAATTGTAAAATAATATGTGAAAAAAATACAGCCCTAGTGGTTTGGTTCAATGGATAGAACAACAGCCTGTGAACTGAAGGGCTCCAGGTTCAATTCCAGTCAAAGGTATATGCTGGGTTGTGGACTTGATCCCCAGTAAGGGGTGTGCAGAAGGCAGCCGATCAGTGATTCTCTCCCATCATTGATGTTTCTCGCTCTCCTCTCTGAAATCAATAAAAATATATTTTTAAAGGTGCATCTGGCTGTCTGACCAGAAGGAAGCAGTTTTACCACTGACTGTAAGGATCTCTTTATTGAAAAGTATGTTATTCTTTTTTAAAATATATTTTTATTGATTTCAGAGAGGAGAGTGAGAAACATCAATGATGAGAATCACTGGTTGGCTGCCTCCCGCATGCCCCCTACTGGGGATCAAGCCTACAACCCGGGCACATGTCGTCAACCAAAATCAGTCTGCAGACCAGTGCTCTGTCTGCAGAACCAAACTGGCTAGGACAAGTAGGTTTTTCTTTCCACACCACCTACCAACAAGTATTTGATGAGATGATAGATATCTTGGTATCATCATAATTCTAGAGGGGATATAGATAAAGCTCTTATCAAATATCGGGTCTAGTAATAATTAATGTCGTTTTTAAACATTCGTTTAAAATCTTGCTTGGTGTTGACTTGTATTGACATAACCTTCAAACACGTGGTATCTACAGAACGTGTGAAGTGCAATTAACAAGTTTTGCTTGAAAAAGTTTGTGTTTGGTTTGGTTTTTGTTGCAAAACTAGGGCTAAGAAGATGGCGGATGAAGAGCATATTCGGCACTGCATGCTTTACGAGTTCCAATTAGGAAGAAAAGCAAGTGAGGCTGCAAAAAACATCTGTAGTGCTCTTGGTCAAGATGCAGTTAGCGCCAGAAAATGCCAGCGTTGGTTTGAGAAATTTCGCGAGGGAAATTTTTCATTAGATGACAAGAGTGGTCGAGGCCGTGTGTCCAATTTTGATCAAGAAGCTCTTCAAGCTCTTTTGGTGCAAAATCCTCAAATTACCCAACAAGAGCTTGCGACAACTTTAAATTGTTCACAAAAAAACAATTTCCAATCAATTGCGTGCACTTGGCAAAGTCCAAAAGTTTGGAAAATGGGTTCCTCATGAGTTGACCACCAACAACCGTAATCAAAGAGTCACAATTTGCAGTTCGCTCCTCTCTCGTCAAAACCGTTTGCCGTTTTTAGAGCAAATTGTTACCGGAGATGAAGAATGGGTGCTGTATGTTAATTTGAAAAGGCGGCCTCAATGGTTGGACAAAAATGAGGCTCCGCAGCCCACGCCAAAACCTGACTTGCATGCGAAAAAAGTGATGTTGTGTGTTTGGTGGAATTTTAAAGGAATTCTTCATTATGAACTTTTACCATCTATTATAACCAAACCATTACAAGTGCAGTGTATAGTGCCCAATTGGAAAGGTTAGCCCAAGCTTGAAGAGAAAATGAACTACCCGCGCTGATTAATCGGAAGGGCGTAATTCTTCACCACGATAACGCACGACCGCATACTGCAAGAATCACTGCTGAAAAACTGCGCCAGTTGGAATGGGAAGTTCTCCCTCAACCTGCATATTCTCCTGATATTGCCCCTTCCGATTACCATTTGTTTCGTTCTTTGCAAAACTTTCTTCTTGGAAAAAAATTTAATAATGAAGAATGCCTCAAAAATGCATGACCGAATTTTTTGCATCAAAATCACAAGAATTTTACAACAGAGGGATTAAAATGCTTCCTGAGCGTTGGGCACAAGTAGTAGAAAACAACAGCAACTATATTGTTGATTAAATTTTGTTGTATTGTTTAAATAAATTCGATTTAAAAAAGTATTAGAAAACGACATTAATTATTACTAGACCTAATAGCTTTGGCATCAAATGTCTTCAACGTTGTTTTATATTAACGTTTCCAGATTTTAACAATTTCATATTTTAAAAATGTTTTCCACAAACTTTAAAAATTTCACAAAAGATTGTCTTCTATAATAATGGCATACTTACTCCTTAATTAAAATGTGAGCACCTTCCTTCTTTTTGATTTTGTTTGAAACCCTGTAAGAAAAATTAAAAAATTTAAAAGAATAGTATACAGATATGAATAAACATTTTGTTTCATATAAGACATTTTACTAATCTATTTAACAAAATGATATTGAAAAATAAGTTTATAGCCTTCTAATGCTCTTTAAAAGTGATCAGAGCCATGGCCAGTATGGGTCAGTAGAGTACCTGCCCTTGATCCAAAGTTGGTTTGATTTCTAATCAAGGGCACATACCTGGGTTGCAGGTTCAATCCCTGGCCCTGGTTAGGGTGCATGTGTGTGTGTGTGTGTGTGGAAGGTAACTAGTCAATGTGTCTCTCTCACATCAATGTTTCTCTTCCCCTGACCCTTTGATTCCACTCTCTAAAAAATCTATGGAAAAAATATCCTCAGATGAGGATTAACCAAATTCCTCTGCCTAAAACAGAAAGAATAATGAGACTGAAAAATAATTTAGAAAGTGTGTCATCAAATTAGAAAATGTATAATCAAAAATAATGTAATAACATAAAAGATTTAAAAATATCCTTTATAATAAAAGCCTAATATGCAAACTGACCATCACTCCAACACATAAGATGGCTGCCCCCATGTGGTCAAAGATGGCCACCCCCATGTGGATACAAGATGGCCACCACAAGATGGCCAGCAGGAGAGAGCAGTTCTGAGAGATCAGGCCTGCAGGAGAGGGCAGTTGGGAGGGACCAGGCCTGCAAGGGAGGGCAGTTGGGGGCAACCAGGCCAGCAGGGGAGGGCAGTTGGGGATGACCAGGCCTGAAAGGGAGGGCAGTAGTGGGGGATCAGGCCTGTAGGGGAGGACAGTTGGGGGCAATCAGGCCTTCAGGGGAGGGCAATTGGGGGGGGGGGGATCAGGCCTTTTGGGGAGGACAGTTAGGGGGGACAAGGCATGCAGGGGAGGGCAGTTAGGGGTGTCTGGGCCAGCAAGGGAGGGCAGTTGGGAGCAATCAGTCTGGCAGCGGAGCAGTTAGGTATCAATCAGGCTGGCAGGGCAGTTGTTAGGGGGTGATCAGGCTGGCACGCAAGTGGTTGGGAACCAGCAGTCCTGGATAGTGAGAGGGTAGTTGGACATCCCTCGAGGGGTCCCAGATTGGAAAGGGTGCAGGCTGGGATGAGGGACACTCCACTCTGTGCACGAATTTCATGCACCAGACATCTAGTATATATATTTAGATATATTTTTACTGATTTCAGAGGAAGAGAGAGAGAGAAACATCAATGATGAGGGAAAATTATTGATCGCTGCATGCCCCCCATTGTGACTGAGCCCAAAACCCAGGCATGTGCCCTGACCAGGAGCAACACTGGCTGGGCACATGAAAGATTTTTAACTGCACTATAATTACATTAAATGGAGACAATAAAAGAGTAATTTAAGCCTGAGGCAAATAGTTGCATTTTTTAAACTTTAAGGTAGTTTTAAACCCTTAGGATCTAATTTAACAAATTACCTTTTTAGTCACAAACATAATTAAGTCATAACCACAAAATGTCGGGAAAAAATGTTGAATGATTACTTACCATATAGTAACCAGTGTGATAGCCACTCATGTACCAAGAGATTAACATACTTCCCAAAGCATCAGCATCGTCAAGAGAATCTGGACATGTTGGAGGAGGTGGGGGAATTATCTGGAAATGAAGAAAAATATACTTTAAAGTTAGTAAACAAAAATGTGAAGTCTGGAGACTCATTTTATGGAGATAGTGCTGGATGTTAACTTTATCTTTCCCTAAATTCCATGTTATCTATTAAAAATTTTAAAAATCTGACATTTGAAGAAAGTCAACCAGTAACAACAACAAAATTAAATTGAACAACAATAAAAAAACAATAGGTCACATAAAATGTTTAAACATCTTGATTTGATTAGATGTATTTTTCTGGTCCTTTATTAAACTATGGGTAAAATACCAAGCATAAATACTTTGATGGTTTTCCTTTAAAAAACACCCCAGAGTATTGAAATAAAGGTGTTGGGTGAACATCTGCACTGTCCCTACCCCAACACACACAACTGGCCAAAAAGTGTCTAGGCTACTGTTGTTATCTAAAAGTTTACCAGTAGATATCCAAATAGTCTAGTTGACCACAAGCAAACATCCAAGTACACCTGGAAAGGAGACACATAAATCCCTGTGTGCAGTAAACAAATTCTTCCAAACAGGAACTACCTCCCTATAGAATAAGGGATACAATTTCTACCAGGAAGGAAGCAGGCAATATAGGGCTATGAGCTGGGGCAATAAAAGGAATGAATCAGTCTGGTAGAGAAGGGCATTAAAAATTAAAAACAGACCTAACTGGTGTGGCTCAGTGGACAGAGCGTCAGCCTGAAGCTCTAATACATCTAAAAATACAATCAAATCAAGATGTTTAAACATTTTATGTGACTTATTGTTTTTTTTTATTGTTGTTCAATTTAATTTTATTGTTGTTACTGGTTGACTTCCTTCAAATGTCAGATTTTAAACCATCGAACAGAAGGGTCCCAAGTCGATTCTGGTCAAGGGCATGTACCTTGCTTATGGGCACATCTCCAGTAGGGGGGGTGTAGAAGGCAGCTGATCGATGTTTCCCTCTCATCAATGTCTCTAACTCTCTATCCCTCACCCTTTCTCTCTGGAAAAAATCAATAAAATATATTAAAAAATTTTTAAAAACAAACAAAAACCCATCCTGGCCAGATAGCTCTGTTGGTTGGAGCATCATTCCATACACTAAAAAAATGGTTGCAAACTTGCCCTAGCTGGTTTGGTTCAGTGAATAAGAGCGTTGGCCTGGGGACAGAGGGTCCTGGGTTTGATTCCAGTCAAGGGCACACGCCTGGGTAGTGGGCTCAGTCCCCAGTAGGAGACAGCCAATCAATAATTCTCTCTCATCACTGATGTTTTTATTTCTCTCCCTCTCTGAAACCAATAAAAGTATTTTTTAAGAAAAGGTTGCACACTTCATTTCTGGTCAAGATACATACCTAGGTTTCAGGTTTGATCCCTGGTCCAAGGATCAAAATCAAAATTGATGTTTCTCTCTCACATCTATGTTTCTTCTGTCTCACCCTCCCTCTCTCTTTCAAAATCATTAAATATATCTTCAGATGAGGATAAAAACAAAACAAAGCAAAACCCCCCTGAGGTTTGGTTCAAATTTTTACCCTTTAGAACCTATGTATAAAAGCAAAGTTCCATCTAAATTGTTTTGTACTTACTGGAGGTCCAGAAGGAAACGGAGGCAGCCAACATGACAGGAAGGGTGGTGGTGGTGGTGGTGGTGGAGGTGGTGGTGGTGGTGGGCCATTAAATTTTAGACCTGGCTGCAAAAGTATTTCAAAGAAAGATTAATTTACTAACTTCAATATGAAAAGAGGAAAAATATTTAATGTCAAAAGAATTTAAATAACAAGTAAAAGATTAAATAGGATTGCTTGTATCAAATGCGGAAGTCAAATAAACTCAATCTAGATTTTTCTGATTTCCTTTGTATAGAGATTCAGGGAGTAAAATTAAAGAAATAAAGTATTTTAATTACCTTATAAATCAAGAGGTAGTTTTTAGCAAGATATCTCAATCATAAAACAATATATCCAACAATTTCATTATGTAGATTGTATAATCATTTTTATTTATGTCCTTTCAGTAGTTACATATGCTAATTTAGAGCATATATTGTAAAAATTAGTAAATTCTCTCATTCAACAAGGAAAATCAGGCCCCTAAGATCAAAGAAGTATGATACACATTGATATATACAGATACACACATATATTGATTTGATCATTCTAGAAACTGTAATATTATGTAAATTTCAAGAAAAACCTGGCAAGCCTGGTTCAATGGTTAGAGCATCAGTCCACATGCCAGAGGGTCTCAGGCTTGATTTCTGGCCAAGGGCACGAACCTGCGATACCTGTCTCTCTCGCACATCAATGTCTTCCTCCCTCTCTCCCCACTGTTTTCCATTCTTTCTAAAAATCAATGGAAAAAATATTCTCATGCCTTAGGTGAGGATTAAAAATAAAGATCTTGAAGAAAATGTTAAGTAAAAGTTTTTTGGTTTTGTTTTTAAATATATTAAATTTATATTTTACAAAGAGGAAGGGAGAGGGATAAACAGTTAGAAACATCAACCAGGTGCCTCTTGCACCCCCCCCACTGGAGATGTGCCTGCAACCAAGGTACATGCCCTTGACTGGAATTGAACTTGGGACTCTTCTATCCACTGAGCCAAACCAGACAGGGCAGGAAAAGTTTTAATAAATCATACTTGATATCTTTATTTTTAAAATTATATCATTTCCTCAGTGCTATAACCTCCAAGGAAATCACTGTTTTATACAAAACAATGAGAAAGGGACATACTTGGGTTCTGCAATATAACCTAAAATAAATCTTTTTTAAAGTTGATTTGTTACTTATAACCAAAAGAAGCATAAAGGAAAACAATATTTACAATTACTCTAACAGTTTGGCAGCTCCTTAGGATGCCCTGTGGTAGATGTAAATACTGTACTCTCTTCCAATCCTATCGAATAAAAGAGAAACATGCAAATTGACCATACCTCCACTACGCCCACCAGCCAATTAGAGTGAGTATGCAAATTACCTAACTAAAGATGGCGGTGGCCAGAGCTGGAGGGAGCAGGATGCTTGGGTTGCCCCAGTGATGGAGGAAGCCAAGCTTCCTGCCAGCCCTGGCTGGTCCTGGCCTCTGCTCAAGGCTACAAAGTTTCAATTATAGTAGATAAATCAATCCCAGATACATGCTTCCAGCCAGCCCTGGCCTCCACTCAAGGAGGCACTGAGAAAAAAAGGAAGGGCTGGGAGGTAATCAGGCCAGGATGGGAAGACAGTTGTGGGCGATCAGGCTGGTGGGGGCAGAGCCCTTGGGGGATAAGCAGACTAACAGAGGGGCCAGTTGGAGGCGAGCAGGCCGTCAGTGGGGGTCAATTGGAGGTGATCAGGATAGTGGAGGGAGCAGTTTGGAGTGAGTAGGCCAGCAAGGGGGAGGGGGCAATTGGGGGTGAGCAGGCTGACAGGCAGAGTGGTTAGGGGCAATCAGGCAGGCAAGTGAGCAGCTGGAGTCAGCAGTCCTAGATTGTGAGAGGGATGTCCGACTGTCAGTTTAGGCCCGATTCCTGTAAACCAGCAGTAGGACATCCTTCGAGGGGTCCCAGATTGGAGAGGCACAGGCCAGGCTAAGGAACACCCTCCTCCCCTTGCACGAATTTCGAGCATTAGGCCACTAGTTTTTACATATTTTACAAAAGTGACTTGGGTAACTGAGGACAGTCAGCAGATAAAATATCAAACTTTCTAACTTAATTTCATTATATTAGTCTAATACCTAATACTCCATAAAAGTAGTTGGAAAAGCTTTTCATTATAAAGTATTCTGCATTACTATCATATTTTCTCTCTGAAGAATTCTCAAGTGTGTATTTATTAACACCTACCGAAAGCCACAAGTTTCATGGGAAAATCTACAATTCTCCTAATGGAAGGTTTGAATATTTGTTGAAATGTTTCAATATTATTAACTACTGGAGGCCTGGTGCACAAAATTTGTGCCAGGGGGACGGGGAGGCACGGTAGGGAAGATCCCTTAGCCCGGCCTTCACCCTCTCCAATCTGGGACTCCTTGGAGGATGTCCGACTGCTGAGATGTCCCTGCGGGATCAGGCCTAAACCAGCAGTCAGACATCTCTCGCGCAATCCAGGACCACTGGCCCCTAACCACTTGCCTAATCCCTAACTGCTCTCCCCTGCCAGCCTGATAGCCCCGAACTTCCCTCCCCTGCCTAATCCCTCTACTTGCTCTACCCTGCCAGCCTGATCACCCTTAACTGCCTTTGCCTCATTCTGCCACCATGGCTTTATCTAGAAGGATATCTGGTCTAATTAGCATATTACCCTTTTATTAATATAGATTTTCTGGGAAATCTTTTCTGGGTAAAAAATTACCTTTCCTGGACCCTGTCCTGATCTTGGCATGGGGGGTGGTGGAGGGAGAAAATAGTTCCATGGAGCAGCTCTTGACTTGATGTTATTTGGTTTGTTTCCATGAGACCTGGAGGAGTTCTCACTTTCATCTGTTGAAATTTGACTTTCATTCTTTAAAAAAGAAAAAATATACATATTGCTGTTATATAGGTTTCATTAAGAAAAATGTAATGCCTCAGTGGATCAAACTGACAAGCTGTTATATTAGGTCTAGTAATAATTAATGTCGTTTTCTAATACTTTTTTAAATCGAATTTATTTAAACAATACAACAAAATTTAATCAACAATATAGTTGCCGTTGTTTTCTACTACTTGTGCCCAACGCTCAGGAAGCATTTTAATCCCTCTGTTGTAAAATTCTTGTGATTTTGATGCAAAAAATTCGGTCAATGCATTTTTGAGGCATTCTTCATTATTAAATTTTTTTCCAAGAAGAAAGTTTTGCAAAGAACGAAACAAATGGTAATCGGAAGGGGCAATATCAGGAGAATATGCAGGTTGAGGGAGAACTTCCCATTCCAACTGGCGCAGTTTTTCAGCAGTGATTCTTGCAGTATGCGGTCGTGCGTTATCGTGGTGAAGAATTACGCCCTTCTGATTAATCAGTGCGGGTAGTTCATTTTCTCTTCAAGCTTGGGCTAACCTTTCCAATTGGGCACTATACACTGCACTTGTAATGGTTTGGTTATAATAGATGGTAAAAGTTCATAATGAAGACTTCCTTTAAAATTCCACCAAACACACATCACTTTTTTCGCATGCAAGTCAGGTTTTGGCGTGGGCTGCGGAGCCTCATTTTTGTCCAACCATTGAGGCCGCCTTTTCAAATTAACATACAGCACCCATTCTTCATCTCCGGTAACAATTTGCTCTAAAAACGGCAAACGGTTTTGACGAGAGAGGAGCGAACTGCAAATTGTGACTCTTTGATTACGGTTGTTGTCAGTCAACTCATGAGGAACCCATTTTCCAAACTTTTGGACTTTGCCAAGTGCACGCAATTGATTGGAAATTGTTTTTTGTGAACAATTTAAAGCTGTCGCAAGCTCTTGTTGGGTAATTTGAGGATTTTGCACCAAAAGAGCTTGAAGAGCTTCTTGATCAAAATTGGACACACGGCCTCGACCACTCTTGTCATCTAATGAAAAATTTCCCTCACGAAATTTCTCAAACCAACGCTGGCATTTTCTGGCGCTAACTGCATCTTGACCAAGAGCACTACAGATGTTTTTTGCAGCCTCACTTGCTTTTCTTCCTAATTGGAACTCGTAAAGCATGCAGTGCCGAATATGCTCTTCATCCGCCATCTTCTTAGCCCTAGTTTTGCAACAAAAACCAAACCAAACTTTTTCAAGCAAAACTTGTTAATTGCACTTCACACGTTCTGTAGATACCACGTGTTTGAAGGTTATGTCAATACAAGTCAATGCCAAGCAGGATTTTAAACGAATGTTTAAAAACGACATTAATTATTACTAGACCCGTTGTTTCTCATCTCGTCTCTACTTTCAAGAACTTTATTTTTTGTATCCTTACCTCTTGAGCATTCTGTTCTATATTACTAGCTACATCAGATGTTAGAGAAAGAAGATCAGACAGATTTTGCTCTTCTGTATTTCCATATCCAGTGTAAACTACAACACAGGTTTCTCTCTTAAAATCAACTGAAGCAATGGTAGCTGGGTAAATGCAGCCATCTTCTGACCAAATGGCCGAACATTTGTCACCAACTTTCCACTACAAAAACAAAAAAGATACACATAAATACATTTCTTTTATTTTTATTTATTTATTTATTAAAAAAATATATTTTATTGAGTTTTTTACAGAGAGGAAGGGAGAGAGATAGAGAGCTAGAAACGTCGATGAGAGAGAAACATTGACCAGCTGCCTCTTGCACACCCCCCACCGGGGATGTGCCCGCAACCAATGTACATGCCCTTGACAGGAATCGAACCCGGGACCTTTCAGTACGCAGACTGACACTCTACCACTGAGCCAAACCGGCTTCGGCTAAACACATTTCTTTTAAAGAGGGTAAACTATTTTCTTGTTTGGTTGGGGTAAAATCGGGGATGGAGGTAGTCTCCAGTTAACTGATCTGGAAGGCAGAATGAAACACTGAAAAAGACTTGGAGCCCAAAACACATAAATGTGAATTCCAACATAAATATAATCCTGTCATATAATATAAATTCTGCCATTTTTATAATCATGGGCAAGTTTTTTAATCTCTTTGAGTATTTATTTTCCTCATCTGTTAAGTGGACGTAATATAACCTACCTCAACTCATTTATTTGTTACGAAGAATAGAAAGGAGGGAATGTGTAAAGTGTTCAGCTCCTCTGGGCTGACACACAGCAAATGCTTAAAAAATATTCTGAGTATTAATAGGTTTAGGATTTTTGGGGGGAAGAAAGGATAGCCACCTCTCAGTTTAAAAAGTAAAACACTGCCAATTCAGTTTAGGGCCCTCAGGCATTCCTCTCAAACAGCACTGCCTTCCACCCTCTCCTTCCCATAGAAACTGAACATTGCCCTGAATTTACCGTATTTTTTGGACCATAAGACGCACTTTCCCCCCCCCGCAGAAGTGGGGGGAAAAAGTCCCTGCGTCTTATGGTCCAAATATAGCCTACACATATACTTTAAAAAAAAAGTTTTTTTACTTGCCCGGCTCTGTGTGGTCTCTGTGTGCTTGCCCGGCTCTAAAATGGTTCTAAATGCTGCTGTTTACTTTACAGGGTTGATTACATGTGTTTATGACTGTGATGTTGGGTTTTAATGCACATAAAATATTTTAGGACACTATTTGTTTCAGAATCTTTTTTTCTTCATTTCCCTTCTCTAAAAACTGGTGCGTCTTATGGTCCGGAGCGTTTTATGGTCCGAAAAATACGGTAGTATTAATCAGTTCCACCTAAGTCCTTATACTTTGACAGGCATGTTCCTAAACAATAGAAAGTTTAAGAAATGTTATAATTACATGCCAATGGAAAACACTGCACTAATCACTTAAGTTAAAGCTATTTTACACTCTATTTAATAAGCATGGTATGAAGAAAATCTCTGAAGTTAAATCTCAATATTTAAAAAATAACCTGCTTTGAGGGAGTGGTGGTGTTCTTTTTTTGGCTTTTCTTCTTCTTCTTAGCAGCTTTTCTTTTAGGGGTGCCTTTTGGTTTATTTGAAGCTTCAGAAATGTCACCATTCTTTAGAGCATGCTATGAAAATAAGAATAGAAATGTGCATGTTACAAAATGATACAGAAAAAAAATCACAATTCAGTTATTATAAACCCCACACAGCCTCTACTTGCTATTTCCACCATCTCATATGCTACAGGCATCATATATCTAATAATCAGCTCTAAAAACCCCTTTGTCAGCAAAGGAACTTGCTTAGAGAACAGAGGCCCCCAGCACACTGCCCTAGCTGAGCCCCTAACAGAAGGCAGCACTAAACATGTGAGTGAACCATCATGAAAGTAGATTCCTCACTCCCAAGTGAGCCACTCCAGCTGATACCATGTGGACAGATCGTGACAGATGATCTGTTAACTGTTAAGATTCATGAGCAGCCGGGATCGGTTTGGCTCAATGGATAGAGCGTCGGCTTGGGGACTGAAGGGTCCCGGGTTCGATTCCGGTCAAGGGCATGTACCTTGATTGCAGGCATATCCCCAGTGGGGGGTGTGCAAGAGGCAGCTGATCGATGACTCTCTCTCATCGATGTTTCTAACTCTCTATCTCTCTCCCTTCCTCTCTGTATAAAAATCAATAAAATATATTAAAAAAAAAAAAAAAAAAAAAAAAAGATTCATGAGCAGCCTAGGCGGGTAGCTCAGTTGGTTAGTGTCATCCCGATACACCAAGGTTGTAGGCTCAATTACCAGTCAGGGCACACGAATAAGCAACAAAAAAATGCATAAATAAGTGGAGCAACAGATAGATGTTTCTCCTGCTTCTCTAAAAATCAATAAATTAAAGATTCATAAAGAAATATTTTTTTTAGGAGAACAAAAAACACCCATTTAATAAGTCTCCTCACTCTCAACCTTTTTGTAACATTAGAAGCTATTGATCATTTTTATTTTTTATATGCATGACAGTTTGGAAGACATAGCAATGTAGGGCCCCAATTTAGGGCTTTTATTTCTCCTCTGATCAAATCTTAAACTTGGGCAATCCCAACAAAATTTGGCCATCCTTCTTTACCTGATTATGATCATCTACTATTCCTATTATTTCAATAATAAGCACTATGCAAACAAACTTTTAAAACTATTATCTTTCTTTGACCTTTCTCCTTAGCTCAATCCAACATTTCCTATTACCAATTTCTTATCTTGCATTTATCTCAAACTCAACACAACTAGAAGTAAACTATTTTTTCCTGAACTCAGTTCCTTTCCTCTACTCAGAGTACTTCCCTCTGCAATATTATCTACCCAAACCCACATCGAGCCCCATTTTAATTTTCATATATTTTTATTGATTTCAGAGAGGAATGAAGAGGGAAAGAGAGAAAGAAATATCAATGATGAGAGAGAATCATTAATTGGCTACCTCTTGCAAGCTCCCTATTGGGGATCGAGCCTGCAACCTGGGCCCTGGTTCACAGGTCTAAGCTCAACCACTGAGCTACCGCCATTGGCTTTGAGCCTCATTTTAATCTGCACTTTACAGAACTAACATGGTAACCAGAAGTTAATGTACTTTTAGTCTAAGTGCATACTGAAAAGCATGCTATTGACAAATTTAGAATTCAGCTTCAAGGATGACACAGAAGTTTGATCTTTCTACCTTATGGTACAGGAATGACTACATGAAGGAAGTGGAGTCTATACTTGGTGTTCTGTATGAGCCTATGCTATGCCTGAACTAAGAGGGCTCACATATGGTGCTCAATAAGACCAAATACCTCAGACTGTGAGTCAAATAATGATGTTGGACAACTGTGTAAATGTTTTATGTAGGCCACAAAAACAGACTACACTCCCCAAAGGACTATATATTCCAACCACCAGAAACACCTGACTTGGAACCCAACTAATTGGATTTGGGGGAGATTAAGTTAATTTAACATATGTAAAGCAGTTTAATAAGTGCCTAAAACAGCCGAAACCAGTTTGGCTCAGTGGCAGAGCGTCGGTCTGCGGACTGAAAGGTCCCGGGTTCGATTCTGGTCAAGGGCATGTACCTTGGTTACAGGCACATCCCCGGTAGGGGGTGTGCAAGAGGCAGCTGGTCGATGTCTCTCTCTCATCGACGTTTCTAGCTCTCTTATCTCTCCCTTCCTCTCTGTAAAAAATCAATAAAATATATTTTTTTAAAAAGTGCCTAAAACACTGTATACACTCTACAATTATTAATTACTACTGCACTACTGCTATTTATCACCATTATTTCAATAAAGCTTATTAAATGTTTAAAAATTAAAACTCAAACTATCCTTCCACTAATCTGAATTAGATGACTTCCATACGTTTATACAATGAAACACATTAAAAGCAACCAATATTTAAAATTCTAGTTAAATCTCCTCTCTTAAAAGGTTCAAATATAAATAGGCTACCTACCAATTTCTAAAGGAAAATATCTAACTTAACTAACCAATGTTATCTTTTAAGCTTCAAAATTAGAACTAAATAATACATACTTTAATACTTTACTGTAAATGTTATCAATTAATTTTTCCCAAGTGACTAACATGAGGATCTAAACAAAAATGTAAACATTTCATACCTTAAATGAAGCCACAGCTTTATCGTATGCTTTTATTAGTGCTGTATCATCCCAAATGTCAGAATCATCACTCTGGGAAGGATAAAGAATAAAAACAATTCATGTTTGGATGGATTTCATTAAAAAAGTATTCCAAGAGCAACTTAAACTAAACATAAAATTAAACTAAAAAATGGGTACTTTAAATCCTAACTATAACCACAAGAAACCTACCTGCTTAGAGATTTTGCATCATTATCCCCAAAGCGAAACATATGTAAATGTTCTAAGAGGTATGCCATGAAGTGAATGCTCTACAATTTAATCCCTATCTACCAACCGTAAGTAGATGTGGTCAAGAATAACTCAAATTTCAATCTCGTCTAAGAGCAGATAAATGGTGTAGTTTGGCCAGCCAGGTAGATAAAGGGCATAGTTTTAGTGGGGAAAAATATGATATTAAATAATCTGGAAAAGACCTAAAACTTATTTCTATTTTTGAATTTAAATTTAATGAGTACCTAGAACTTAAACTTAATTCAATAAAAAAAATGTTTTTGAGCACCCACTACCTACTAAGCATTCATCATTGAGAAGTATATAAAATTATGCTGCCTGCTCCCAAGACAGATGTTCTAATCAGTGATTTAAAACACAAAACAGCGGAAACCGGTTTGGCTCAGTGGATAGAGCGTCGGCCTGCGGACTGAAGGGTCCCAGGTTCGATTCCAGTGAAGGGCATGTACCTTGGTTGCGGGCACATTCCCAGTGGAGGGTGTACAAGAGGCAGCTGGTCGATGATTTTCTCTCATCGATGTTTCTAACTCTCTATCCTTCTCTCTTCCTCTCTGTAAAAAATCAATAAATATATTAAAAAAAATACAAAACAAAAAAGAATGTAAAACAAATATAATAAAATACTGAAATGTGAAGTACAAACATGTTTTAAATGGAAAGAAATGGATTTTCTGCAGTCCAAGATGAAGATACAGAAGATTCTTAATTCACCTCCTCCCACCAACACAATAAATCTACAGTTGTCTCAAACAATTTCCTCTGAAAAAAATCTAAAAATTAGTTGAGCAACTCCTACACATTGGGCAAATGAAAACAAAACAAAACACATGCCAATAACAATATCTAAGCAGGTAGGTTTATCTCACTATAAACCTCAGCCCTGTGGCAGCAACCCATAATTAAGAGGAAACTCAAGGCCAGAAGCTCCATCCACTGAGCAAAACCAGCTAGGGCTCAAAAACACTGTTAAGAGACTGAAAAACCAAGCTACACATTGGGATAAAAAATTTGCGAATTACCTATCTGATAAAGGTTTTATATATGGAGCATATATGAAGAACTCTCAAATCTCAACAAAAACAAAGCAAACAAACCAATTCAAAAATGGGCAAAACAGCCCAAACCGGTTTGGCTCAGTGGATAGAGCCTTGGCCTGTGGACTGAAAGGTCCCAGGTTCGATTCCAGTAGAGGGCATGTACCTTGGTTGCAGGGCACATCCCCAATAGGGGGTGTGCAGGAGGCAACTGGTGGATGATTCTCTCTCATTGATGTTTCTAACTCTATCCCTCTCTCTTCCTCTCTGTAAAAAAATCAATAAAATATTTTTTAAAAAATGGACAAAACATCTGAACAGACACTTTGCCAAAGAAGACATGGATGGCAAATAAACACATAAAATGATGACCAATATCAACAGTCATCAGAGAAATGCTAATTAAAACCACAAGATGCTACCACACATTAGAATGTTTAAAATTAGCATAAGGCTGACCATACCAAGTGTTAGCAATGATGTGAAGCAAATGAAATGTTCATACATTGCTAGTTGAAATGTACAACCACTTTGAAAAGTTTGTTAGTTTCTTAGAGTTAAAATAATGAATGGCCCAGGTATTTACACAAGAGAAATGAAAGCATATGTTCACATAGTCTTCTAAGTTAGTAGTCATGGCAGGTCTACTGTAACAGCCCCAAACTGAAAACAACGCAATACTCATGAACAGTGAATTAATAAATATAGAATAAACATTAGAAAATGCAAGCTAACCTATGGTGACAGAAAGTGAATCAGGAGTTGTCTGGCGACAGGAGAGGATGGATGATAGAGAACTATAAAGGGGCCTAAGGAAATTCAAACCATCCCAACACAGAGATCACATATAGAAGCCCTCAGGCTATAAGAAAAGATATGGCCAGCCAATCCCGAGCTGCAGGGACTCGGCTATTGTAGCTACAGTTACTATGTGGATGCAACCACATGAAAGATCTCAAGGGGAAATACCCATCAAGGCCTTCACAAATTCCTAACACACAGAAACTATGAGAAATAATATAAAGATTATTTTCAAGCTACTAAATTTTGAGTAATTTGTGACACAGCAACCAAAACAGACTAGGGCTGCCATTATTATTTGTTTCTCGGTCATTACCAGTAGCCAAGGTTTCTAAAGTTATTCCTCATGTTCTGCCATCTTCTACTACTTCTCAATTACTAACACTTCCACTGTGTGCTTTTGAGTAACCAACAAACTTTCTACCCTCCTTAACCTCTTCTCTGAATATTTTCTTCATCTTGCTGTAACTAAAATCTGGCTTTCTCTGGGGATGCCACTTTCCTTGTAGACATCTCAAATAAAATGTTTTCTCCTTCATATCCCTGAAATCACTATACCAAAGGTGGGGAAGAAATCTCCCTTGCTCCTCACTTCCACTTCCAGATTATTCTCCTTCCTTCCTCACTAAAATCCCTAGCTTTAAAAATCCTGTCAACAGAGTTTACTGTCTACTATCCTCTTTTTGCAATTGTCTACAGCCATCTTGGGTCATACCTCCTCATTCTCAGCGATTTGTATCCCAGCATACACTCCAACACTACTCATCATAATTCATATATATATTTACTTATTCATATTTACTTATTTCAGAGATATTTCCTTATTCCAACACTTATCCAATCTCCTAGAGGCCTACTCTCTACCCTCTCTGCTCAAACCTCCAAAATCTGCCCTGTCCTCACTCCTAGCTGATACTTCTTTTACTGACAGAACAGCAACAATCCAAAGAAAAGTTTCAGTCTCCCACCAGATCTGTACCTATATAACTGTCACCACATTAACTGTCAATATTCCCACGCCAAATCCATCCCCTCTTACCCACGCTGAAACACTACTTCAGCAGTTCTCTCTCCTGCATCCTCAATATTCCCCTCCTTTCCGTATCTTTCTTATCAGCCCATAAACATATTGAAACCTGTTCCTACCATCATAAAAACAAAACAAACCATAACACAGGAAAACAATAATCCTCTTTATCCCGCTTCCCCCTCAATCTACTGGCCAATTTCTATACTTTCTATTTAGAATAAAACTCCCTGAACTATTTGCCTTGAATTTCTCTTCTCTCACTCCTGGACTCACCACCAATCAGATCTCATCGCCACTGTTTTACTCAAAATGAATTTTTGATCTTCACTTTTATAAACCTGCTCTACTTTCAGTCTTTCTCATCCGTAAAGGCAACTAACTCCATTATTTCAACCGTTCAGGACAATCTTGAAGTTATCCTTGACTTTTTCTCTCTCAAATCTCCACTACTGAATCCATAGGCGACACCTGTTGCCTTTGGTTTCAAAATGTACCTAAAATCCAAGTACTCTGCTAACATCCTGATCTACGTCTGGATCATTTGAATAGACTCCTACCTGGTCCCCCCGCTTCGCCCTGGCCTGCCTCCACTCACAGCCCCCAGTCAGGATGGACCAACCAAAGTCCGATCAAGTAAAGGTAGGGCCTTGGCTCAAAGCCATCAAGGCGCCCAAGCTGAGCAGGGAAGGAGCTGGTTCCCAAATGGGAAAATATGTAGAAACGTTTAGGCGGACCCCCAGTCCCGCAGTAAACGGACCGGCCGGGTCCTGCCCCGCGGCCGGGGAAGCAGCGCGGGGGCCGGCCCTGGGAGCCCGCACGGGGCGCCTGCGGGAAGCGGAGCCGGCCGCGCCCTCACCTGGCCGGCGCCGCGCCGAAACAGCACCGAGTCCTCCGGCTCCGGGACGCCGCCGCCGCCTCCTCCCCCCATCGCCATGGCCGGGATGCCGCGGGTGCGCGGCGTGGGTGCGTGCCGCGGAGAATGACCACTTCCGCCGCGGGGGCCTCTGGGAGCGGAAGAGTACGGTGGCCCGGGGACCACCGGCGGCCTGGAGCGCCCCGCGCCCCTCTCCCAGGGGTCTCCATCTTTCTTGTTTTGTTCTGTAGTCTCTCAATTCTTCGATGTCGCTTTTTGATATCTTCGTAGATTCTACCAGGGTGTTTTTGAAGAGTACATTTTCTTTAAGATTGGTGCTCACTGCAGTGGCTGGAGTGGCTCGGATGGTCTGGAGCAGCCTCCCATTCACCAAAAGGCTGCTGTATGGGGGGCACAGACCTAGTTGGGGGTTGATTACCCTCCTAAGAGCGCGTATGGAAGGCAACCACATAGATGTTTCTCTTACATTAGTGTTTCTCTCTTTCTAAAACCAGTAGTTCTCAGGTGAGATTTTTTTTTTAAGTGTTCATTGCAGGTGATTTAGGAAATATGAGTAAACCAGTACAGTAAAAATCACTCGCCCCAGCTCGTTTGGCTCGGTGAATAGAGCATTGGTCTGCGGACTGAAGGGTCCCAGGTTCGATTGGGGGGAAGGAGGGGAACGTGCATGACCAGTTGGGTGTGCGGGGAATCGATGACTCTCATCATTGATGTTTTTCTCTCCCTCTTCCTTCCTCTCTGAAATCAATAAAAATGTTTAAAAAAATAAAAATCACTCCATAGGTAACCGATAATACATTTTTTTAAAGTGCTTTAACGAGTGTTAGCCTTCCTCTGGCTGGTTTGGCTCAGTGCCTGCGGACCAAAGGACCCTGGGTTTGATCCAGTCAAGGGCATGTACTTGGGTTGCAGGCTCCTCCCCTGCCAGGGCCCTGGTCAGGACACTAGCAGGAGGCAACCAAGCAATGCGTCTCTCTCACATTGATGTTTGTCTCTGTATATTTTCCTCTCTCTTCCACTCTCCCTAAAAATCAATGGAAAAATATTTTCGGGTGAGGGTTAAAAAAAATAAATAAAGAGTGCCAGCCTTGGCTGGGTGTCTCTTTTGGTTAGAGCATTATATTGATGAGTCAAAGTTGCAGGTTCCATACTGGATCAGGGCACTTACAAGATTCAACCAATTAATATGTAAGTAAGTAGAACAACAAATTGATGTTTCTCTCTTTTTCTTTCTAAAAATCAATAAAAAAAGTTAGATCCAGAGACATAGAAGCATGGAACAGCATCAAACCTCGGAAGGCGGGGAAGGTGGCTGGGGGACTTGTATGCATGCATATAAGCATAACCAATGGACACAGACATGAGGACATGTGCTGGGGGATGGGAGCAGATGGGAGAGAGGCCAATGGGGGAAAAAGGAGACATATGTAATGTAGGGAGCGATTATAGGGTAAAGCCTCAGACTGACCTGCTGGCAAAGCCAAAAAGTCCCAGCCGAGAGGGCACAGCATAATTAAGCTTGACTTTATGACGCTCCCTAGATCCCTAGATCCTGCCTAGGTAGCTAATGGGCTGTGGGAGGTGCAGCAAAAACAAAACCAAAACCAAGTGAAACTCTCAGGAATATTGTAACTATGGTGACCACTACCTTGTTTACCTATAAAATAAAGCATGAGCTGGATCTGTTCTGTGGTCTCAGCCAGGCACAGAAGGTCCACCTAAACAAAGCTTATTCTCTTTGTATTTTATATATATTTTATTGATTTTTTACAGAGAAGAAGGGAGAGGTATAGTTAGAAACATCCATGAGAGAGAAACATCAACCAGCTGCCTCCTGCACACCCCCTACTGGGGTTGTGCCTGCAACCAAGGCACATGCCCTTGACTGGATCGAACCTGGGACTCTTCAGTCCACAGGCTGATGCTTTATCCTCTCGGCCAAACCAGTGTCAGCTCTTTGTCTTTTCTTCATCCTTCGCAGGCTCTCCCTCAGGCTCGCTGAACCGTTGGCTGTGCTGGTGTAGCACAATGTAATACTTTTAACAATAAAAAATTTAAATTAAAAAATAAAAGCAAAAAAAAATTAAATCTTAATTTAATAACAAGTTGTCTGTGAATGTTTAATGTGTATAATGAGGGCTTTGTAAAAGGTTTTGTTTTCAAGAAGCAAAGTAGTCATGGAAAGCCTGAATTAAGTATGTACAGCCCTCACCAGCTTGGCTCAGTGGATAGAGTGTGGGCCTGTGGACTGAAGGGTCCCAGGTGTGATTCCGGGCAAGGACATGTACTTTGGTTGAGCTACATTCCTATAGGAGGTGTGCAGGAGGCAGCTGATCTATGTTTCTCTCTCATCTGTGTTTCTAACTCTCTATCACTCTCCCTTCCTCTCTGTAAAAAAAAATCAATAAAATATACTTAAAAAAATAAGAAAGGGCATTTGAGCAATCTGTAAGTCATTCTTATTTCACTGACATTTTCATGACTTGGCCATCTGAAAAGATAACATCTTTCAATATGGATTATTATAAAGCAAGTACTTCTTTAGCAGGTGAAGCAGTAAGAGGCAGTTTAATAAATATTCTTTTTCAGTTTTAACTTAGTGAAAAACCATGACAATCATAAAAGTAATTAAATTTTAATTGAATTTTGATGTTTATAGATCTTCATCACCAAAGGCAATTAGGAATTTACCAAAAGAAGTTGACATACTCCCTGCTTAGTTGCTCTCCCTGTTAAAACTGTTACACAGCCGAAACCAGTTTAGCTCGGTGGATGGAGCATCGGCCTGTAGACTGAGGGGTCCCAGGTTCGATTCTGGTCGGGGACACATACCTTGCTTGTGGGCACATCCCCAGTGTGTGGTGTGCAGGGGGCAGCTGATTGATGTTTCTCTCTCATTGATGTTTCTAACTCTATCCCTCTCCCTTCCTCTCTGTAAAAAAATAAATAAAATATAAAAAAACACCATTACACAAATTGTAAAATATACAAATCATCATCTGATTGTCTGTTAGGTTTTCACTTTAGGGATATGTCTTCCCTCCCCGTTTTATTGAGGTATGATTGACAAGTGAAAATTGCATATATTTAAGGCCATAATTTTATATATAACACTATGGGGATATTCTTTTTTTAAAAAATTCAGTAGTTTTGAAACCTATTGTATACTCAAAACAAATAACAGTAGTACATCTGACTTAAACAAAAAAGCTCTCTTTACTAGGTGGAACTTGAAAATATAACGCAAAAATATATTGTCATTTTCCAGAATGGGTAAACTCTTCCCATCTATAAAAATATGAGGAAAAAGAGCAATATATATATATATTTAAAGTTAGAAAAACAAGGCTATAAATCAATAGTTCCTTTTAGCCCATTTTCAAAAACGGCCTCGTTTGATAAGTGGGTAATAATTTCTTACTCTGCCACTAACAGAAAAGTCATTCGAAAGGAATCAAGTAATTGATGTAACTGACCTCAGTATATCACCTTGGGAAGTAGCAGCTGCTACCTCGTATTTTCAGCAGGACTTACGAAGGTTCTAATAATAATGCACTACCTCCTATTAAGGATGATGTAACAAAGTATTTTTAATGTTTATAAGGGTGTTTCATGGATTTTGGCAATTTTCAATTTACATTGTAAAGTTGGTACTACATCTAAATAATTGTCTTTCTTTGGTAACAACTCAAAGAAATATCTAAAGTTAGTACATGAATTAACTTTGCTGGCTTGTTACAATTATTCATCTGTATTTTCCCCTTAATATTTTGTAAACAACCAGTTTCCCTATTAGAGGTTTAGATATTTTAATTACTTTGTTTAAATATGCTACATGAAAAGAAACTAAATTGTCAATATAATCCTACCCGGTTTGGCTCAGTAGATAGAATGTTGGCCTACAGACATAGGATCCATTGTAGGCCAAACGCATGTTCGTAGATTGCAGGTTCCATCCCCGGCCCTCTGGTTGGGGCCTATACAGCAGGAAACCAATCAATGTGTCTGTCTCACATCAATGTTCCTCTCTGTCTCTCCTCCTTCCTTCCACCCTTTCTAAAAATCAATGGAAAAAATATCTTCTGATGAGGATTAACAATATAAAGTGCCAATATAGTTCAGCAGTTACCCTTAATTTCCCCCCTCTTTTCTATCTATAAGAAATGTCTGGTGATATTGAAGGTAAAAAATCAAATCCTGTATTTTAACAGTTAATTTATCCATAAAATGAGTAACATTCAGTTTGGATATGTCTCAATGATTTATTATAACCCAGAGATCTTCTTTATGCTAATATTTAGGTTCTTTTGGAACTGTAGTTTTCCCCAGATTTGTAAGAATTGTTTAACTTTTTAAAAAGTCCAAAGGTATTCCACTACGTGGGCTATTTTAAATACGAAAATCATTCATTAAAAGAAAGCAAATAAAAGATATGGCTGAAAGCATAAAAAGTTCTCTGAACTCATGGCTTATTGCTCTGGGTAAAAATTCTAGAGATTTTTAAGCAAACCAGTTGATTAAAAAGCAAAATTAGATGAATGCATCTGAAATTCTATTATGTAATAATGTTGACTTTAAAGACCTACCTTAACAAATTTTTAAGGGAAAGACTGTAGATTTATATAAGAGCTTCTATTATCTGATTACATTACCTCTAATTAGTTATGTATGTGCTCACTGCTGATAAAAAAATGTTCACCAACATGTCACATGCATGGTTAGTGTTTTATTTTTTGAAGAAAGATCCTGAAACATTATACTAAGTCAGACTGAAAGATAAAGTTTAAAAGTTTTTATAAAGATATTACATATGTAATGACTGTTCACTCTACAAAATCTTGATCATAGAGCTTATAAAATACACCTAGTTGGCAGTAGCACCCAGGTTTTCCAAATTGTCAGTCATCATTTTTCTCTTGTCTGCATAGACTTCTTCTCATTAGCTGCTTTCTGCTTTTGTTGCATGATCTCAGAGTCTCTATAATGGGAGAAAAGGCTGTAAGTTGTTACAGAAAAGCCGAATACGTTCTCACTTGTGTTCTGTATATAACCTATTCCGTATATTAAATGACAATTTTGCTAAATGAAGTGCTAATGGTGTGGTGGAGTTGCGTGAGGCTCTCTGCAAAACAAACTATAGCTTAAGAACTTTAAATTCTTCATCCATGGGTTGGGATAACTATCCATATAGTTTTATTATGCCGGGCACAACAAATATTCAACTGTTATCCCTTTCTGCAGGTTAGGCCTAGTCCTACCAAGAATTTTAAAAATGCATTCCATTCTCCACACTGAAAACTTCAGTGACTTCAGAATTACATTAGCATCACTGACCTCTGTTTTCTCTGAGAGGCAGTCAAGCTATCCTCTTTTCTTTTTCCCTTGCTAATTTCCTGGGATTTCTTCATGTTTTTCTGGCGGGCAAGTTCTCGTTGATTTCCACCTACAAAGAAAAACAATTAATTATTAATTTCAGTTTAAGGCTCTTATTGAGGTGCATCTGAAGTTTGCTTTCTAAAAATATATATTTTATTGATTGTTTTTACGGAGAGGAAGGGAGTGGGGTAGAGTTAGAAACTGATGAGAAAGGAACATCAATCAGCTGCTTCCTGCACACCCCCTAAGGCAGCGTTTTTCAACCGCTGTTGAGATGTTGCCTGGTGTGCCGGAGGTGCAGACAAGACAAGAATTTTATAATTTTTCAGTTTTGTTTACTTAATATTTCATAATAAAGTAATTATAAAATACTTTCTTTGTGTTTATTTGATTCCTATTCAAGAGAATTATTGTACTTTATATATAGTCAATATAGGCACAGAGTTAAATTTTTTAACATTTTCCAATGGTGGTGTGCCTCGTGATTTTTTTCATAAAACAAGTGTGCCTTTGCCCAAAAAAGGTTGAAAAACACTCCCCTAAGGTACATGCATGCCCTGGACTGAAATGGAACCTGGGAACCTTGAGTCTGAAGGCCGACGCTCCATCCACTGAGCCAAACCGGTCAGGGCTGAAGTTTGCTTTTCAATAGATGAGACAGCAAAAGTACAGCACTGAGTGGTGGTCTCAGTTCTGACTACAGCAGGAAGCGTAAAGGTAAATACTGAAGATCTTTAAGAGTATTATACCAATCAAGGTGTTCACTGGCTGCAAATGCAAGAACTCTTAAAAGCGGCATTCCATTCCAATCGGCTATCCATTGGTTAGTATTCCAAAGTAAGTTCTGGCTTCTGCGGGGTGCGGGTGGAGCGAGAAAGCTAGATACAGAGACCACACACCGCACAAGCCAACTCCTAAGCCAGAAGCTTGTGAAACTTGACCGGTGAGAGCTAAACAAAAGAACGAGGGCGGAGACTCGGGCGGAGCGCCGGGTGTTGATTAGGCCCGATGATGTCAAGTGCCAGCTATACACCACCTCCAGAGCCGGACCCCTCCGGAGCGGCCGTCTCACACAGCCCGCCCCCGGGAGGGGTTCTTTCCTGTGTAATCCGCACCTGAGGGGCAGGCCCCTGTTCAGGCCCCATCGGAACCCACCATCCCTCTCGGCGGTCTGAAGACAAGGGATTCCCCGCCAGCCCCTGGCTCCCCGCCACCCGCGCCTGGGTGACCCGTTGGCTTCCCTGCCGCCTCCCCAACCTGTCCGCACACTCACGGGCCATGCCGACCACCGCTCCGAGCCCGGAAGAGAGCGACTCGGAAAAGCACAGGCTTCCGCGCGCGATCAGCGGACGTCTCCCCTCAGCGGGTCTGGAAGGCGGGGCCAGCCCGCCCTCCGCTGGGCCCCGCCCCGCTGGGCCCCGCCCCCGCTGGCCCCGCCTTCCGCTGGGCCACGCCTCTGCCCCCGCCCACCGCCCCGCCCGCCGAGGCCAGAACAGGGAACTCTTTCACATTAAAAAGTCCACAAGCACATACAATGAATGCTCTTCCACAACATATTTCCCTGAAACTCAGTTTCTCCCCTAAAAGGTAACTATTATCAGTTGCTTCACCTCTGAATTTCTAATCTATGATCTCAATTTAGAGTTTCTAAGCCTGAGGATGTGTTCATAAACAGTCCCTGCTCTACAGGACCCTCTAAAAAGAAAACCGGCCAGCGGTTTTAGTAGTTCCCATACAATCTGGGGCTGAGGGGTTGACTAGCTCTTCCCCTTCTTTTCAACAATTTCTCAGGACGCCTGGAGGGGGCAGAGCGCACAGCCTGGCGCCTCTATTTCTGGTTCACCAGTAACCTGGACTTTGTAGTTTGACAGTTACCATGGTTCCGGGCGTCTTACGTCATCGCGCAGCGCTTGCTGATGACGCAATCAGCTTAGGCGCCTTCCAAGGGCGGGGAGCTAGGTCTAGGGGGGAACCCACCTCTGACTGTAGCAGGGTCATGAGGAAGAGGCGGCGGCGGGAGGCATCCGGAGGCGGCGGGGGCGCGAATCTCCGGTAGCTGCCTGCTGGGCCGGCTCGTGGCTTGGTGGGAGGGCGTCGTTCCTCACCGTCTCGCGCAGCGGCCGGGGCTCGGGGCTAAGAGCGGCCGTGGGCCGCCTCCCCGGGCCCCCTGGCTCCGCCATGTTCCGCCGGGCACGCCTTAGCGTGAAGCCGAATGTCAGGCCTGGTGTGGGCGCCAGGAGCTCCGCCGCCGCCAATCCCCAGCGGGGACGGGAGGCTCCCCGGCCGCCGGAGCCGGCAGCGTCCGGTGACCCGAAGCCAGCGGAGATCACAGATGTGCCCCCGGCGGATTCCGGGCGGGCAAAGCCGCCGGAAGAGGCTCCTCGGAGCAGGTAGGTGCTGGAAAAGGGGAGCGTTTTCGTCCCCGGGCCTGTCAGCCGAGAGGGTGAACTTTACAGTGGGAGTTACTCCCTCGCTTGAACTAAGTTTTACAGTTGAGGCCGGAGGGTATAGATTCTGGGGGAGAGAACCATGTATTCAAGTGGTTGTGGGTGTAATCCAGGTGTAACAATCTGGAAGTGAATAAGCCACACGTGAATCCAAATTCATTAGAGAATTTGGATTGCCGTAGTTTTAATTCTTCCGGAGTACTTTTACAGGGATAAGTAGTTTAAAACATTTTTAAAAACATTTTTATTTATATTTATTGACTTTTAGAGAGAGTGGGAGGGAGAGAGAAAGAAACATCAATTTGTTGTTTCACGTTTTTATTGCATTCATTGGTTGCTTCTTGTATGTGCCCTGGCTGGGGATTGAACCCACAACCTTGGCTTGGGCAACTTTGCCTTATCTGGAGGATGCTCTGATCAATTGAGCTACCTGGCCAGGGCCAAGATATTTATTATTTAAATTTATTTTTTATTTTTTTATTTACTAGAGGCCTTGTGCATGAAATCATACATGGGTGGGTTCCCTTGGTGTGGCCTGCTGGAATCAGGCCCCAGCTGTCGCCTCCAGCTTCGCAGCCGTCCTGGCATCCTGGCATCCTGCCTTGGCCTGGCACTGCCCCCTTATCTGCTTGACCATCCCACCTGTGGGGCGATCAGTAGGGACTGGGTCCCCTCCCTCCCCCTCTCCCCAGCTCCCTCATCGCCTGGGAGATGGGCAGTGGCCCGGGGGGGGGGGGGGGGGGGGGGCCGCTGACCCCCTCCCCGCCATTGCTGCTGGTTGCCATCTGCTGGGCGATCAGCAGGACTATTGGGGTCACCCACGCCCCTCCTCCCACCCGACTTGACCACACTACCCACTCATCTGCTCCACCATCCCTCATTGGTCCTGCTCTCATCTGGGCTCATTGGACCCCCAGTGCCTCCACTGCCACCTGCTGCCATCACTGCGTCTCAGACGCTCAGCATGTTCCACGTCGCCCCCTGGTGGTCAGGGCACATCATAGCAGACAGTCAAACTCCCAGTCATTCAATTTGCATATTAGGCTTTTGTTATATAGGGTTTAGTTTATTTTGTTAAATGTATTTTTATTGGTTTCAGAGAGGAAGGGAGAGGGAGAGGGAGAGGGAGAGGGAGAAAGGGAGAGAGAGAGAGAGAAACATCAATGATGAGAGAATCATAGATAGGCTGCTTCCTGCACACCCAATACTGGTGATCTGTGATGGGGGAATTGAACCCTGACCTCCTGGTTCATAGGTAGAGGCTCAACCACTGAGCCATGCCGTCTGGGCTATTTATTTACTTATTTATTTTTAAACTATTTTATTTTAAATTTTTTTATTTAAAATATATTTTATTGATTTCTCACAGAGAGGAAGAGAGGGATAGAGAGCTGGAAACATCAATGAGAGAGAATCATTGATCAGCTGCCTCCTGCACACCTCCACCGGGGATGTGCCTGCAACCAAGGTACATGCCCTTGACTGGAATCAAACCTGGGACCTTTCAGTCTGAAGGCTGACACTTTCAGTCTGAAGACATACAGGAGGCAGCTGATTGATGATTCTCATCACTGATGTTTCTATCTCTCTTTCTCACTTCCTCTCTCTGAAATGAGTAAAATTTTAATTAAAAAAAAAAAAGAAGAACATTGATGAGAGAGAATCATCATCGAGTGGCTGCCTCCTGTACGCCCCATGCTGGGAATCGAGCCTGCAACCTTGGGCCTGTGCCCTGATCAGGAATTGAGCTAGCCACCTCTTGATTCATAGGTTGATGCTCAACCATTGAGCCTCACTGGCCAGGCTACCAATCTTCCTCCCCTTCTTGACTTACCTTGCTTTCTATCCATTCCTGAAATAGTTATTTCCACTGTGAACTGTATCTATTTTATCTAATTTGGAGTTACTGAGCACATTTTTTGGAGTGAAGCATTTGATAGCTGTATAAAAGAGTTGTGCCTGAAAAAAGACAAATGATTTCTTTCTCAAACAGAATTTTGTTTGATTAACGTAGCTAAGTGTGTATCTTCAAAAACTGCAGTTCAGATATTTCAAAGGATTGATGTGTATATTTGGTTTAACTGATCTCAGATTGATAAAGTAAAATGTCAAAATTTAGATCAATTTAGATGGATGTCAGTGTGGATTATAAGCTTAACTTAAAAAAAAGATAACTTTGTTATCTGATGATTTAAACTAGGTTAACTAAACTTTGTTTTTGTAAGTTAGGTTTTTGTGTTTGTGGGTTTTTTTTTTTTGTGTGTGTGTGTGTGTGTGTGTGTGTTTTTAGGGGCCCAGGATGAACATAAAATTATATGCTGTAATGTGCTTAGGGACTTAGAATTTACATATCTGTTAAAATGATTTGCTAAAAATTTTTATTCCAACATCTGTCATAACAAACATACATCTCAAGTCAATGATTTTTTTTTTTTAAATAATGAGATTTTACTGTTTTGAATTTTTCCAAATTAGTTTAAAAAATATTTTTATTGCTTTCAGAGAGGGAGAGGGATAGAAACATCAATGATGAGAGATAATCATTGACTGGCTGACTCCTGCACGCCCCCTATCGGGGATCAAGCTTGCTACCCGGGTGTATGCCCTGACCTGGAATCGAACCATGCCCTCCTGGTTTATAGGTCAACACTCAATCACTGAGTAGCACCTGCCTGACCCAAATTAGTTTTTAAAACTAAAATATTTAAAAAGATCCATGATACCCTTTTTATTTCTTTTTGAATTTCAACAGTAATGAAAAGACTGATGGTAAGAATGATGTTGAAGAATCCAGTAAATCTTCCTCTACTGTTTCACAGAGAAGAAAGCGAATATCAAGTACTCCTCCTCTGGTTAAGCCTAGTGTCAATGTTCCTTCAGTGCCTCATCCCTTATCTACAGTTAATCAAGAAGATCCACAGCCACAGCCAAAACCAACAAAAGAGAAACAGCCTTACTCCGACAGATACCGAATATATAAAGCCCAGAAACTGAGAGAAATGTTAAAAGAAGAATTAAGAAAAGAGAAGGTAAGAGAGGAAAATCAGAATTTTGACTGTTGCCTGCCAGATTTCAGTTTTTATGTCAGTTAGATATGATTTGGAGGAAAATAATCATTTGTAGCATTTTATAGGGGAACAAAACTAAATAATATCTTTTATGTTAACAGAGTATCCCCTTTTCTCTCTCTTCTTTTTTTTTCTTCCTGAAATACTTTTTAATTTTAGTTATTGTTGAAAGTATTACATATGACCTGACCCTTTTCCTCTCCCAGCCTGCTGCCATCCCAGCCCCAGCGTCCACCCCAACCCCCATTGTCTATGTTCTTTGGTTATGCTTATATACATTCTCTGGTTGATCTCTTCTCCCTTCCTCTTTTCTTAACAGAATGATTAAGCACTATGGATTTAAGCTTTTTTCCCCATTATACTAATTTTATATGTTTTATTTATCTATATTTTGATGTTTTTTGATGAAGGCTACAAATAGAAGCTTCAGTATACACACAGATACACATATAACATATTTATAACTTAAAAACAATTTATTGATTTTTTTTCCCACAGAGCGGAAGGGAGAGGTAAAGAGAGTTAGAAACATCAATGAGAGAGAAATCATTGATCAGCTGCTTTCTGCACACCCCTTACTGGGAATGTGCTCGCAACCAAGGTACATGCCCTTGACCAGAATCAAACCTGGGACCCTTCAATCTACAGGCCACTGAGATTGGCTCTATCCACTGAGCCAAACTGGTCAGGGCACTTGGTTGTTTTTTTAAATGTGTTTTTATTTACTTCTGAGAGAGGAAGGCAGAGGGAAATAGAACATCAATGATGAGAGAGTTATCAATCCCCTATTGGGGATTGAGCCTGAAGCCAGGGACTGTTCCCTGATGGGGAATCAACTGCCATATCCTGGCTCATGAGTTCACTCAATCACTGAGCAACACTGGCTGGACTGTGTGTGTGTGTTTTAATTTTTATTTTAATTGATTTTTAGAGAAAGAAGAAGGGAGGGATACAAAGGAGAGAGAAACATCAGTTGGCTGCCTCCTACACATCTCCTCCTGGGAATTAAGCTGCAATCCAGGCATGTGTCTTGATAGGGAATTGAAACAGCCACCTTTTGATGTATGGGGTATGCTCAGCCTACTGAGCTACACCAGCTGGGCATACTTATAACTTTTAATCAGATTTTTATGAGGATGTCTAGATGACATGAGTTACATTCATTTGATTTAAGGCCAGTATAGTTGAGCAAAAATGATTGGTAATATTTCTAAACTGACAATATGGAAAATTATAAATGGGAAAAACATTCATGTATGTATATAGTAGAGTCCATGTCCTTTTTAATCTTCAAGTTTATTTTTCTAAGAGGGCAATGTAACAGCAGTGAAGCATACAAGCTCTGGGGTTAGTCACTAAAGGTTTGAACATTAGATTCATCCCTTATTGACTGTATGACTTTAGGCAATTTCATTTATCTTTCTAAATGTATCTCCTCATCTGTAAAATAGACTAATGATAGTATCTACCTAACTGAAGAATTGTGGAGATTAAGTGCATTAATACATATAAAACTCATTTAGATTAGTGTTTAGCAAATAAGAACTTAACAAATGTCAGCTTTTAATTATAGCATTATCTGTTTTTTTTTTTAAGAGGAATGCACTTAGCTTGGTGCTTTATATTTGTTATCTCAGAATCACTCTTTTACACCAGAGTATACAATCTCAGAGAGATTATTATTTTTTTTATGTTACACATTTGAATCTCTATCCTCTAAAACTTAAGCCTGAAAAATGTTCTATTTTATAGAATGTGCTTAGATTTATTTTGGGTAATTAAAAATTAAACATTTGCTTCAAGAATTTTATAAAATACATAGAATTCACTGCAGGGTAAGCAAAAGCTATGTATTTATAAATTCTCAGTAAATTATTATAGTTAGAAGGCACCAGTAAGCAGGATTTTATACATTGGGCGTTTATCCATTCTGAGTCACTTTAGTTTTTAAAATTCCTTAATATGCAACAACTTCTTAATGTTCAGTTTATAAAATTTTCCCTAAAATTGTGCATAATTATGGTAGGAGTAATTTTCAAGCATTTGCAATTAATGCAATAGTGGACTGTATACTTGAATATAGTACATTTGAAATTCTTCTATATTTAAAAATAAAAGTGGATATCTCTCTTTCTCCATTTCCCTTCATCTCCCTCCATCTCCTTCTATCTCCCTCTCTCCCTTTCTTCCTACCTCCCTTCATCCCCTCCCTCTGTATCTAGAAACAGTGGAAAAACAAATATGCCATAAATGAAAGTCAGAGACCACCAGATCGTTCAAAAATGACTATGAGAGACTTCATATATTACCTGCCAGATAGCAATCCAATGACGTGAGTAAACTTTGTTTTTGTCTTACTTTCTTTATCATCTATAGAGTACAGTTTCATGTTTTCCAAAAGCATGTTGACAAAATTTATAGCAAATATGATGTCCTTTTAAATAGAACTTTGCAACAAAAATTAGTGGTATTTTAAGTAACTGCTTTCTTGGTGGTAAATGATTCCTTTACCTCTGAGATTAAAAATAAGTTTCCTGTGTTACATTATTAAGATGTAGTAAAACTAAGTAGCTTTTCTGTAATCATGATTGCAGTTTCTATTTCTTGTACACTATAACCTGATCTGAAGGAGTGACCTATTTATTAAATGAAGTAGCATTTGATTAAGAAATCCTCAAAGAACAAAGCTTCTTTAATCAAAGTTAGCCTGAGGAGGCCAGATTATGATAAATCTCATTTTTGTGCATTTGATGGTTTAACTGGTAGATGTAAGAATAGTGGCATATTTTTAGTATAGCGTATTTAGATTTACTAGGTCCATTTATTTTCAACTGGTGTGCTGCAAGAATTCTTAAAACATGCAATACCTGACTATTTAGTCAAGGGCACTGAGATTATTAAATAAAAAATGACAACAGCCAACACAATAATAACTGTCTGGTGTGAATAAATCAAAATGATACCTATTTTCTTTTTATCAGTTTGGCAAAAAAATATATTTTTTGATGTGCCACAGATTTTAATAATTAGTTTATGTGTGCCATGAGATGACAAAGGTTGAAAGTCACTGGCCTAGTTGAAGGTAAGGCCAGAAACCTAGGTTTTGAATGGTTTGATAAGCCACTAGATGGCTTCATGTTTTTGGATTGGGAGCCTGTCTTCCCTGAGGAATTAGAGGGTAAGAGAGTTCCCTACCTAGGGCCTAACAAATCATTTCTACTCGGCTTTTTGTATTGACTGTCGGGACACACCATCATTAATACTAGTGTATGCTATGTTATTAAAAAAATGCAAGCTAAAATAATTCTTGCCTACAGATAGAATTGATAAGATGTAAATTAATTATTTATTAAGAAATATTCTGTTATTTTTGTTTAATAGTTCCTCACTGGAGCAAGAAAAGAAAACTGAAAAGTCATTGACACCTGTTCAGACAAGAGAGTAAGCATCTCATCTTATTCTTTTCAAATATATTCTGGCATGGACACATTAAAAAAAAAAAAAAAAGAAAGAAATCAAGTGATAACCTCTTTTTATAGTCAGATTACATGTGATAGCAATTTTTAAGTAGAATTGCTGATAAGAATAAAGTTAGTTTGATTTTAATCAGTAGGAAAGCCCCAAGCTATTTGTGTATTACATATATATATGGCCAATGTTATGATTTACATTAAAGCTTTTAGAATTATAAGGGGTTTTGTTTTGCTTTAAAATAATATATTCATATTAGTGGCCCTGTTCATGAACTGCCTCCCCCCTTTGCTGGCCTGATTGCCCCCCACTAACCTCCCTCTCCAGCCGGCCTGGTTGCCCACGCAGACTGCTTGTTCAGTTGTTTAGTCGTCCTTTGGGCCACCCTGTGCATCTGGGCAGCTGCCATTTGAGGCCTGCTTGCTCCCTGGGCAGCTGGGGGGCTGAGGGGACTGGGCACCGACATCTTTGAGGGCATGGCAGACAATTAGCATATTCCCTCATTATTGGCTGTGGGTGCTGCCCTCTACGAGAGGGTGATGGTCAATTAGCACATTCCCTCTTTATTAGATAGGATGCTACAAAATTCAGAAGGAACAAAGATATATTGAGAAAAGTCTCCAATTCTGTTTTTCAGCCCTCCAGTTTCCCCAGAGGCAGCATGTTACCAATTTTTTAATGTATTGTTCTAAATCTAATCTATGTTTATTCAAGCAAACATGTATATAGCATTTTTCTTTTTCCTTTCCTTTACCCCTCTTTTCCTTTTTTCTTCCTTCTTACTTTCCCTTTTGTTTTCTTTTTTTAGCGTTCTGTGTATGCCATCCTGCAATGGATGTACGATAGTTTTGATGTCACTAACGAGTCTTTTTTTGTTTAAACTACCTGTTGCCTTCCACATTGCACTGCCATTTTAGTTTACCAAAAAGAAAGCCCTGTAAGAGACCCTTAGGAAGTTATTGTAGCCTTGTAATTCATGGTGGGGGGATTGTGGAAAATTAGCACAAACATTGGGGTTTTTTGGTTGATACTTAAAGGCTTATTAAATAATTACTGTTTTGCTTAGAATCCACATTATTTTAAAGCAGAACTCTCAAGCTTTACAAATGTGTTATGTTTTTATAGATTTATAGGTATGTTTGCTTTAGTAATACTTTAAGGAGACAATGTAATTAAATGGAAGGTATAATGGATTTGGAGTCATATTCAGAAAATTGTGTTTGGCTTCTTGGTGTAGCCTACACATATAGTAATGTTTATGTAAAATCTAGACCAAAAGTTACTTGTTTTCTTCAAGCTTCAAATGACTATGAAAATACCCCTAAATCACTGGTGGGAAAACTGTGGCTTATGAGCCACATGTGGCTCTTTGGCCCCGTGAGTTTTTAGCAAAGGCCAGCTTAGGAGTACCCTAATTAAGTTAATAACAGTGTACCTACTTATATAGTTTAAGTTTAAAAAACTTGGCTCTCAAAAGAAATTTCAATCATTGTACTGTTGATATTTGGCTCTGTTGACTAATGAGTTTGCCCTTCCACTGCCCTAAATGTTTTTCTGAGAATTAATAAAATGATTTGAGAACTAATGCTATATAAATATAAGGGTTATTTTAGTTACTTCTAAAATACGTACATGTTTTACTCTGTCTGATACGCTTTTGAGATAGAAAAGGAGCATTTATTTCTCTTTTCTTTTTAAGAAAATGTATTTTATTAATTTTTAGAGAGGAAGGGAGAGGATAGGGAGTTAGAAACAATAGTGAGAGAGAATCCTCGATCAGCTGCCTCCTGCACACTTCCTATTGGGGATGTGCCTGCAACCAAGGTATATGTCCTTGACTGGAGTTGAACCTGGGACCCTTCAGTCCGCAGACCGATGCTCTATCCATTGAGCCAAACTGGATAGGGCTATTTCTCTTTATTTTCAAAGAGGGTAAGGTTCTTATTAAATGCTACTAGATGAAATTTGAGAAAATCTTAAAACCATGTCATTAACAAAATATAGTATTTTATTTATTGATTGGTTGATGAGAGAGAGAGAGAGAAGGGAGGGAATAGAGACATGGATTTGTTTTTCCACTTATTTATGCATTTATTGGTTGATTCCTGTATGTAACCTGACTGGGTATTAAACCTATATATTTGGCATATCAAGGACAACTCTAACCAACTCTAGCTACCAGGTAGGGTAACACATAGTATTTTCGTAAGTTATAGGGGAAATTGGTAATTGCTAGAAGGTTGAATTTGCAATAATTTATTTTAGAGGTCCATAGTAGTCAAAAACACTTCTCATGGATATATGAATCAACCTTTGTTTACCTTTGATAGGCAAGAAGATAAGAGTACTCCTGATGTTGAAGATAATGAAGAACTGGAAGAAGAAATAGATGATGGCCCATTGCTGGTTCCCCGAGTAAAGGTGGCAGAAGATGGTTCTATAATTTTGGATGAAGAAAGGTAAGTTAAAGAGAGTGAGAGATTGTGGTTTCATGAGAGCAAAAGTGCTATGTCTAATGAAAGAGGTTGGGTTTCTCTATCTTTGTCATTTAGACTCTAATGCTTATATTAGCGTAATAAATGTACATAGAAGGGTGTGTTAGATTAATTTATAATTTTTAGAAGTTTTTATTTTTAAGATGTCTTTTAGCCAGGCTGGTGTGGCTCAGTGGTTGAGCATCGACCTGTGAACCAGAGATCATGGTTCAATTCTTGGTCAGGGAGCATGCCTAGGATGTGGGCTCGCCGCAGTGTGGGGTGTAAAGGAGGCAGGCGATCAAGGATTCTCTCTCATCCTTGATGTTTCTATCTCTCCCTCTCACGACCTTTCTGAAGTCAATAAAAAGCAAACAAAAAAGACATTTTAAAATTGCTTGTAGAGAGAGACAAAGAGACAGAGACAGACAGGCATCTTTATGTTATTTCACTTATGCATTCATAGAGTGATTCTTGTATGTGCCTTGACTAGGAATTAAATCTGCAACCTTGGTGTATCAGGATGATGCTGTAAGCTGCCTGGCCAGAGCTATAATTTTTTTTTTTAGCAATTTTTATAACTTTGTATTCTGTATCAAAAGATAGTACTCCTGGCCATTAACTAGCCATTGTTGTTTTACCAACTTCACTGGTAATTGGGAAGAGCTATACAGCTAATCATATACTTTCTTCTTTTGAGGATAGGTTTCAAAGATTGACTCAGTCTTGAAGTCAATATTCAAGTTTTCATACCATTAACTAATACCATATTCTGTTGAATGGTGGTAACTAATGAAAATGCAATGAGCCGGTTTTACTCAGTGGATAGAGCGTCGGCCTGCGGACTCAAGGATCCCAGGTTCGATTACGGTCAAGGGCATGTACCTTAGTTGCGGGCACATCCCCAGAAGGGAGTGTGCAAGAGGCAGCTGAATCAATGTTTCTCTCCCATCAATGTTTCTAACTCTAACCCTCTTCTTTCCTCTCTGTAAAAAACCAATAAAATATATTTTAAAAAATGCAATGAAATGTAGGTTAACATATTTTCTGATTTTTGTTATAATGAGGTTTAATTCACTTCTCGTTTAATTTCTCAGTTATGATATTAAATTTTTCATATTTGGCATTGTGGAATTTAGTTGTCTTTCCAAAGTGTATCATTTTATTTAGTTTTTTGCAAAGTGTATTATTTTAAAAAGTAGATAGTTTTTAGTAAGTAAATAAATAAAAAAAAGGGATAGAAAGTCTCCTGCCTAATTTAATTAGTAAAAATCATTTTATAGCATATAGGTTCTATGATAATTAAACACAAATGTGATACTGTTAATGATTTTTGTTTTTGCAGGCTGCTTTCTATTATTTTGTGATGATAATTTTACTAGTCATTAATAAATAGTTAAAAGCATATTTAACTGTGTGCAGGAATGTAAAACAAATATAAAATGCTTATAATTCTCAATATCCATTTTTGAGTCTAGCATAAGATAGTATATATTAAATATAGCAGACAGGCAGCAGTCAGTAAAACAAATACTTTTTTATTTATTTATTTATTTTTAAATATATATTTTATTGATTTTTTTTACAGAGGAAGGGAGATAGAGAGTTAGAAACATCGAAGAGAGAGAGTCATTGATCAGCTGCCTCTTGCACATTCCCTACTGGGGATGAGCCCACAACCAAGAATCGAATCTGGGACTCTTCCGTCCGCAGGCCAATGCTCTATCCACTGAGCCAAACCGGATTCGGCAACAAATACTTTTTAAGGTAGCCCAAATATATTTTCTGAATTTTATATTGTTTTTAGGATTAAAAATAAAAAGTTGACATTTATTTTTATTCCCTGACAATCAAATTTTATTTTATTTTTTACTGTATTGATATGAGAGAGAGAGAAAGATAGAGAGAGAGAGACAGAGAGAGAGAGAGAAAGAGAAAGATAGAGAAAGATAGAGAGTGAGAGAGAGGGGAGGGGAGGGAGATACTGATTTGCTGTTCCACTATTTATGCATTCATTGGTTGATACTTGTATATGTGCTGATGGATTGAACACACAACCTTGGCTTATTCGGACAATGCTCTAACCAACTGAACTACCTGGCTAGGACCCTTAGCAATTACGTTTTAAGTGAAACTTAGATTCATACAAAATAAGCATATCTCAAATGTATTTGTACTTTTGACATGACTCTGCCATACTAAATTTAAAGATATTACTGTTCAAATATATTTGCTGTGTTTTTCTTTTACTTGTTTCTAGTGTGGATCTATCTAAAAATGTGTTTCTTTCAGTTTAACTGTAGAAGTTTTAAGGACCAAAGGCCCCTGTGTTGTTGAGGAAAATGACCCCATATTTGAGCGTGGTTCTACAACTACGTATTCCAGCTTTAGGAAAAATTATTATTCTAAACCATGGTCCAATAAAGGTAACTGATTTTCATTTAAATTATGTAGGTCATTTCTTTGAAATGTAATGAATTATTTTCTCTGTTTCTTTTTTTTTTTTTTTTTAAATCATTACAATCTTTTATTTTTGTTAATCCTTACCCAAGGATATTTTCCCATTGATTTTTTGTGTGTGTGTGTTTTGTTTTTTTTAAATTTAATAAATCTTTATTGTCAGATTATTACAATTGTTCCTCTTTTCCCCCCCATAACTCCCCTCCACCCATTTTCAATCCCACCCTCTGCCCTTACCTTCCCCCAACTCTCCTCCTCCATAGGTGTATGATTTTGTCCAGTCTCTTCCTGCACCCCACACATCCTTTTCCCTGAGAATTTTCATGCCCTTTCTATGCCCCTGATTCTATTATATTCACTAGTTTATTCTGTTTATCAGATTCTTAATTTAATTGGTTTTTTGATTCACTGTTGATAGCTATGTATTTGTTGTTTGTAATTTTTATCTTTACCTTATTCTTCTTCTTCCTCTTCTTAAAGAATACCTTTCAGCATTTCATATAATACTGGTTTGGTGTTGATGAACTCCTTTAGCTTTTTCTTATCTGTGAAGCTCTTTATCTGACCTTCAATTCTGAATGATAGCTTTGGTGGGTAGAGTAATCTTGGTTGTAGATTCTTGTTATTCATCACTTTGAATATTTCTTGCCACTCCCTTTCGGCCTGCATAGTTTCTGTTGAGAAATCGGCTGACTATCGTATGGGTGCTCCCTAGTAGGTAATTAACTGTTTTTCTCTTGCTGTTCTTAATATTCTCTTTGTCTTTTGCCCTTGGCATTTTAATTATGATGTGTCTTGGTGTGGTCCTCTTTGGATTCCTTTTGTCTGAGGATCTGTGCACTTCCTGGGCTTGTAAGTCTATTTCTTTCACCAGGTGGGGGAAGTTTTCTGTTGTTATTTTTTCAAATAAGTTTTCAGTATCTTGTTCTCTCTCTTCTTCTGGCACCCCCATAATTCTGATGTTTGTATGCTTGAAGTTGTCCCAGAGGCTTCTTACACTATCTTTAACTTTTTGGATCCTTTTTTCTTTTTGCTTTCCCAGTTGAGTGTTTTTTGCTTCTTTGTATTCCAAATCTTTGACTTGATTCTTGCATTCCTCTAGTCTGCTGTTGGGTCTCTGTATAATATTTTTTATTTCAGTCAGTGTATGCTTAATTTCATATCCTCGAGGGTCTCACTAAATTTCTCAGTCTTTTCTAGGAAATTCTTGAAAAACCTTATAACCGTGGTTTTGAACTCTATATCCAGTAGTTTTCTTTTCTCCATTTCTGTCATTTGTGACTTCTTTGTCTCCGCATTTTGGCTGCTTGCCTGAGTTGGTAGGGTAGCTTTGTGTGTTAGGTGTCTTATATGGTCCAGTGGTTCAGCCTCCCTAGTTACCTGAGATGCACCCTTTTGTGACTGTATATTTAGCCTTGTTATAGTTAAGTCTTGATTGTTGTTGGTATCACTGGGAGGAATTGACCTCCAGGCCAATTGGCTATAAGGATCAGCTGTGTCTACAACGGGAGAATTTCTGTGTTGGAGACAGCGTTATGAGACAAGATTTGCAAAATTGCTAAAGCCTCTGCTCAGGTTGAATGGGGCGGAGTCTTAGCTCGGTAATTGCTGCAAGCACTTCTAAGAGTAAGCCACCCTTGAGCTTCACCTGCTGCCAGACAGTCCAGTTTCCCCCCCAATGAATCTGGATTCCAACATTCTTGCCCCGAACGGGACTTCAGCATAGCGGGGAGCTTCCATTTTTCACCCACTAGAGAAAGCCGGCGGCGCACTCAGTTGTCAGACCTCTCTTTGCGCACTCGCGCATGGGGACCTCTGCTTTTTGCAGCTCCCATGAGTTTCTGCCTGACAGTCCAGATTCCCCCTAAGTAAGCCTGGGTCCCCAGGGTCTCGCCCGGTACTGGGGTTCGGTCAGTTAGAACTGGGGTTCAGCACAGTTGGAAGCTTTTGTCTCCTTTCCTTTAGAGAAAACCAGCCAGGCACTCAGCCGCCCATGCGTGTGTCTCTGTACCTCAGCCTTTTGCAGCTCCTCTGATTTTCCATGAGCTTTCCTCTTTCCTTCTAGTTAAAGAATTTCCACTCATCCAGCTTTCCTCTGGTTCTGTATGATGCTTGTTTTGTCTTTTAGTTGTAATTTTGAAATTGTTGTGTGAGGCAGCAGTTTAGGTGTTTACCTATGCCGCCATCTTGGATTTTCTATTTTCTCTGTTTCTGAATTAAACCAGGTCTCCCCTAAGTAAATAAAGTGCAAACTACAATGCCGTTTCTGTCTAGCTAATTTTATTGACATTCCCTCTAATCCCTGTCCCATGGAGCTGTTTCTCCAACTTTATTTTAGGAAGATTTTAAGGAATTAATATTATGGCTATTTTGGTTAGAATGTTTCTCTCTGTCAAATTCTTATTCTACCTCAGATAATATTGCATAATAAAGTTTCTACAAATAAAAATTATGCTGTTAAAAAGTATGTCTATTGCATGCTGTTGTTTATTATTTAATTAAAAATATTTTTATTGTTGGTAATATTACATATATCTTCCATTCCTCCTCCTCTTTACCCTCTTCCACACAATTCTTACCACCCTCTCTCATCCCCTGCCCACCCCAAGTTTTCACCTATTGCCTGTGTCCAGGCAAGTATATACTTATTGGCTATGCCTATAAGTATATAAGTTCTTTGTTTTATATTTTCTTGTTCCCCCAATTATCTATTGTTTACTTTTTATTGTATAAATAATAGTTTGTTTTGAGAAAAAATTCAAACATAATTGAATAATAATTCTCTACTTTCCTTCTCTGACTTCTCCCAATCCTATTCATTTGAAGTTACTATTGTCCACAGTTTCTTATGTATTTTTCTAGCTATTTAATTTTTTTAAAACTTGGTAAAATATATTTTTATTGATTTCAGAGAGGAAAGGAGAGGGAGAGAAATAGAAACATCAATGACAAGAGATAATAATTAATTAACTGGCTCCTGTATACTTCCCATTGGGGACTGAACTCAAAACATGGGCATGTACCCTGACTGGGAATTGCACTGTGACCTCCTGGTTCACAGGTCAATGCTCATCTGAGCCACAGGGGTACAGGCCTAGCAACTTTCTTTCATGAACTAAGCACATCTTAGTAATATTGCATTGGATGTGGTAGGCAGAATGCCTTTAAAAAAAAAAAAATCCAGCTGCTTTGGTATTACCATGCAAATTTCTTAGACCATGTTTCTATATAAAAGTTTAAAGATATTTTTAATTAAAAATTTTAAAAAATGATTTTTAGAGAAAAAGGAAGGGAGGGGGAGAGGGAGAAACATTGATGTGAGAGAAAAACATCTATTGGCTGCCTCCTGCATGACCCCTATGGAGGCAGTGGGTGTGGATAAAGCCTGCAAACTGTATGTGCCCTGACCTGTCGAGGAATCAAACTGACAGTGTAGGGGACAAAACCCAACTAACAGCCACAACTGCCAAAGCTAAATTTTTAATTTAAATGATTGATTTGAGAGAGAGAGAGAGAGGGAAAAATTTGTTGCATTTATTGGTTGCTCCTTGTATGTGCTCTAAACAGGGATTGAACCAACAACCTTGGCATATCAGGACCCTGCTCTAACCATCTGAGCTACCAGACCAGGGCTTAAAAGAAAAGGTTTTTAGATCCATGAGGCTCTTTGAAACAAAATTGAAATATGTCTATAATTTTGTATGTAGACATATTTCTATGACTAAAGAATTTACTGCACTGTAATAATAAACTAAGTACTATCAAATTTATTTCAACTCAAAATGCATACTTAGATAAGGTTTATTTCCTCTGAAATATTGAGAATGTTAACCTTTGGACTTTCTAAATCTTTTATTTTTACAGAAACAGATATGTTTTTTTTAGCCATCAGCATGGTAGGAACTGACTTTTCTATGATTGGACAACTTTTTCCTCACAGAGAAAGGATAGAAATTAAGGTAAAGTGAATGCATTACATTTGTTGCTTGGAAAGAGATTGAAAATTACTAATATATTTTTTTTAACCATTGATTTAAATCTCAGTCCACCCCTTTTTCACTATTATGTTTTTGGTACACCTGTTTCTTTTTATAGCTCAAAAAGTAATAAAATTTTTCTGAGTTCTGTTATGAATACAATTTCCTTAACTTCAATATTGTATTTTCTTATTTATGTTTTGTCCCCTTCTAAATATCTTTGAGAGTGTACTAATAAGCCACTGAAACTAAGATGAAGAATTATATAATGAAGAGGGAAAATAAATGTATTAGTAGTAGAATATTTGTGTTAAGTGTTGTTGTTTTTTATCACAAAATAAATTTCTGTATTTCCTAGGAAGAAAATACATTTCCAATTGATAGTTGAGATCTTTTTTCAACAGTGGGCTTAAACTTCATTAATTAATTAAAGGGGCCATTAGGAAAGATAGATTTCCCTCCCACCCCACCCCTTGGGCTAGGCATGGATTGGTCACCTGAGGAACATTGTACAGTGTGATGATCATTGTATGTCTACAAAAAATGAGAAAATTTTTAATATTTCTTAATTTTGAGGACAAAATATTAAAGTTCTGTGAAGGCTAGAAATTGATTATCTGGAGAAGCTGATCTGAGTAATTAATGATCAATTTGTTACTAGATGATTTCTCTCAAAAATTGTTCAGACTATTCCCCTAAAAGTTTATAGTGTAGTTCCAGTAGGCCTTTTGGCAAAGTGTAGAAAAGTGAAAATGGACTACTGATTTAAATGTCAAACCAACCTTAGATTCCAGGGATAAATGACTAATATAAAATATTCTTCAAAAACTTTTAAGTAGTTCTGAATTGTGTTTCCAATTAGGTAAAACTAGAGGCCCAGTACACGAATTCGTGTGGGGAGGGGAGAGGAATGGTCCCCTCAGCCCAGCCTGCACTCTCTCTAATCCGGGACCCCTGGGGGCATGTCCAACTACTTGTTTAGGCCTGGGGATTGGGCCTAAACTGGCAGTTGGACATCCCTCTAATAATCCTGGACCACTGGCTCCTAACCATTCACATGCCTGCCTGCGTAATCACCCTTAACTGCCCCCCTGCCGGCCTGATCACCCCTAACTGCCTCTGCCTGCTGGCCTGTTAGCCCCCAACTCCCCCCACACCCCCCACTGTCCTGGTTGCCCCACACAGCTAGCTGCTCATTCCTTTGGTAGTCCCTCACTAACCCCCCTGCCAGCCTGGTCGCCCCACGCAGCCTGTTTGGTCATTCATTCGGTTGCAATGGTTGTTTAGGTTTTTATACACTTAATGGCCAGATTATTATGATTTCTGAATGCATAATCATCTGGTCACTCAGTATGTGTGTGTGTGTGTGTGTGTGTGTGTGTGTGTGTGTGTGTGTGTGTGTGTGTGTGTGTATATATATATATATATATATATATATATATATATATATATAAAATTAGAACCTCAGTGCATGAATTCGTGCATGGGTGGGGTCCGGCCAGCCTAGCCACGGGGAGGGGACATGGGCAATTGACCGGCCTGTCTGCTGGTTGAACTCCTGGTCAAGGGGACAATTTCATATTATATAGGATATACCGGTATACTTAGTGGCCAGATTATTATGCATTCAGAGAGCATAATAATCTGGTCACTCAGTACTCAGTGTATAGATAGGTAGGTGTAGCAATATTTTATAGTTCAATACTGTATAGAGCCTATTAGCATTTTTATCAGAAGGTTTAATTTAGTGATTATAGTCAGTCACTTTTTATGAATGCAACTTAATTTTTGAGATGTTTAAAGATTAATATGATTTTTTAAGAAAGAAAGATGATCACTGAAAACTTTTATATTATTTAGTAAAAGTTTATGAAGAAAAGTAAAGAATGGAAATGAGGGGTAATCTGTAGATTTAAAGATATTTAAGTAATAAGTTTTTTTTTTTAAAATGGATAAAGATAAACTGGAGTCTTAACAATGTTCTCTTGAATGGTAAACAGTAAGGAAATGCAAGAAAGTAATTGCTTTAAAAATCAGATTGTTGGTTAGGTTCTTTCGGAGGGAAGAAGGGGGCCATAAAATAGCTCGTTTGTTTTCTGTGCTTTTCTCTTTTTTTCAATAAAAAGTTTTATTTTTATATTTTTAATAAGAGCATTATTAGACCACTGATCTGTAGAAGGGAGCAGTTAGCAGGTTGTTCCCAGACCCGGGATGAATATGCATGATTAGACATCCTGGGACACAGACTTACACCCTCAGATATCTTAATTACCTTAGGATGGATTGAGCCTAAATCTTTTCTATCTCCATTGTAATGGACTTAATCTGGAGTGGAACTGGCTATGGGGCATTAGAAAATGTGCCTTAATATAAAGAAGGTTCCAAAGATAAACCTGGCCTGTTTCAAAATTTTGCTTAGGTGTTTCTTTATCTCTATTCCATAGATTTAACAATATGAATATATTAGTTTTTAAAAATATATTTTTATTGATTTCTGAGAGGAAGTGAGAGAGAGAGAAACATCAGTGATGAGAGAGAGTCATTGATCGGCTTCTCCCTGCACATCCCACACTGGGGATTGAGCCTACAACCCAGGCATGTGCCCTGTTCTGGAATGGAACTGTGACTTCCTGGTTCATAGGGTGACACTGAACTACTGTGAACCATGCCAGCTGGGCAATATATTAGTTTTTAAAAAGTTAATTCTGGTTAGCTTAATTGATTATAGGTTTGATCTGTTTTCATGCTAGTGGACTTTCATTGCTGTTTCGTGCTATTGATTATAAGGAAGATCAGAAAGCTCAGTATAAAAGGTTTACTAACTTGTCTGTTGGTAAAGACATTTTTATTTATTTGGGTTATATGTTACCATAAGTTTCATTTTCATGGTTATTTTGTTTAAACGTAATCCTCACTTGTTTAATAGGAGAAAATTATAGCATTTTTTGTTTTGTTAACAGAATAAATTTAAACGTGAAGAGAAAACAAATGGATGGAGAATAGACAAAGCATTCCGTAAGTATTAAGACCATTTTAATAAGGTTTTATATCAAGATCCTAAAAATCAATCTTTGTCTTTTGTTTAATGTGTGTTTTTTAAATATATTTTTATTGATTTCAGAGAGGAAGAGAGAGAGAGAGAGAGAGAGAGAGAGAGAGATATCAATGATGAGAGAGAATCAATGATTGGCTGCCTCCTGCAGGCCCCCTACTAGGGATGGAGCCTTCAACCTGGGCATGTGCCCTTGCCTGGAATCGAACGTGGGACCCTTCAGTCCACAGACCGACGCTCTATCCAATGAGCCAAACTGGCCAGGGCAGGTTCTAATGTGTTTTAAATTAGTTTTGTCCTTATATTGGTTTGGATAAAACTATATAATGGTGATGGGACAGGTGAGAATCCTGCTTTTATTTTTATTTTTTTAAGATAGTTTTAAAAAAATAATGATTTCTACAGAGAGGTAGAGAGAGGGATAGAGAGTTAGAAACATCGAAGAGAACGAAACATCGATCAGCTGCCTCCTGCACACTCCCTACTGGGGATGTGCCCACAACCAAGGTACTTGTCCTTAACCGAAACCGAACCTGGGACCTTTCATTCTGCAGGCCGACACCCTATACTGAGCCAAACCATTTAGGGCGAGAATCCTGCTTTTATAGTGTTCAATGTAATTGGGTAGGGGAAGGGGCACAGTTTGTAAGCATGATAACTTTAGATAGTGATTAATTTCTAAACTAGGTGGGTGGATAGTTAGATTGGGTGGTCAGGGGAGTTCTATCTGAAGAAATGACATTTGAATTTATTCCTGAATTTGAAGGAATGATGTGTGCCTTTCACTGTCTAACTAATAGCCTCATTAAAGTTAACTTTTTTTTTCTTTTTAAATCTAGAGAAAGATATCAAAGGATCTGTAAAGCAAAACAATTAAATGTACTGTATAAAGTAGTTCCTTCTTTGGAAGATAATAATCCAATGCCTTCTGATGAATAAATGTACTTAGTGTCTATTTAGTATTTATCTCAGGAAAAAATCTAAAGAGAGGATCTAAATTTTGGAGCATGTACATTTATTTAATGAGTAAATACTAAGGTAGATGAGTGGACCTTATACTCCTTGTTGTATTGGGTCCTCAGGAAAACCTCTTCTAGGAAATACTTTTGGAAGATCTGGAATACTGTGGTTTTCAACCCTCTCCATTTTAGAAAAGTGTTCCAGAATCTTTTAATTAAGTTTTAGGTATTATAATAAGAATTTATAAACCTATAAATCTTTTATGGGATGCAGAGTCATTGTTAAATCCATCATAATAGATTCATTTACAATTGATAGATTTTGGTTCTTTCTAGTGGAAAATTAAAAAAATAATCTAAACTTAAATAGTATTTTTTAGAACTTATATTTTGAATTCCTCTGAGAAGCTTTATGGATTATTTTTTTATCATCGTTGTGGAAGGCCAGAACACACAAAGGCTGGGTCTACAATAAAACAGGGCCTTCAGGAATTCCAGTTTGGGGCTTGGTTTCCTAAGACTAATTTATTTTTGTTTTGGTATATATCTCTTTTTCTGAGGCCAGCTTCTAATAATCTTATAATCAAATCAATCTTGATTGGGGATCAAACCTCCAACTTTCTGTGTACAGATGATGCTCCAACCAACTGTGCCACTTGGCCAGGGCTCATTAATCATGTGCTTGAGATTCACTTGAATTAATTGCTTTTATCACTAGATACTTTTTTTTAAAGTTTATTTTTATTGCTTAGTGGTCTATTATGTGATGATTAGAGGCCTGGTGCATGAAATTTGTGCATGGGGGTGGGGGTGAGGATCCCCTCAGCCCGGCTTGCACCTTATCCAATCTGGGACCCGTTTGGGGATGTTCGACTGCCGGAGATTGGGCCTAAACTGGCAGTCGGACATCCCTCTCACAATCCTGGACTGCTGTCTCCTAATCACTCAGCTGCCTGCCTGTCTGGTCACCCTTAACTGCCCCCCTGCCAGCCTGGTTGCCCCCAGCTGACCCTCTGCCAGCCTGATCGCCCCATGCAGCCTGCTTTTCAGTCGTTTGGTCGTCCCTCACTAACCCCTCTGCTGGCCTGGTCATAGGCAGCCATCTTGTGAGGGCCTGAGGGTTAATTTGGATATTACCTCTTTATTATGAAGGATAATATAGTGACTGGAGTTTTTTATTCATTTTCTCCTGTTGATTAACCCATTTGTGTGTGTTGTTTTTTTTTTTTTTTAAATTGACTTTTAGAGAGAGAGAGAGGAAGGAGGAGAGAGAGAAACACTGATTTGTTGTTACACTTATGCATTCATTGATTGATTCTTACATGTGCCCTGACTGGGATTGAACCTGCAACCTTGGAGTATCCGGATGATGCTCTAACCAGCTTAGCTACCCAGTCAGGGCCCCATTTGCTTTGATATTTTGGTACTAAAATAAAAATTTGAAGGTTCTTTTTCTTTTTTTTTTATTAAACAGAGGAAAAGCGCCCTTTTGACTTCGATTTTTTTGCTCATTTGCTTCAGAAAGTTCTTGATGAAGAAGAGAAAAGAAAACAAAAATCCCTTAAAAATCAGAATTTAAGGGAGAAGAAATCCTCTAAACCACGGAAAAATGTAAAAGGTATTTATTTTAAAAGAAAGTGTGTTATTTTACTTAATAGACTTGCAATATTAAGCCTTTGAGTGTTCACTTGTAGTTCAGGTAATTGAGGTTACCAGAGCTCAAGACAGTAGCTGTCTTTTATTTGTTCTTTTATTTTTATTTTTATTTTTTTTATTTTCTAATTGTCATGTCTGTTTGATATCTTTCTTGCATCTAGAGCAGTGATTCTCAACCTTTCTAATGCCACGACTCTTTATTACAGTTCCTCATGCTGTGGTGACCTCCAACCATACAATTATTTTCATTGCTACTTCATAGCTGTAATTTTGCTACTGTTATGAATGGTAATGTAAATATCTGTGTTTTCCGATGGTCTTAGGCGACCCTGTAGAACCTAAGTTAATGTTTATATAAATGTTAATTTAATGTTTATTTAAATGTTTATATAAAAAGTTCCCTACCAGGGAAGCTTGTTAGAAGCTCATTGCCCAATAATTTTATTGGAGGCTTGTCATACCCTTTGCTTGGCACGTACCAGAATTCAGACTACCAGAAGGAAGGCCAGTTGTTCAGCAGAAACCTCATTATTTGTACAAACCATTTAAGTAGACAGGTGGGGACTCGCCTCAAGCCCCAGTTTCTAGATAGCAACGGGCCAGCCTTTTTAGAAAGACCTTTCAAAGGTTAGATGCTATGTTAATTCTCTTCTGCACAGAGCCAGTCTCAAATTTCCTTTTTTGGAGTATAGTGTCTACATGTTTTAAAAAGTATTGATCACTGCAAAGTTTTCACTCTTTAGTCATTTTTCTTTACTTAACTATACATAGCCCTAGGAGATTAAAATAGATGTGGTTATCATGTAACAACACAAGTAACTCACTGTATCTCGTTAATGTGAGAAATTTTCAGATGTATTACCATGTTTCCCCGAAAATAAGACCTAGCACATGGAAAGATAAGACTACCCTGAAAATAAGACCTAGGGCAACTTTGGGAGAAAAAATTAATATAAGACATTGTCTTATTTTCGGGAGAACAGGGTATTACAAGTCTCAGAAGTTAAAAATTGCTGATTATTATTCTGATAGAGAATAAATCCAGAATTGTCTTAGTTTTAAAATCTTGTTTTGACTTTTTTCACAAAAATAAATGACATTGTGCCCTAACCAGTTTGGCTCAGTGGATAAAGCATCAGCCTGTGGACTGAGGGCTCCCAGGTTCGATTCTGGTCAAAGGCATATACCTTGGTTTTGGGCACATTCCCAGTAAGAGGTGTGCAGGAGGCAGATGATTGATGTTTCTCTCATTGGTGTTTCTAACTCTCTATCCCTCTCCTTTCCTCTCTGTAAAAAAATCAATAAAACATATTAAATAAATGACATTGAATTTTATTATTTTTTTTTAAAGATTAGATATTTCTAGAGATGTCTGATCAGCCATAGTATCAAGTTAAGTTTACTTTTGGTTTGGATGCTGTTCCTATGGTGATCTCTATTTTTGCTTTTTATTTATTTATTTATTTATTTATTTATTTATTTTTAATATATTTTATTGATTTTTCACAGAGAGGAAGAGAGAGGGACAAAGAGATAGAAACATCGATGATGAAAGAGAATCATCGATCAGCTGCCTCTTGCACACCCCCCACTGGGGATGTGCCCGCAACCAAGGCACATGCCCTTGACCGGAATCGAACCTGGGACCTTTCAGTCCGCAGGCTGATGCTCTATCCACTGAGCCAAACCAGTTTTTGCTATTTTTGCTTTTTAAATTATTTCATCTTTAAATAAAAAAAAAAAAAAAATCCTCACCTGAGGTTGTGTTTGTTTTTTAAATTAAATTTATTTTTAACATTGATTTTAGAGAGAAGAAGGAAGAGAAGGAGAAATATTAATTGGTTGCCTCCCATATGATCCCCGACTGGGGATTGAAATGAAATCTAGGTATGTGCCTTGACTGGGAATTGAACCCACTCTAACCAACTGAGCCATCCAGCCAGGGCTGTTTTCATCTTTTATTTCAGTTGACTATTTATATGCCTTCAAAAGAAAAGCACTAGAAATTGTTTTAAAATATTTGTTAAAAATATTCTTCATTGAAAAATCATTCAGGAAATAAAATTCTTGAGCTCTCTTCTACCCTGCCAATCAGAATCTTCAGATTTCCTATGGATAACTATTACTAAACTCTTTCCTGTGTGTGTGTGTGTGTGTGTGTGTGTGAGAGAGAGAGAGAGAGAGAGAGAGAGAGAGAGTCTTAGTCTTAACAGTATGTGTAATTGTTTTTGTTTAATAGAAATGAGGTCATACTACATATGTTGTTTTGCAACTTGATTTTAATGTAACAGTATATTTTAAAATCTTTTACATCATTACAGCCGAGACCGGTTTGGCTCAATGGATAGAGCGTCGGCTTGGGGACTGAAAGGTCCCGGGTTCGATTCCGGTCAAGGGCATGTACCTTGGTTGCGGGCATATCCCCAGTAGGGAGTGTGCAAGAGGCAGCCAATCGATGACTCTCTCTCATCGATGTTTCTAACTCTCTATCTCTCTCCCTTCCTCTCTGTGCAAAATCAATAAAATATATATTTAAAAAAAAATAAAATAAAATCTTTTACATCATTACATATGAGCCTACCCCATTATTATTATTTATTGCATGGATTTTTATAGCATAAATGTATTTATAACTTAATTTTATTGTTTTCTGTTGGGCATTTTATATTGTCTTCAAAATGTTGCTTATACAAATAATATTACAGAGGATATCCTTGGATATTTGCTGTCTCTGCTTTAAGAATTTTTTGTAGGTTGTTTATGTATTTATAACCATTTCTTTTATTTTCAGTGAAAAAAGTTACCAGTGAAGGAGTGACTGACAATCCAGATGAGTCTATGAGTGCTAAAATTTCAGATACAGAAGATTCTCAAAAGGATACTCAGACAGTTCAAGAAGAACTGCAGCCTCCGACTTTATCAGGACAGGATTCAGAACAGATTGCATTAGAACCAGACCTAAATCTAGAAAAAAGAAGGAAAAATCAAGATGAAGTTGGTACACAAGAAGTAAAAAATCTTTCAGGAAATGCCACTGTTCAGCCAGGCCCTTCTAAAGGAGAAAAACAGAAAAGTAAGTTTTTAACATATTTTAATACCCTCTAATTATTTGAAGGCATGTATATAATAATTTTATCTAATAAAGATGGTATATGCAAATTGATCATAACTCCCAACAAACGATGGTGACACCCACAGCCAATAAGGAAGGAATATGCAAATTGATGCGACAAGATGAGAAGAGGTGGAAGGTGGCTCCAGCTGGGGCTGGAGCAAGGCAGTGCCGGCAGCCAGGGGAACGAAGGCCTATTCTTGCACGAATCTTCATGCATTGGGCCTCTAATATAGTCTATAAATTAAATGTCTTTCTTTAGATAGTAGTAATTACTAATGTTTATTAACTGGTTCTGTACTTATGTACTATTTATTTATTTATTTATTTATTTAATATATTTTTTATTGATTTTGTACAGAGAGGAAGGGAGACAGATAGAGAATTAGAAACATCGATGAGAGAGAGTCATCGATCAGCTGCCTCTTGCACACCCCCCACTGGGGATATGCCCGCAACCAAGGTACATGCCCTTGACCGGAATCGAACCCGGGACCCTCCAGTCCCCAAGCAGACGCTCTATCCATTGAGCCAAACCGGTCTCGGCTGTACTTATGTACTATTTAAACACATTTATTTAATTTATTTTTTTGTTAATCCTTACCGGAGGATATTTCCCCCATGATTATTTATTAAATATGTTTTTATTTATTTTATATAGAGGAAGGGTGATGGGTAAAGAGATAGAAACATTAATGAGAGAGAAACATTGATAAGTTGCCTCCTGCATGCTCCACAGAGGGGATCAAACCTGCAACCCAGGCATGTACCCTGGCTGGGAATCAAACCAACAATCTTTTGGTGCATGGGTTGATGCCCAAACACTGAACCACTCTGACTGGGCTTTTCCATGTTATTTTTAGAGAGAGCAGAATAGAGGGAAGGTGGGGGAGAGACAAACAAAGACAGAAAGAGAACCATTGATGTGAGAGAGATTAGTTGTCTCCAGCACTCACCCTTACTGGGCTCGGAATCAAACCTACAGCCCAAGTACATGCCCTTGACCAGAATCAAACCCTGGTGCAAGGGACCATGCTCTAACCATTGAGAATCACGGGCAAAACACTTTTATTTTTAATTTAGTAGGAAAAGGATTAATAGAAACCACAAAGCTAAATGGGAACATTTTTTTCTCTAAAATTTGTCTCTAAGATTTATTACCTGAATTGTACTCCCATTAACAATGATAAGAAGTCACATATAGCCGAAACCAGTTTGGCTCAGTGGATAGAGCGTCGGTCTGCGGACTGAAGGGTCTCAGGTTCGATTCCCGTCAGGGGCATGTACGTTGGTTGTGGGCACATCCCCAGTAGGGGGTGTGCAAGAGGCAGCTGGTCGATGTTTCTCTCTCATCGACGTTTCTAGCTCTCTATCTGTCTCCCTTCCTCTCTGTAAAAAATTAATAAAATATATATTTTTTAATATATATTTTAAGTCACAGGTCTTCAAATAATTTGGTTTCACTCAACATCATTTTTTCACAACTTGATTGAATGTCTTAGGAATTTAACTCTTGTTTATACATAAGTTAGTTGCTGGTAAAATTGGTTTTGTTATATGTAATTTTGCCTCAGTGCCAGGAACCAATCTATTGACAATATAAAGTGAGGACTTAATATAGTTAAGTGCACATTGCTTGTATCTGTTAATAAATCACAGGTATTTATGTTACTTTTTCATAGCACCTCTCTGAAATCACAATAAATTGTGTAATTTCTATAAAAGAGCTACTGAACTACACATTCTTCCCATTTTCATTTTTTAAACTTTCTTAGAATACAGATATATTGGCACTTATGAGTTTTTAGGGAATGAGGGCTAAGAGTTTAGGGAAGTCTTGGTCCCTTTCCTTAAGAGTTCATATATAGTCCTAGCCATATATAGCCTGGCTCAATGGATAAAGCGTTGGCAAACTGAAGAGTCCCAGGTTCGACTCCTGTCAAGCTCACATACCTCGGTTGCAGACTCGATCTCTGCCCCAGTCAGTGTTTGTGTAGGAGGCAGCCAGTCGATGTCTTTCTCACATAGATCTTTCTATCTCTCTCTCTCCCCTTCTCTTGCACTTTCTCTAAACATCAATGGAAAAATATCCTGAGGTGAGGATAGAAAACAGACAGACAAATGACTTCATGTATAGATTATTTAAAACAATCAAGTAAAGAGAGGAAAATAAATAGTAGCAGACCATATAATTCTTTTAAAAAAAATTATATTTTGTTAATTTTTTTACGGAGGGGAAGGGAGAGTGAAAGAGAGTTAGAAACATCTATGAGAGAGAAACACAGATCAGCTGCCTCCTGTACACCCCCCATTGGGGATGTGCCCCAACAAAGGTACATGCCTTTGACTGGAATTGACCTTGGGACCCCTCAGTCCGCAGGATCTGTCCACTGAGCCAAACCCAGTAGGGCCAAAACAACTTTTCCATAGAATTTAAGTTTTATGTAATTCAGCTTCACCTATATGATTTTTTATTTATTATAATTGTTTTTAAAATATTTTCATTGATTTCAGAGAGGAAGGGAGAGAAAGAGGAATATCAATGATGAGAGAGAATCATTGATTGGCTGCCTCATGTATGCTCCCTCCACTGGGGATTGAGTCCACAATCTGGGCATGTGCCCTGACTGGAAATTGAACTGTGACCTTCTGGTTCCTAGGTCTACGATCAACCACTTAGACACATTGGCCAGGGCACCCACATGATTTTAATAAATGAGTCCTGATTGGTAGCATAGTTTGGTTTATAGGCATTACAATATTATGCTCTTTTGTGGCTTACTATTAAAAGATATTACATGTAAAATGGGATAGCTCAGTGATTAAGAAATTGGACTTTAGAAATCAAGCAGACCTTGGTTTAAATTATTTCTTTTATTTGCTAAGTATGACCTTGGGCAAGTCAGTTAAGATCTTTCAACTTAGATTCATTTTTTTTCTGTGATGGGGTTAATATGAATAACTTTTAGTAGGATTGTTTTAAATATTAAATATTTATCTGATGGATTTACAGTTTCTATCACTTAGTAAGTTCTGAAATGATTAGCTATTACTGTGTTATAATTATGACACTTACTGAAGGAACAGAAGAGCGAAATCTACTTTATTTCATAACTAGACATATTTAACCACTTGAAATTTAAGCAAGATAAAAGGAGATGCTACAGATTGTCTAAGAAATTTGTGCTGATCCTAAAACACAGTTGTAAGTTGATTGATTTTTCATTAATGCTCTTAAAATATTATCTATCTCTTGCATATAAGAACTTAAATGTTGAATGGATTAATGATTTATAGTAAGAGATGTTATATGTAAATTCCTTTGAGCTTTAAAATATAGAGGTTCTTGCTGTCACTTTTTAGAATAACATATGTATTTTGTATTTATAGGTAAATGTCCATTTTTAAGGCCTGAGGAAAATGAAGATGAAGGCAATAAGGAACAGAAGCTTTCCTGTGTACAAACCATTGATGAAGTTGAGGATTTATCCTCCAGGGACAAAGTTGTGAATAAAACTGACCCTGTTCTTTCATTAAGGTATTTTATATATAATCTTTCCTGACTTTGTTTACATTTTCTGTCAGTTACTGAGAGGAGTGTGAAGTCTCCAACTGTAATTGACTTGGCCTATTTATCTTTTCAGTTCTATTTGCTTTTCTTTATGTATTTTAAGGCTCTGTTATTAGGTGAATACATATCTTGAATTGTTGTCTCCTCTAGGTGAAGTCAATCCAGGCATGTCCCCTTGACCAGAATCAAACATGGTCTCTTCAGTCCACAGGCTGATGCTCTATCCACTGAGCCAAATCAGCTAGGGTGAAGGAATAGTTCTTTTCTATTTTTATTTTTTGATTTTTTACAGAGAGGAAGAGAGAGGGATAGAGAGTTAGAAACATCGATGAGAGAGAATCATTAATCAGCTGCCTCTTGCACACCCACTGGGGATGTGCCCGCAACCAAGGAATCGAACCCGGGACCTTTCAGTCTACAGGCCGACGCTCTATCCACTGAGCCAAACCAGTTTCGGCAGGACTAGTTCTTAAAACATAGTGCGCCCTAACCGGTTTTGCTCAGTGGATAGATCGTTGGCCTGCGGATTAAGGTTTCCAGGTTTGATTCTGGTCAAGGACATGTACCTTGGTTGTGGGCATATCCCCAATAGGGAGTATGCAGGAGGAAGATGATTAATGTTTCTCTCTCATCGATGTTTTTAACTCTGTCCCTCTCCTTTCCTCTCTGTAAAAAAATCAATTACATAAAATAGGTAAAGAAAGTACAGTGTTAAGAATGAATTTAAAAAAAATTAACATGGTGCAACAAAGATCACAGTAAAGCCAAAATATTTGTTTTAATTTTCTCATAATATGAAGGATTATCGTTCATAGTGTTGGTTAGTATATATCATTTTTAAAGTCTTTTAAATAATTAGTTTAAAGTAAGCATTGCTAAGAATTTCTCCCCCCCCCCATGTTTTCATTTCTTTAATAGTCAACAAGATGCTACATCAGTAGCAACTGAGGCTTCAGAATCAATCACTTCAGATTTGCATTCATCAGAAGTTGGAATTAGAGTCTTATGTGAGGTGAATAATGCTGAAAGTAGTTGTACAGAAGAAAGAAATGTTGAACTAAAAAATATATCACTGTAAGTATTTTACATGGTAAGACTTAAAAATTTATTTTCAAACTTTTGGTAATTTCTTATAATTTAACAAATGTAAATAATGTTGCTTCTTGCCCTAACTGGTTTGGCTCGGTGGATAGGGCATCGGCCTGTGGACTCAGGCGTCCTGAGTTTGATTCCGGTCGGGGGCATGTGTCTTGGTTGCCAGCGTGTCCCCACTGGGGAGTGTGCAGGAGGTGGTTGATTGAGGTTTCTTTCTCATCAATGTTTCTAACTCTCTCCCTCTCCCTTTCTATCTGTAAAAAATCAATAACATATATTAAAAAAAATAATGTTGCTTCTATTAGGATTGAGGAGGGAACTATAGACCATTTAATATGTTTGTGATCTGAGTGTGTATATTTCATTACAGAAAGAGCCTCTTTCATATATGATGTATTATAATAATACAAATTTTAGCCAAGTAGTAACTTAAGAAATTCTAAAATAATTTAAAATCTTAAATATTTGCTGAGATTTTACTTTTACTTGGTTTAATATTCATGCCTGTTGTCAAAGTAATGGATTTTGATATTTATGACTTTGAAGAGATTATTATATTTTTTAGTATATAGATACAGGTTAAGTTAATATCTTCACTAAAAACAGAACAAAAGCATCACAGAATTTTCCTTTGAAGAGATATGTAAAAAATTCAGACTTCCTTTTTGTCTTCCTCATAACTTCTCATATGGTCTTAAAAGCTATTCAGTTTATAAGTTATTTATATTCAGTAAAGCAAAGTCATATTGAGAATCAATCTTATTTTTTAAAATTAAAATTAGTCTTTGATATAGATAATAGTATATTCTTATGGTTCATCTGTCTAAAAGTGTAAAAGTATTGAGAGAAATATTCTTCCTTTCATATCCTTATTCACTCTAACCAGTACCAGTTTTATTTTTTCAGAAGTTAAAAAAAAAGTATATTAAGTCCTAACCAGTTTAGCTCAGTGAATAGAGCGTCAGCCTATGGACTCAAGCATCTCAGGTCAAGCGCATGTACCTTGGTTGCGGGCACATCCCAATAGGGAGTGTGCGGGAGGCAGCGGATCGATGTTTCTCATTGATATTTCTAACTCTCCCTCTCTCTTCCTCTCTGTAAAAAATCAATAAAATATATTTTTAGAAAAAATAAAAAATATATTAAAGATAATACAAGTAGCTCTGCCCATTGTTTGCTCAGTGGTTAGAGTGTCGGCCTAACCACTGGAGGATTTTGGTTCAATTCCTGGTCAAGGAGATATATATATATCTCCTTGACCAGGAATAAAAAATATATATATATATATATATATATATATATATATATATATATGATGGAACAAGTTAGTTATTGCCTCATTGCTGTTTCTCAGTTTTCTTTGCTACTCTGTAATATGCTTAAGTGAGGTTTTTTTTTCTGACTGTGAGTGAATTTTTAAGAATTTAATTTAATATGCCTGAATGAAAGTGCATAATGAATTTTTTTTTTTTAGGGAAGCTGATCAAACAGAAAATGTTAAACCTATGGTAAGAGGACGATTCCAGAGACCTAAACCCAATTTATCAAGGGCTGTTGGGAAGAAATCCGTTCTTTCACAAGGTAAAACAGATGCCAAGAGCAAGAATTTACATCCGGAACCTTCAGTTGAAAAGGTATGGAGCAAGAGACTTTATAGATATTAAAATTATAAAAAATTTTTTCCTAAATAGTTAGAAATAAAAATATTTAGTTATAAAAAGTAATGTTTGTGATACTAACACAAAGATATAAGAACTTACACATTAATATTAAATATTTTATTAGTGTCTTGATTATGCATTTTCTTCAGAACAACTTTCCCATTAATATTAAATTTGTCATAGCCAGGCCAGTGTGGCTTAGTGGTTGGGCGTCAACTTATGAATCAGGAGGTTGTGGTTCGATTCCCCATTAGGGCACATGCCCTGTTTGCAGGTATGATCTCTGATGGGGAGCATGTAGAGGGGGCCAGCTGATCAATGATTCTCTCTCATCATTGATGTTTCTCTCTCTTTCACTAGAGAGGAAGTTAATTAAAAAAATATTTTAAGAATATTAAATTTGTCTTTCTAGGCTCCTGCTTTATTTCATTTTTACTTAATTTTTAAAAGTATATGTTTTTATTGATTTTTAGAGAGAGGAATGGAGAGGGAGAGAGAGAAACAATATGAGAGAGAAACACCAGTCAGTTGCCTCCTGAATGCAACCTTCCTGGGGATGGAGCCCATAACCTGGGTATGTGCTTTTACCCGGAAAGGAACTGGTGACCTTTTGGTACGTGGGACGATGCTCAACCAACTGAATCATATCGGCCATTTTTTTTAGAACCTAAGACAAATTTCAAACACCTTCAATAATGACAAATCTGACTTTTTTTATATGAAATTATTATTCAAAATGTTTTTTAAGCCAGCTATGCATAAAATTATATCTACAACTTTGTTCTGTTTGTCCTTTATGACTTAAACTTTCTTTTTATGTATGTAAACATTTCTATAGTTTTTAATAATTTTTTTTTGTTTAATATCCATTGATGTTTTAGAGAGAGAGTGGAAAGGAAGGAGAGAGAAAGAGAGAGAGAGAAACATTTATGTGGGAGAAACATATCAATTGGTTGTCTCTTGCACTTGCTCTGATCCAAGGACAAAGCTGCAGCACAGGTACATGCCCTTGAACAGGAATCGAACCTTCAACCCTTTGGTGTGGGCTGGGTTCTAACTACTTAAGTCACACCAGCCAGGGCAATCATAGTATAACATTTAAAACTTCTTTCTCTAAATTTATTCATTTATTTTTCTTGGGATTAATTGATCTTTTTAATTAAGGTTAACATCAATTTACTAACCATTTATCTAATGGTGGATATTTAGGTTATTTCCATTTTTCAAACTCTTGAAATAAAGCAAACAATTTTTTAAATAGGGCTTTCGTAAGGTAAAACAAAGGGTAAATTTTCAGAGGTGGTGAGATTAATGGGTCAAAATATTTTTAATGTTTTTATAGGTCTTGTGCATTGTCACACTGACAATCAAAAACATGACTCTATTTACATTGCTACAAGCACCAAATGCATGTTCTGGTTTCCTTATATTCATGCTAGCATTATATTGTTTTAAATTTTTTATTTTTGGTAAAATACTTTTTATAATGTTAGTCTACATTTTTTTCTATTATGTGAAGCAGCTTTTTTCTCATACTTTTTATAATTTCATTATATTGTAATTATATAAGGTATTTTTAATTTTTAGAAAATTGGGAAAATATACACTCATGTAAAAATTAAAACCTTCCTGCCGAAACCGGTTTGGCTCAGTGGATAGAGAGTTGGTCTGTGGACTGAAAGGTCCCAGGTTTAATTCTGGTCAAGGGCATGTACCTTGGTTGCGGGCACATCCCCAGTGGGGTGTGTGCAAGAGGCAGCTGATCGATGATTCTCTCTCATTGATGTTTCTAACTCTATCCCTCTCTCTTTCTCTCTGTAAAAAATCAATTAAAAAATATATATAAAAAAAATTAAAACCTTCCTGGCTGGTGTGCCTCAGTTGATTGGAGCCTAGCAATTGGTATTCTCTTTCCCTCCCTCCCTCCTAAAAATCAGTGAAAACATATTATGCCTTAGGTGAGGATTAGGAAAAAATTAAAACAAAAACTACTTGTAATTTAATTTTTAAGATGCAACCAAAATTTTGATTTTTCCAGCTTTTCTTAATTAAAAATGGAGTAGTATTAATTCAGTATTATATCCTTTGGTATTTAACTTCTACAAATATTTTCCCATATCATTAAACATCTTTTGAAAACATGTTTGTTTTTTTATTTAGGAACTTCATAATATTCTATCAGTGGGTGTGAACTGAGTTTATTTTAACCATTTATTCATTGTTGAATATTTTGTCTATTTACAGCAGGGATGGGAGAACTTTTTTCTGCTAAGGGCCATTTGGATATGTATAACATAATTCACAGTCCACACATAATTAAATTAGCCTGCTATATTTGGTCAGACCTAATGCCTTCGCAGGGCTAGACCAAATGATTTTGTGGGCCTTATATGTCCCGTGGGACAGACTTTCCCCAACCCTGATTTTACAGTGTTTGCTATTTGTATAATATTCCAGTGAACATCTGTGTACTTAAATTTTAGTCGAAAATTTTAGAATAGAGTCCTAACAATCATATTACTGGGTTAAAAGGATGAATATTTTAAGGCTCTTGATTCATATAGCCAAAAGGCTTTCCAGAAAGGATATACTGATTTGCAGTAATGTATCAGGTTATACAGGGTTAGGCAAAAGTAGATTTACAGTTGTGAATATATGAAACAAGTTTATTATATTTTTTATTAATTATTGTATTATTTTCCATACAAATAACTGTAAACCTACTTTTGCCTCACCCAGTATGTTTTCTAATACTTTTATCTATGTGTATGATTTTAAAAACTCTCTTCTTATTAGAAGCACAAAAGAAATTTTTTTCTTTAAATTTTTCTTTACTTATTGCAAAGTTTGAAGTTTTTTATGTTAAGTAGATTAAATGTAAAACATTGAATTCATAGACCCACATGGAAAAAGATAAAATGAATTCATTTGACATTTCTGGAATGGAGAATACAGAGAAAGAGAATGCCGAAGCTGATACTGTATCTAGGTAAGTATTTAGGAAGTAGAATACAAATAGTAACTCTTAGGAATGATTGTAATAATTTTTCTACTTGATACTGTCTAAAGTATATTTTTAGCTATACACTTTAAATCTATTTTTAACAGTTGTTGAAACATTTACTAGGTGTACCAGTTAATAATGCAGATTTTGTAATAAAGAAAAAACCAAAATAATTTCAAGAGAAATTCAAACGTGCTTTATTCAAAGTCATGACCTCGCCAACTACACATTTTCCACATCTTTAGGAAATTTGTGGATACGTCTCAATAGAACTTTTCTTGTTTTGAGGCAAACCATTCAGACACCCAGTTTTCCACTTATTCGTATGTTTTGAAGTGCTGCTGAGAAAGTGCATGTGCCAATGATCAGACCAAGTGGTAACCTGAGGAAGCAAGGTCTGGTGAATACAGGGGTTGGGTTAATATTTCCCAGGAAAGATCTTTTAACGTGTCTTTTGATGGATGTTCTTGAGGATACTTGTGAATTATTTTATATTACAAATTATTTGTACTTGAGAGAAGGGAATGCTAAAAACATGCAAGTATGTGACTTCAGGCTAACGATTGATTTGATTCCTTTGTAATTCTTTTAGTTTGAGTGAGAAAATGAATCTACAGGAAGATAATCAACCAAAGGCTTTCAGACCTGCACGACTGAGGGGCCGATTACAGAGGCCAAAGCCAAATGTAGTTAAAGCTGCTGAAAGAAAAGAAATCCTTGCATCAAAGGAAGAAATTGGGGCCAATGTAGAAAAGAATGAAAATGAATCCTGTGTTGATATAAATGTAAGTATTCTGATTCCTTCCAGTGTTTTTGTTAAATCTATAAGCCTTCATTTGCCCCTTTTTTTTTTTTTAATTTCCATTAATTTCAAAGAGGAAGGGAGAGGGAGATATAAATATCGATGATGAAAGAGAATGAATTGGCTGCCTTCTGCCCACCCCACACTGGGGATTGAGCTGCCAATCCGGGAATGTGCTCAATCGGAGAATTGAACCATGACCTTATAGTTCTTAGATCAAACCTCAACCACTGAGCCATGCCCGCTGGGCCTCATCGCTTTTTAAACAGTAGTGTTATACCATGGTGTACATTGTTCATTAAATATAAGCCCAAAATCTCTTAGGCAGCCACTTAGCTAATTGTAACTCAGCTCTCTAGATTTTGGGCATTAATATGATGGATTCTCATATTTGGACTTGTTTTTCCCCATTACTCTGCAGATTTTGAATTACACTTCCTTTTGAAAATATAGCTTGATAAGTGAATTTTAATGCTGGCAGAAACAAAATGTTAAAATCTTCCTACTAAAATATAATTCTAAGAACAAAGATTATGGATTTTAGATTATTTACATAATAATAACTAGTCTTTGTGATAAGGGTAACAGTTGGCATAATTTTCAAGGTCTGTAATGTGATTATAAGAAGAAGATATGTTCAAAGAGATAGATCCCAGGGTATAATTCTTACAGATGAGACTAAAGCAGTTACTTGCTTTCTGATTGGGAAGGAAGTGGAGCCTTTGAGATGAGGTAAAAAGTGTGGCTTATGAAATTTCCTAAGATATCTAAAGAAAAAACCCAACATATTTGGACTACCATTTTATGGTTTTGAAATGTTACTGTTTTCTTTGTACTCAAATTGGAATTATAAATGGTGGTTTCATTTTGAAAACTAAAACTTTTTTAAAAAAATGTCTTTGTTATTAAGACTCCTGAACAAATAGAAGATCAGTCATGTGATATCACTTCACAATCTGGAAAAAAAGATACTTCTTTTCAAAATGTGCAATCAGATGAGCCCAAGTCTCTTAATGAATGTTCAAGGTAAGCATCATCTTATTGACTATATAATTTTTAAAAAAATATATTTTATTGACTTGTTTGTTTGTTTTTTGCCCCCCTCCCTCCCTCACATACTTACCCTCCTTGCCCAGAGTGAATATATAATTTTAAAATTTTGTATAAAGTTTTAGAAATTGTTAATTTTTAAAAACAAGCAAATCAGACTTGATTTTTTTTGTATATCAAGTTACATAATATCTATAATAATAAAAGTATAATATGCTAATTAGACTGGACAGCTGAATGACCTTCTGAATGACATTCTGGACATCTTTCAGATGAAGCCTTAGTGGCGGGGGCTAAGATAGAGGCAGTTAGGGGCAATCAGGCAGGCATGCAGAGTGTTTGGAGTGATCAGGCAGTCAGTTGAGTAGTTAGGGACAATCAGGCAGGCAGGTGAATGATTAGGGGTGATCAGGCAGTAGAGTGGTTAGGAACAATCAGACAGGCAGGCAGAGTGGTTAGGGGCTGTCAGGCAAGCAGGCAGATGAGCGGTTAGGAGCCAGCGGGTCCTGTGGGCTGGGGGCAGTTCCTGCATTGAGCTGCTCCCTGGTGGTCAGTGCTTGTCATAGTGACCCATCATTCTTCTGGTCATTCCATTGTTTGGTCAATTTGCATATTAGGCTTTTACTATATAGTATAACCAGTCTGATCTCAACAACTTTTTTTTCAAGGCAGTGTCCTTTCTGTCTTATCATGTGATCTTTCTTGTCTTTGAATCTCCAACATTCTTAAAAACAATTCTAAGATTCTATGTTTAATCAAGCCATAGGTCTCTTTGTGTATAATAGGCACTTCTCCTCCCTCCCAAACATTTTGAACTGCCAAGATGCTATGTAAGAGAAAATAAAGAGACACTGAGATGAAGAATGCATTAAAAATTCTTCTTGGTTATATATAAATTAGCAAATATACCTAAAAAATTTCCCTAGGCTAATTTGGCATCCTGTGTACTCTTATGATTATCTTATGGATGTTTATAAATACTTTGTTGATTCTTAAACTGTATTTTAGAGAAATACATGTGGACCATAGAGTAGATTTGTAATCGTGTGCACATTCTTCTCCTATCTTCTCCACTTATGATCCTCTTTTTTTCTTTACCTTTTTCCTTAAATTCTGTGATCTTGGAGAGTTGTGGATCCATTATATGTTTTAAGTTGAGGAATAATTCAGTACAATTTCATATCTGATTTCTAATCTCGGGTACTGCTCTTCAGTTAATTACGCAGGTGAGATAAGCTCTATTGGAGGAGATCTGCCTCATTCACCATTGTATTCCCAGTTCCTAGCACATGCCTTCCTGGCATGTAGTAGGTGCTTAGAACTATTTGTTGATTGTTTGTTCATGAGCTCCAAGTAATGTGTTACTGATTATTTATCCATAAAAGTAAAGTTTATCAAAGACCTTTAATTACTGAGACTGTTTAAATGGAATATAATTGTAACATTGTGTATTTGTATTTTAAAATCTGAATTTATATTAAAGTACTGATATTATTAATAAATCTTTTGCTTAAAGCATTTAATGTTTTAAGAATATGCTAGTGTTTAAAATGTGACTTTATAATGATACTAGAGGCCCAGTGCACAAGTTTGGGTGGAGTTTCCAGGGGGGTAAGATGGGAGGCTGGGATGTGATCAGCCCTCTGAGTGGGCCATGGGACACCCTTGCCAGCTTGTGATCCTGATCCTTCCTGCTGACATTCACACCTGTTGTTGGGAGCCACCTGATGTTTTATACTGTTTCTTCCTTGTTGAGTGTTGAGGGAGGAAAAGTGGCCACAGTGCCTGAGACTGACTTCCAGGAGGCCAATGTTACTGTTGGATTTTGCTGGCAGTGCTGGTCCGTTGGTGCCTGTGCTGTTCTATGGAGATTGGCCCTGCAGGACTCCTGAGGGAGAGAGTGGCTGCCGCCTGGCTGGTGGACTGCACTGACCACCAGTGGGCAGCTCCTGTTTTGAGCATTTGCCCGCTGGTAGTCAGTGCGTGTTATAGTGACCGGTTGTTTGGTTGCGTAGGCTTTTATATATATAGACTTTATCTTTTCCCATGATAACCAAACCAAGGTTGCTAGTGCACAAATCTTATTAAAAGCTAAATATTTCTGGATGGAAATGAAAAGTATCATAAGTCAGAAAACAGAATAAAACCCACTGAGAACTAAGTTAAATTTCCTTTACCAGTTGGTATTAATTTTACATTGAATATTATCTATTACTAAAGTTAATGATAGTTGAAAAACACCTCAGTTATATGAACAAGTACAATTTGTGTTATCACAAATTGTATTAAAAAAACGTTTCAACAAAGGAAGATAGGTTGGGACATAGACAAGTTCAAACAAGCACTAACGTAGTTGTAAATAATTTAAAAAGTAAAAACAAAATTTTCTTTTGTTAATTCTCACCCAAGGATATTTTTCCATTGAGTTTTTTTTAGAGAGAGTGGAAGGGAGGGGGAGAGACAGAGAGAGCGAGAGAAACACTGAGGTGAGAGAGACACATGGATTAGTTTCCTTCTTCATGGCCTGACTAGGGCCGGGGATCAAGCTTGCAACTGAAGTATTTTCCCCTGACTGGAATTGTACCCGGAACCATTCAGCCGAGGGGCTGATGCTCTACCCACTGAGCCAAACCAGCTAGGGCAGTTTTAACTCATTTTTTAAAAGCTGTTGTATACATTTGTTCAGACTAACATTACTGAAATGCCCAGTAACACTCAGGAAACTGCCAAATATTGTTCATTTAATTCTTCCTTTTAGTCCCATTTTCTTAGAGAAATGTGTTCTCTTAGACAGAGAAATGTCTGTACAGGAAATATCATTTTAAATTGCTTTTAAAAGTGAGGAGGTGTGAACCTAGTTCTTAGTTAGAAGGCTGTATCTTTTTTTAAAACGTGCCTCCATCCAGCGGTTTGAGAGACGGATTTTGAAGGAATAGAGAAAAGAGAAATATCCACACAAGTCTGGCCATATAAGTGGGTCCCTTAACTCTATGGTAAGTCATATGTCTGTGTAAATGATAATAAGGCAAAGATGTAGGAATAGCAAACACAAATTGGGCGAGCTACAATGTAGAGCCTGGAGAGTTTTTCTCCAACAGTGTTTGTGAAGAATGGTGTGAATGAGGATTAGTAGGAAACTATTCAGGGCCAATTAGCTGCTAATCTAATTGACCTTACTGATAACTTTTTCTTTATATGTATCTCTAGGTAAATAGATATTTTATTATTTTAAAATTTTACCATATTTTCAAAAGATGAAATTTTCCTCTTGATTTTAATTTAAATTTATTATTTTTAATAAATTCTCTACTTAATTTTTAAACAAAAGTTTATTGATTGATTAATTTGAGAGAGAGAGAGAAAGAGAGAAACATCAATTTGTTGTTCCACTTATTTATGCATTTATTGGTTGATTCTTATATGTGCCCTGACCAGAGATTGAACCTGCAACCTTGGCAAATGGATCAATGCTCTAACCAACTGAGCTACCTGGCCAGGGTTCTCTTTTAATTTAATTTGATTTTTATTGATTTCAGAGAGGAAGAGAGAGAGATAGAAACATCAGTGTTATGAAAGAATCATTGCTTGGCTACCTCCTGCACACCCCCTACCAGGGAATGGGCCCACAACTGGGCATTTGCCTTGACTGGGAATTGTGCCATGACCTTCTGGTTCATATTTCAGTGCTAAACCACTGAGCAACATATCTTTGGGCTTTCTTAATTTTCTTATTTTTAATTTGAGAGTCCCTTGTGTTTCAGTAGTGAGTTCTCAATCATCATCTCTTCAACAGACAATCTGGCTTACAATTTAACTGTGTCTTTTCTTTTTATAGTATTCAAGAGGATAATGAAGCAAATATACTCAGACAGGTTCCAGTTCTAAAGAGTCGATTTCAGAAACCAAAGCCAAATATAGGAAGAAGAACTGGAAGAAGAGACATTTCCTCAAAGGAAGAGTTACCAGAGGAGATAGTTGTTTCTGGGAAAAAGGCAGCAGCAAGACTAGAAATCTCCTCAAAGGAGAAGGTACCCGTGGAGGCTAGCACTACAAAGGAAATTGAATCAAAGTTAAAAGAAACTGGGAGAAGAGACATCTCTCTCAGGGAGAAGAAACCAGAAATGATTGACTTCACCATGGAAACGGTGACAGATTTGAAAGAAACTGGAAGAGAGATTTCTCTAAGGGAGAAAATTCTAGAGGTAACTGGTGCTATTGAGGAAAGAGAGACGGATTTTGAAGGAATAGAGAAAAGAGAAATATCCACACAGGAAAAGGCCCCAGAGGTCAACACTGTAGGGGAAGCAGAGGCAGGGATGAAAGAACCCGGAAGGGAGATTTCTCTGAGGGAAGAGAGACCAGAGGTGACCATGACTGATGCCACTGAGGAAAGAGAGATGGATTTGGAAGAAACCCGGAGAAGAGAAATATCCACACAGGAAAAGGCCCCAGGTGTCAACACAGTAGGGGAAGTGGGGACAGATTTGAATGAAACTGGAATGGAGATTTCTCCAAGGGAGAAAATTCTAGAGGTGACTGGTGCCATTGAGGAAAGAGAGACAGATTTGGAAGAAACAGAGAAAAGAGAAATATCTACACAGGAAAAGGCCCCAGAGGTCAACACTGTAGGGGAAGAGGAGGCAGTGATGAAAGAACCCGGAAGGGAGATTTCTTCAAGGGAAGAGAGGCCAGAGGTGACCATGACTGATGCCACTGAGGAAAGAGAGATGGATTTGGAAGAGACCCGGAGAAGAGAAATATCCACACAGGAAAAGACCTCAGAGGACAGAGTTACAGGAGAAGTAGAGGCAGATTTGAAAGAAATTGGAAAAGAAACTTTCTCAAGAGAAAAGATCAGTGCTGTAGGAGAAATGGTGGCAGGTTTGGAAAAAACTGAAAAAATAGATATTTCTCTAAAGGAAAACGAACCAGAGGAGACTGGGACCTCACTACAAATTGACACAGATTTAATGCAGAGCAGAAGTGCTGATTGCAGTGCTGTGCCTTCACTAAATATCAAAGTATGTACTTTTCCGTCCCTAAACATTTTTTATAATGCTCTTTCGGAGAAACATTATAAAAATAATTGCATTTCTGAGTCCAACAATATTTAAAATCTCTAAAGCCCAAAGTCTTTCTTAGTCCTAAATTCTATGTTTTGGAGCCTGGAAGAAAAAATAATAATAAACATTTTTTAATTGTGGAAAAGATATTCTTAATGTCAATTTGAAGTTACTCTTTTAGATAAAAAGGAATAAAAGAAATCAGAATTATTTCTTTTGACTATAAATGTATCAGCTGTTCTCCATTTTTTTCTGTCCCACCCCAATTTATTCCACTTTTAAAAGTTATTTTTATTAAACGTTTTCAGTTATTTGAAGTTCATCCTATTCCAACACATTTTCAAGGACTTTTTTTTTTTTTTGGAACGGACAGCAATGGCATTTGTGGCTTGGAAATATAAATATGCAATATGTAAAGAAGAGTTAACAGAATTTTATGTTTTAATATTTGTGAACTTTGTTTTATTTAAAAATTAAAAAAACGAAACTTCTGAATTTTTAAAGAAAAGTGTTTAGAATATAGTAGGATTTTTGTTTGCGATGCTTAAGGAATCTTGTATAATTGCTGATTTACTGTGACTATTCTTCCAGAACATTAGCAATGAAGTCCTATCTGTGGTGCATACACCTGTAGAGGAAAAGGGAAATACTGAAAAGGAAGTGTCCAGCCAGTTGAGTCATTGGAAGACTTCTTTGAAGACTTCTGAACTTGATAAAACAGAAGACCAGGGGACACCATCTGCAGATGTTCCAGAGCAATTTTCAGATATTAACTTAAGGTATGATTTTGTAGGTCTGTGTGCTGTTAAAGAAAAAGCATATAAAATTATATTTACAATTATGTTAAGTAAGATTTCAAGACATAATCTATAGCATAGTGTTAGAGAGTTTAAGCTAGTTTGGGGAAGAGTGGGAGAGAGGATTGAGAATATTCTGACAGTTTGTTAGAATTACAAACAGTTATATATAACTTATATTGTTAAATCATACCTATATTTTCTTTGTGTAAAGATGATATAATTCATAGGCTTATATCTATCTGGATTGTACCACTCATTTTTTCAGAATCTACCAAATGGTCCAATTTGTTTTCCTGTTAAGAATCAGAATTAAATATTTACATCCAGTCTCTAAGGTTGTCTTAAGATTCCTCTCCCACTGCCCCTTCAATTCATTCTAAAGCATGATAATCCTTGTTCCAAAAGCAAATCTCTTCCTCAAGAACAAAAGCCATTTAAGCCAGCACCTTTTATGAGAAGTCGATTCAAAAGACCAAAACCAAACCTATCAAGAGCAACTTTAAAAAGAGAAACTATGGAAGCAGAAAAACATGTACCTGGGAAGAAATTGGAAATGGATAAAATAGAGACTATTATGATACAACAGGATGGTGAACAAATGAACACTCTCCCTTCTCAATCTGTGAGTGATATTTAAGATGGAGGCTCTTTTGTTTTATTTAATAAAGTAAAACACTTGTAATTGAAATTTCACAAGTATTTCCTCATACAATTTTTACCATGTGTGATTTTGTTGTAGCTGTACTTAATGTGCCTCATTGTACCACATTTTGTGTAAGAATCTCAAATCTTTATGATGGGCAAGTATGTGATGGAAGGAATTTAAGAAGCCTGGGCTGCATGTAGTTCAAGTTATGATCTTTGTTTGCTTTGTGATTATAGCCAAATGATGAACCAATTTCTTTATAGGGGAAATGGGAATGATAATTTTTTTTTTAAATATATTTTTTAATTGATTTTTTTACAGAGAGGAAGGGAGAGAGATAGAGAGCCAGAAACGTCAATGAGCGAGAAACATCAACTAGCCGCCTCCTGCACATCCCCCACCAGGGATGTGCCCGCAGCCAACATACATGCCCTTGACCGGAATCGAACCCGGGACCTTTCAGTCCGCAGACCGACGCTCTACCACTGAGCCAAACCGGTTTCGGCGGAATGATAATTTTTTCTTTCACTCTGTTGTGAAGGTGAAATAGAAAGTTAAGAGCATGGCCCTGACCTGTGTGACTCTGTTTCTTGGAACATTGTCCCGTGCACTGAAAGGTCTCAGGTTCGATTCCTGGTCAGGGCACATACCCAGGTTGGGGCTTCGATCCAATCGATGTTTCTCACATCAATTTTTTTTTTTCTTTCTCTCTCTCCGTTTCTTACTCTAAAATCAATTAAAAATACATATCCTTGGGTGAGGATTTAAAAACAAAGAGTTTGGTAAGAGTTAAAGAAGATATTTTACTTGCTTAGTTCATAAATTAAGATTATGTGATATAGCATCAAAAACTTTGAAATGAGCCCAGGCATTGTTACTCGGTGGTTGAGCATTGACCTAAGAACCAGAAAGTTGTATTTCAATTCTCTGTGAGGGCACATGCTGGGTTGGCAGACTCAATTTCCAGTAGATGTTATGCCTTAGGCAATAAATCGATGATTATCTCTCATCGTTGATGTTTCCATCTCTCTTCCTCTCCCTTCCTTCTGAAATCAATAATATATTTTTTAAAAAACAACAGCAAACCACCCTAGCTGGTTTGGCTCAATGGATATAGTGTCAGCCTGCGTACTGAAGGGTCCTGGGTTCGAGTCTGGTCAAGGGCATATGCGTGGGTTGCCGGCTAGACCCCCAGTAGGGGGCATGCAGGAGGCAGCAGATCAATGATTCTCTGGGATTATTTATTTATTTATTTATTTAAAATATATTTTATTGATTTTTTTACAGAGAGGAAGAGAGAGGAGTAGAGAGTTAGAAACATCGATGAGAGAGAATCATTATCAGCTGCTTCTTGCACACCCCTTACTGGGGATGTGCTGGCAACCAAGGTACATACCCTTGACCGGAATTGAACCTGGGACCTTTCAGTCCGCAGGCCGACGCTCTGTCCACTGGGCCAAACCGGTTTCAGCTATTCTCTGGGATTATTGATGTTTCTTTTTCTCTCTTTTCTTTTCCCTTCCTTTCTGAAATTAATAAAAATATATAAAAAACAAACTTTGAAATGAAATAGCACTCATAAATTGAGTATTCTAAGTATGTAAAGTACAATACTTTGAATTAAAATTTTTATTTTGCATCTTAAAATACTTAGTTCTTATTGTACTTGAACATTTGTATTTTATTCTTCTAATCTTATATTCTAAAAGATAAATCACTTTTTTATTAATTATTTTATTGATTATAAAACTTCCAAATTGGAAAAAATATAGACTCTAAATAATGAAAGTCCTCTATAATGTTCCATCTGTCCTTGCCAAGTTAATCATGTAGCAATTTTGAATCTACTCACTGACACTTTTTTTATTTAAGATTTTTAAATTGCCTTTTTAAAGCAAAGTTGGGGAACCTTTTTTCTCAGGGGCCATTTGGATATTTATAACATCATTCTCGGGCCATACAAAATTATCAACTTAAAATTAGCCTGCAAACATTTAGTTAATGCAGGCTTAATGCTTTGGCAGGGCCAGACCAAATGAATTTGCAGGCCTTATGTTTCCCACCCTGTTTTAGAGAGAGAAGAAGGGAGAGGGAGAGAAAGAAACACTGATGTGAGAGAAACATTGATTGGCTGCCTCTGGCATGCCCCTCTCCGGGGGTTCAAGCATGCAATCTGGGCATGTGCCCTGACTGGAAATTGAATCACCAATCTCTCTCTCTCTCTCTCTCTCTCTCTCTCTCTCTCTCTCTCTCTCTCTCTCTCTTTTTGCGGCGAGACACACACACACAATATTGCTATAATAAATATCCTTTTATATCATTTTTTGGTACTTATTTGAATATTTTTATAAGATACATTTCTAGAAGTAGAATAGCTGGAAAATAAAATTTTTAATAGATCTGTTCTATTCTTCGCTACAAAGACTATACAAATTTATTATTCTAATAGTATATGAAATTTCCTATTTCCCTATTCTTTTACCATCCTCAATGAAATGATTTTTAATCTCTTTCTAGGATGCGTCTTCTCTGATGACATCAAAAGAAAGAGACAGATCAGATCATAGGCAGGAGGAGGCTGGGATGTTACCATGTGAACTGATAGAAAAGAACCTTTCACCTTCAAGTGTTTGTGAATCTGAAGAGGCCTCTCAGTCTACACAAGCCCAGGAAAAGGAATTACCTGTTTCTATTGGGTAAACAATGATAGTCCTTTGAAAATCTAAAATAAGACAGAATTATTTCAAATATTTCTTTTTTTAAAATTAAGATGTATTAATGTATTTTAACAGTGAATATAAAGAATTTTGTACTTGGTTTATTAGTATTTATATGGCAGACTGCCTGTAAAATTGAAAATCAGATTGAGTTCAACACCTTTTTATGCTTGTCTGCTTATGCTCACTGTTTATTGCTTAAGATTTTATACAAAGCAATACATTTAAGAAATATATGTATATAAGTTATTATTTGTGTTTTAAAATATTGTGGTAAAAGCCCTAGCCGTTTTGGCTCAGTGGATAGAGTGTTGGCCTACAGACTGAAGGGTCGTGGGTTCGATTCCAGTCAGGGGCACATGCTCGAGTTGCAGGCTCAATCCCCAGTGCGGGGCATGTAGAAGGCAGCCAATCCTTGATTGTCTCTCATCATTCTACCTCTCCCTCTCTCTTCCCCTCTGAAATTAATAAAAAAATATATTTTAAAAATTGTGGTAAAACACATAGTACATAACACTTAGTTTTTAACCATTTTTTAAAGTATACAGTCTAATGGCATTAAGTACATTCACATTGTGCGACCATTGCCACCATCCATCTCCAGGACTTTATTTTCCCAACCTAAAAGTCTGTACCCATTGAACAAAGCTCCCTTTTCCTCCCTTTCTCCAGGTCTTGGCAACCAGGATCGCACTTTCTTTCTATGAATGGGAATATTGTAGGTACCTCATATAAATTCATTACCTTTTTTTTCTTTAAATCCTCACCCAAGGATATTTTTTTAATTGAGTTTTAGAGTGAAAGGGAGAGGGAGAGACAGAGAAACATCGATGTAAAAGAGACACATCGATTGGTTGCTTCCCACATGCAACCAGACCTGGGGCTGGGGATCGAGCCTTCAACCGAGGTACTAGTATGTGCCCTTGACCGGGTGGTATCGAACTTGGGACCCTTCAGTTTGCTGGCCAACGCTCTAGCCACTAAGCAAACTGGCTAGGGCTCATTACCTTTTAATAATTGAAATAATATGTCCTTTTATAAAAAAAGGTATATTTATAATCAGAAAGTAAATTGTTATTGAGAGGGTAATTTTATTAGAGGATTCTTAAATTTTACATTTTTATAGTTTTCATCTTTTTACAGTCAAGTTCCTCTATTTTTCTTTGTCCTTCTCTCTAGGAATCATAATAATATAAACACTTTTCAACAAGAAATGAAGGAAAGTATTATCCATACTACTCGACCAGTTAGGGGCCGCCTTCAGAGACCTAGACCAAACATAAAAAAGGCTGGACATAGGCAAATGGAAGAAAAAGGTGAAGCTGAAGGCATAGTTGAAAAAGAAAGGACAAAATTACAAAAAGATGAAACTGAAAAGAAATTACTGAATGTGGTGAGTTATTGTTACATAATCAAGTTGAGCCTTTTAATTCAAATTAAAACATTAAATGATAGCTCAGGTTTGTCTTATGTAATTTGACACTTACTCTATTCAGTGATTACATAATATATCTAGTTTTGTTTCAGATTTACCATTCTGAATTTTAAAAAAAGTAAATATAATTTTATTTTTTTCCTTACTAAAGAACTACTCATTGTGAAAATCTTCAATCAATACAAAATAATAACTATCCCAAATCTGACCACCATGAGATTACCACTGAAAAACTGTTGTTGTATATTACTAGATGTATCCCCATGCATGCATATGTGGATACATATGTAAATTTAAACACTGAAAGATTACATGCATGTTTTTTTGTGAATACTTTTTTTAAATATATTTTCTGTCAAGAATACAGGGATACATTATTTTTAACTGCTGCATAAACATTCTGATAGTTAAACCATTTCTTACTGATGGCTCTTGTGATATTAGAAGCAAATCTTAGTAATGTAATGTCCATTTCAACAGTTCTTGTTTTTCTGTCCTTTTCTCTGTTATAGTAAAAATCTAGATTTAAGGTGATTGTAATTTTTATTTGAACCTCCTGATTCTTTTTTTTTTTTATATATATATAAATATTCTTTTAAAAAAATATATTTTATTAATTTTTCACAGAGAGGAAGGGAGAGGGATAGAAAGTTAGAAACATCGATGAGAGAGAAACATCGATCAGCTGCCTCTTGCATACCCCCCACTGGGGAAGTGCCCGCAACCAAGGTACATGCCCTTAACTGGAATCGAACCCGGGACCCTTCAGTCCACAGGCTGATGCTCTATCCACTGAGCCATACCGGTTTCGGCCCTCCTGATTCTTTAAAAACAACAACATTAAACTTCTTTTTGTTGGGGGGGTAATTCATAACAGATGGTTATGTACTTTTAAAAGCATCATTTAAACATATTACTACAAAAATCTCTTAAACTTTCTAAATTAGGTGATTATGAACATATCCAGTTTGAATCTTCATTTTAAAAAACTAAATGCCTTTCTTAATGTTCAAAATATTTTAGAAGGTATATTCTGTTGTTTTAAAAAAATACACAAATATGGTTTTGTCATTTCAGCCAAATTATCAAATTGGAACTGAAATTGAAGATATGTCCTCTAAAGTTTCTGAAGGAAGAATGTATGAAAATCAGAGTCACGTGACTCTTCTAGAAAACCTTCATATTAACAAAATTGATGTTTTAGATAAAAAGATGAGGTGAGTGTGTCTTTAAATCAGAAAACATTAAACTTTCCAAAGATAAAGGTTGGGTTTTTACATAATTAATTTTATATAACTTCATATCTTGAAATTTTTATGAAAGTATAAAATAATAATTATTAACTAGAATATTTAAAAAAAATATTTTTATTGATTCCCACTGGGGATCGAGCCGGCAACCTGGGCATGTGCCCTTGACGAGAATTGAACCCGGGACCCTTCAGTCCGCAGGCCGACGCTCTATCCACGGAGCCAAACCGGCTAGGGCATGAACTAGATTTTTTTTTTTTTCTGCTTTTTTTTCTTAAAAAAAAACAAAACATATATATATGTGTGTGTGTGTGTGTGTGTGTGTGTGTGTATGTATATATATATATACATACACACACACACACACACACACACACACACACACTTTTTTTATTTCAGAGAGAAGGGAGTAGGAAAGAGATAGAAATATCAGTGATGAGAGAAATCATTGATGTGCTGCCTCTGCACACCCCACACTGGGGATCAAGCCCGCAACCCAGGCATGTGCCCTTGGCCAGAATCGAACTGGGGACCCTTCAGTCCTGTTTCCCAGGCTATACAGAAAATGGATGTTATACTGCAAAAGCATTTATGTTCTTCCTTTCATATCAGCATAGCCAATTTACATATAGTCCTTTGAACATACGATTGGTTTGTATAAAAAATTGTTTAACAACTGGTACATTAAAAAAGAATTCTGATTTTTGTTCTTCAAGATGATTTGTACTTCATTCTAGAAATGAACAGAAAACTTGTGTTTCTAGTCCAGCACAATTGATAAGAAGGCAGTTCCAAAACCCTGAGCCAAATTTGGGAAGAGCACATGATAAGAAAGAGGAAAGAGTTATAGAAAAAGACAGAGCAGATCCGGGTGAGGCCTGGAGGCCAGAAGATAATTTGCTGCAGCAAGGAGATTCTGACATCCAGCTCCTTCAAAAGGTAAGTTTTAAAATATATAATTTTTATCAGTGGGCTGTATTTTGTCAGGATCATGAAAAACATTAAAAATATTTAATTTTGTATTGTCATTTTCACAAAAATTGAGTGGCATTCTAATATTATAAAAACTTAGAAACCAGTCATGGTGTGTGTGTGTGTGTGTGTGTGTGTGTGTGTGTGTGTGTAAGCAAGTTTGGAACTCTAGGTCAAACTACCAAATCAAATTGCCCTAAAGATTTTTTTTGTGGTAATATTAGCTGTTTCTTCTTAAATTGAAGGAAAAAGCTGAACTTCTAACATCTGTGGAGGTTTCAGCAAGAAAAGATTGTGTAGGTTCTGAAGAGGCTGGTTTGGCCAAGAAAGACCTTCAATCAGAAGTTGGACCATCGGGAAGTGTTGGACAGAAAACTGAAGGGGATAATTCTGTGTCTCCAGTTGTTGAAGAGCAGCATCTCAGTAAATTAGCAAGGTAAAATTTTACATAACTACTTTCAGCAGAAGAAATAAAAATCTATTCTTTATGGATGTCCTACTTTAATTTATTAATAGAGTAAGATATCTTGTTAACAGAAGTGTATATTGTTTTTTATTGATAGGTCTATTTCTCTTCCCTTTTGATTTTATTCACTGAATATTTACTTCCTTTGGATCTTTTTGGGAAGATTTTCTTTATCCTACATTTAAAATCTTTGGGTATTAAGTATGGTAGATATGAAGAAGCCTGACCAAAGAGTTGCGTGCAGTACCTTAATAATTAGAGTACTAGTTCAAATAGGGGCACAAACATAGGTGAAGGGTACCCTCTTCTGTCATTTTCAAGAAACGTGGAAGGGAACTTAGTTCTTAAAACCAACATTGTTTTGATGGATTTTTTTGCCTCCTCTTTTTTTCTTTTATCCTAATCTGTTTACCCAATAAGAATAACCAGTATCACTTTTTAACCTCCTATTCTGTATTTATTGGCCCATTGACTGTCATTCCTTTTTCCTCTGATAATTTCCAGTCTTGTGTTTTATCTCCACTTCTGTAGCAAGAGGGGAAATGGCCCAGAAATAAAACTTACTATGAAAAATTTGTGGGTAGATAACTAGGACATTTATTTATTTTTTAAGAATTGTATTTATTTATGTTTTTATATTCAGATAACGCTGAATGAGAAACTAATAGTAAGTGTTTTCTTTTCACAGTATAAATTTTTGACAGAATGAGTGGTGGGAGTGTTCATTTTAAGGCTTGAGTTGGGATTTCAGTGTAAAAGTTTGGTTTTTAATAAAATTATCCTGTGTGTGCAGTGACTATGTTGTAATTTTGATTAAACCTCCAGCCATTCACAACTATTAAAAGAATCAAATTACTCTAAAATTGCTCTCAATCAAAGAACAGCTATCTCTTCTGCTTCCGGATATGAGATGGATCATACTGAAAGGAGAATGCATCGAAAGATCAAACCAACTGTCAACAAAGGGCGTGGATCAAAACGAATTCGGAGTAAGACTTCTAAGAAGGAACCCAGAGCTCCCAAGGCCATGCTGGTGACTCTTAGGGCTTCCCAGGAAGAAGATGAAGATGATGGTGAGGATTTTGAATCTGTCTATGAAGAAGAAAGCTATCATCTTGCTCCAGAAGAAATAAACAAAGCTCCAGTGTTTGTACCTGTTGGTCTCAGATCTCCTGAACCTGTTTCTACTCATATTGAGGAAACGATGGAAGAGGTAGTTTCTTTTTTGAGTGCTTGGGACTTTGTCTTACTTGTATTTTTATCTTAGTGGATCACTTTTTCTTCTCTTATTGAATATTAGGATTTGTAGACTTCATTATCTAAATTAACTCTACCAAATTAATTTTTATCGGCTTAGGCTGAGTTCTGGATAGTAGACAAGGTAGAAGAGACATATATCTATATACTTTTAAATGTAGTAAAATACACATAACATAAAATTTACCATGTTAACCATTTTTGAGTGTATAGTTCAGTGGCATTAAGTATATTCATTTCATTGTGCTATCCCATCATCACCATCTATCCCCAGAACATTTTTTATCTTGTAAAACTAAAACTCTGTACGTATCTAACAATAATTCCCCATTACCTTTGCCCCTTTAGGTTGTGCTTACCACCATTCCACTTTTGTCTCTATGACTTTAAGTACCTTGTGTAGTATTTCTTGTACAGTATTTGTCGTTTTTGTTAATAGTTTGTTTCATTTAGCATAATGTTTTCAAGGTTCATCTATGTTTGATCATGTGCCAGAATGTCCTCCTCTTTAAAGGATGAATAATATTCCATTCCACATTTTGTTTATTCATCTGTTAGTGGACAGTTGGGTTACTACCACCTTTTGGATAATATAAAGAATGCTGCTATGAATATGGGTGTACAAATATCTCTTCTAACTCCTGCTTTTAATTTTTTTGGGGGAATATAACTAGAAGTGGAATTGCTGGATCATATGGTAAATTATAAATTTAGTTTAATTTTTTTAAATTTTAATTTTCACTGATTTTTTAAAAAATTGTTTTTATTGATTTTTGAGAGAGAAGAGAGGAAGGGTGATGAAGGGGAGAGAGGGAGATAGGGAGAGAAGAAGAGGAAGAAGAAGAAAAAGAAGAAGAAGAAAGGGAAGAAGAAAGAAAAAATATAGAAATGCCAGTGAGAGAAACATCGCCTCCTGTGTACCCATCATTGGGGATAAAACCCACAACCCGGGCATATGCCCTGAACTGGAATCAAACTGGCACCCTCATGGTGCATGGGACAATGCTCAAACAACTGAGCCATACTGGCCATGGCCCATTTTTATTTTTGTTTTAGCAACCACCAAACTGTTTCCCGTAGCAGCTGCCTCATTGTACATGGTGTACAGAGGTTCTCATTTCTTCGCATCCTCGTCAACACTTGTTATTCTCTTTCTTTTTTTTTTTTTGGATACTTGCCATCCTAATGGATGTGAGATGGAGGAACATACTACCTTAACTTACAATACTTTATTATAAAAGCTCCTTACTCCTTTGCCTCTAGGTCTAATATTTCAACTTTGTAACTTCAAAGTTTTCTGTTTTGACTCAATTTTCAATGATTTTTGTGGCTTATAGAGTAGCATATATCAATCAATTTTGTAGTAAGTACTCATGATAGTTTCTGAGTCATTTGGAACAGAATCAGAAGTAAACTGAGATGGTATTGATGGTGATAATAAAAGAAGTAGGATATATAAAACAATTCAAATAATGTTAAGTTACCCAGCATTAATGGATTACTGAATCTATAAATTTACATTTATGGATGGAGGTCCAAACCAACTTCTTTCTGTTATTAAGGGAATAAGAGCCACACTGTCTTAAATGTAATCTAAGAGAGAAATCTTAATATTTTTAGTTCCAGGATTATAGGGATCTTTGACCAGTAACACTGCTAAAGGAAGGGTAAATGTGAATAAACTCATGATTTTACATAGCCATTGACATGGCTATCAAGAATGATACAGGTTTTAGGTTGCGGGAGAGGGTAATATCCTATATAATAAAAGCCTAATGTGCTAAGTGTCCAGTTGACCAGTTGGCTGTTCAACCAATCAAAGCATAATATGCTAATGATATGCTAAGGTCACTCAACCACTCACTAAGATGTGCACTGACCACCAGGGGGCAGACACTTCGACTGGTAGGTTAGCTTGCTGCTGGGGTCTGGCCAATTAGGACTGGGTGAGATGGGCTGGACATGCCCTAGAGCCCTCCCGTGGCCCCTCTCCAACTGGCCAACCTCCCTCGTCTCTCCATGACTCCAGTGCACTGGTGGAGTCCCTCAGCCTGGCCTGCACCCTCTTGCAAACCAGGACCACTTGGTTAGCTGGTTTTGGCCTGATCTCGGAGGCCAGGCCAAGGGACCTCACTGGTGCACGAATTCATGCACTGGGCCTCTAGTATATATTTAAGAGCTTTCAACTGATCTCTATTATAGTACTTAAGACAGTGTATAGTTAGTTGATTATATATCTGTTTTTCTTAGATTGGGAGTTCCTTGAGGGCAGGGACCAAACTTGTCTCATTCAGCTGTAGCCCTCTAATTTTTAGGAAGCACTCCATAAATGCTAACAGACTGATGAGATTAATTATGTCAAAGTAGGAACAAAGTGGGGATAATGGAAAATTAAATGCTAGGTACTAGGAAGATTAGCCTTGTAAAAGTTGCTTACTGGTTATAAGACTCTCAGGCCCCTCAAAAGCCTTACATGTTTTATTTTTGCCAAGTTGATGTCAAATCAATGTAAAAATGACTATTCAGTTTTTTAATTGTGTATGAATCTGGATTATTTTTTTAGTTTACCATTTTATTTTACTTGTTTGTTTGTATATAGTATGCCACTATGAAATCATAAGACTTTTCATTTTGTCAGCTTGAAATAACCGTGAATGTCCCAGATATCGGATTCATAACTGTTGATGAACATCAGCTCTCAAACACAGATGTGACCACACAGGAAATGAAACAAGAAGAAAATTTGAATGTATTGTCAGTTGTAAGCATCCATTTTAATGTTTTGTGTTTTCATGAATAAATGATCTTTCATTCTATGCTCTTAGGATCATTTCCAGAGGCCTTAATGGTTGCTTTTAAATAAATTTCACCATTTTCAATGGGGAGATTGTCAGCAGAGCTCCTTATGCTGTCATGCTGGACATCAGTCCTGTAACTTCTTAGTAGTGTAAAAAAATTGTGATATTTTCCAGACTATGGTTTCCATTGAGTCAAAACTATGCCAGCTATGACTAAAGCTGAAGGTTTATGAAGTGAAGAACTAAAGTAAGAATGGTAGATGCATATTGCAATATAATCATAATTAAAATTTGTACATATACAAAGAAAAGGTAAAATAAGGAGCAATAGACAAAAGACGGCTTTTTAATTATTTCTGTTCTTGTTTATCCAATTTTATGAATAATTATAATTAAGGGGGGGAACCAGTTCCCACTCTATTGCAATTAAAAACAGATAGATCTGTACAACATAGTGTTTTTTGAGATATAGAACAAATAATTTGGGAAACTAAATAAGATATTACTTTTCCTCTTTTAGGAAATGACCACAGGTGAACATACCCAGGATGAAACAGGTAATTGTTAATAGGAAACTGTTAAAAACTACTTGGTTAACACTAGCACAGTGATATAGTAGTGGTGGTAGTTTGTAAATGAGTAATTTTGCTGGAGAGTTGAACAAAATGATTCAGCTTTTGAATGTGTTATCTTTAGGAGCAATATGAATTCTTGGAATGTTACTGTAGAAAATGAGTTGAGTTATATGTTTAGTAAAGAAGTATTTTTTTCTCTGATTTGCATATATGCATTTTTTTGAAGATATTAAGTTACTTAATGGGAGGGAGGTATTTGCAGTGAGTAAAAGCCAACAATTGATGATTTCTTTACTTATAGTAAATTGATGAAAACATTACCCTAGTAAGGGATTAGTGGTATAGAGGATATTGAAACTTGTTACTAGAGGATAAACACCTGAATTTAAAAACTTTCTAAGTAAACAAACTTAAATTTCCAGATTCATTCTTCTGTTTTAATGTTGGTATATTTTCTCACAAGATACCAACGATGGAAGCACTGAAGCTGCCATTACTTTACTTACAATGGGAGATCTAGTGTTGCAGTCAGAGATCAGTACAGAGCAGAGTGATGGTAAGAATGAAAAATAAGTCCTCAAAACAACTTTTAAAGTTCAACTTTTAAGAAATTATACCCACATTTGTATAATAAGTGAATATTTGCCTGTTACATTTCAAGTTGGCACCACTTTGTTGTTTTTTCAGAAAAGATAATATGTATGCAATGATCCATTTAACTGTCCCTTTAGATGTAGTGGCCACTATTTCAAGATAGTGCACTTTATTTATTTATTTATTTATTTATTTATTTATTTATTTATTTTAAAAAATATATTTTATTGATTTTTTTGCAGAGAGGAAGGGAGAGGGATAGGGAGTTAAGAAACATCAATGAGAGAATCATTGATCAGTTGCTTCCTGCACACTCCCTACTGGGGATGTGCCCACAACCAAGGTACATGCCCTTGACTGGAATTGAATCTGGGACCTTGAGTCCACAGGCCAACGCTCTATCCACTGAGCCAAACCAATTAGGGCTGTACTTGGTTTATTAAGAGTAGTTTGTATTTGTGGAATATTTGTTCAGTGCTGTATCCCCAGCACAAAGTTACCTTTGTTATCATAAACATCATTGGTTAACGGCACTTATTAATCACTGATTACTTTATACATGTTTCTTTATCAAAGGAGCTGCTTCTTTGGGTAGTTTGACCCTTACGTGACATTTGAATACAGTATGATGGGACAATAGTCCTCAATGAGATTATTTGGTTTAGAATGTTCTATTAGTTTGAATTGAGCCAAATTATATGTCAACCCAGATTTTTAATATTTTAGGCTGACCTTACAGAGAAGCAATGGTCTTGATTAAGTATCTTACTCTATGAATATGTCATGCAGATACAGAAATGTTTCTTTTAAAGATGTGTAAACTGTAGATTGTATGAGGTGAACAGAATCATGGTTTATCTTTTTTTGTTTTATTGATTTTAGAGAGAGGGGAATGGAGAGGGGAAAGGATAAACATCATTGTAAGAGAGACATCCATCAGTTGCCTCCCATACCAAGGATCAAACCCACAACCTTGGTATGTGCCCTGACTGGGAATTAAACCTGTGACCTTTTGGTGTCGTAGATGATTCTCTAATTAATTCACCTGGCCAGAATGGGCTTCATTCTTTTTTTTTTTTTTTTTTTTTTCCCCCAGCCTTGATTCTTAATGGAATAGTATTGCATTGGAGCCTGTCACAAATCTCTAAGACATAAAATACAGATTTTGAAAAATTGTAAATAAAGGTGATATTCTTAATTTATTTGAGGTTATATAGTTATTGAAAGTAACAAAAAGATTTATTTTTACTTATAATAACCCAAATACTTCCATCTGTAAGAATTATTAAGCTTCGAATAGGTAAAATATTTGGCATAAAGAATGGGATCATACATTTAGTTTTAGAGCCCAGAAGAGCAAACTTTAAAAACAGTATAGAAATTTGCAATTGCTGAATACTGAAGGATTTATTTTGACATCTATTTATATTTTCTGTTTTTTTCTGCAATAGGAATATGTGTACTTCCTGGTGTTCATTCAAAGGATAAAAGCCATATTCCTTTTAACCCAGATAATGTCAGTGACAAAATTGTTTATGAATATCAGGAGCTTTCTTCACCTGTCAGTAGTATACCTCTTTCATCATTAGAAGAAAACAAGATTGAATTGGAGGAACAAAGTACTAAAGAAGAAATTGGTTTTATGGAGAAAGTAAAGGAAAATGCCAGATCAACCAGGTTTATTTTGCTTTATTATTTCTTTTGAGTTTTACCAAAAAATAAATTACAGTATCCTATTAATAAATATATTTAAACCATCAATTTAATAGATTTAAGTAATACTTGTATAAGTGGTAAAGTATGCAGTACTGATTCCTTATCCTTTAAAGTAAAAATTTGCTGATTGTGATTTTAGTTTGATGTTTTGCATATTAAAATTACTGTGTAAGCTTTAAAGCTTTAATGAAATAGTTTTACGTAAATAGTTTTAGTCTCTGTTTTAAAAATATGGTCCAGAATCTCTTCCCTTCTCAAGACCTTTAGAAAAGTTACTACCACGTAACTTTAGCATTAAGAAATGAAACTTCAGACAATGTGGCTTCTTAGAAGGTGGCACATATCTGTCAGTGCTAGACAGAATGTATCAATGTAAGAGAGAATTCTTACACATTGATAGATTTCTCTTTCCCCCCTCTTTTTCTAGGAATACAACTTCTGAGGTGACCAATAATTTGAGAATGAGAAGGAGATTTGCCAAGCCTAAGCCAAATCTTAAGATTTTAAGGACCAACAGATTTGGTGCTCATCAGGAAGTTCCCAATTTGCTTGTAACCAAAGGAGAAGTGGAAATTCAAAGAGGTAAATTTTATTGTTCCCTTGCAAAAATTATTTTGACACAAGAAATTACATGACATTTCAAATGGAGTATTCAGTAGTTAAACTTACTGTATTTTAACTTACTATTAATTTCAAATGTACAAAAAGTAGAAATAGCTATTAAATAATTACCTATAAATCCACCAATTGGTTTAATAGTTAATACCATTTTACTATATTTACTTGATCAAACTTTTGTCTTTATATATATTTTTTTCTGTATGTGAATGTGTGTGTGTATATATGAATGTTCAAGCACACATTTCTTAGAAAGGTATACATGCATGTGGCATAAAAGAAGAGAGTGCCCAGAAGGCATACGATTTTAAAAACTCCCTCCTCCTTAGGTTTCTAGACCTCTAATTCCACTTCTAGTGGTAAACTGCTTTTAACCATTTTTATTATAGACTTCCAGAAAGATTTTATACACATAAACATCTAATGAGAGTGTATATATGCCCATACATTCATATATACATTCATATGTATATTTCAGGAAGAATAAAAATATATGCATACAGTACACTATTCTCCACTTTTCAAAATGTGTGACTTAGTGGTGTTGAAATATTTACCGAGATTGTGTTAAACCCTGTATGTTGTATGTAGAAGTTCTGGATGGTTAACATCATTTCTGTTTTAGATTCTTGATTTCTGGGGTTTCTTTTTCACCCAGCAATGCTAGTTACTTGCTCTGGTCTGAGCAGTACCCAGAAGCACTCTCATGCTGACTCAAGAAGTCATTTTCTTTCTCTTTGTAATACTATTCTTTGAGAACAGCTCCTTCCCAGTACTTTTCCCAAGGTGGAACTAACCAGACCTTATGTATATCCACCTATAAATTACTTTTGTTGGTGGATTTCTAGTTATACTGCTATTACCACTAGATGGGGACACAGTTTTTGTGGTAGTCAGGAGTGAAATATGTGCCCTGTGAATAAACTTGCTTTTTAGCCTGGCAGGTGTGGCTCAGTGATTGAGCATTAACCTGTGAACCATGAGGTCATGGTTCAATTCCTAGTCGGGGCATATGCCTAGAGTGTCGGCTTGATTCCCAGGAGAGGTTGTGCAGGAGGCAACCGATCAATGATTCTCTCACATCACTGATGTTCTATTTCTCTCTCTCTTCTCCTTCATCTCTCTGAAATCAATAAAAATACATTAAAAAATAAATAATAATAAACTTGCTTTTTGGATTAAGAGATGTTTGAAAGAGTTCACGATATAGTGATCTGTCTTTGAAAAGAAAATATGTTTCTAATATGGAGATTTTAACTGTACTATTTTGGATTATATCTTAAATGTTTTTTATTTAAGAAACAGAGAAAAACGCTCCTAAAGCAACAGGATTAGAAGATAAAAACCTTGAATCAGAAACAATAGCAGAGAATAAGGAGCAGAGCAGATTGGAACATGACCATGCAATTGAAGAGACCAGTATTTTGCAGGAAGCAAGCCTAAAGGGAAGGTAAAGAGGAGAGATTGTGGGATTTGATTTTACTATGTTTCAACTATATCCTTAAGGTTTAGCTGTAAGAATTTAATTTAAAAAACAAACATACATTCAGGTTCTGTTGTATTAATATAAAAGTTTAAAAAACATTAACATAGAGGAATTTGATGTATCTAGCTCTAAGCATGCTATGGTTTTCTGCTTGATTTCAAATATATACTGAAACTAATACGTACTAATTTCTCTTTCAGAAAGGAAGACCAAGCACAGGGATCTCAAGAAATTCAGATATTGTCATTTGCTCCAGTTGTTTCCTCTGAGACAAGCTCCCACACACTTGGTTTGGGTCAGGGTCTTAGTGAGAGTTCTGTTGGAGAGCCCCTGGCAAAGGACTCGAGTGGAGACAATGTGCTTACATCTTATGTGCCTGAGGTAAAAATGAAAAATGTAACAAGTGGTGGCTAGGTGTTTGTTCCTCATTTAAAAAAAAAAGGGGGGGGGGAGGAATAATACAATCACAATACCTTTCATCCTCTTTAATATGCAATTCTATACATTTTGACAAACATATATAGTCATGTGACTAATACATGAACAATTTGATCATCCCCCAAATGCTCTGGTGTCTTTTTTTAGTCACCCCTTCTCTCCCACTCCCAGCCCCTGGCAGCCACTGATCTGTTTTGCCTTTGCAAGAATGTACTGTGATAGAATTTGTATTGTGTTTTTAGTCTCTGGAGCACAGAGATAACTAGCCAATACCTAGCTTTGTTATAAAAGCTTTGAAAAGGGAAGTGTTTTTACACAGAGAATTCACCTCTTGCTACTTAACCCCTGGATCTGAGAAGATACGTGTCTAACACTACGTGAGCTATGGGGATACATAGTTGTGGAAAACAAATGAATAAACTTAGTCTGATCGGTGTTAAGGAAGAGAGTTGCAGAAGGGTCTGTAGGAGTGAGTGATCCTCAACCCAATCCAATGAAACCAATCTCCGGGGGGGAATAGGGTCCAGACGTTAGCGTATATATATAATTTTATTGATTTCAGAGATGAAGGGAAAGGGAGAGAGAGATAGAAACATCAATAATGAGAGAGAATCATTGATCAGCTGCCTCCTGCAGATCCCTTACTGGGGATTTAGCTCACAACCCAGGCATGTGCCCTCGACCAGTATCAAACCTGAGTCCCCAGGCTGAAGCTCTATCCACTGAGCCAAAATTCATTTCATAGACTATACATATTGTCATTTTAGTTTGAATTGCTATGTGTAAATATTTAATCAAAAGTTTATTGGTACAACTAAGTTTCAAAAACACTGAAAAATTGCATAGGGTTAGATAATTGTTGAGGTTTGAAACCATGACTGTTCAGTATATCAAAATGTCAGGAATACTTTTTAAAATTGAGATTTAGTCAACTTTACTTTTTCATTTTAATTTTTATGGCAAGTGTATACCAACTAATATTCCAGAAGTTCAACAAGAGAATGTAAGCAATCCTCAGGATTTAGCAGGTATGATAATCCGCTTCAATAAAGTATTATAGAAACTAACAGTATGGTTTTTATTCCCCAATTTGTATAAAAAACAAAACAGTGTGTGTGTGTTTTTGGCGGGGGGGGTGGGGGGAAGGGGGGGGAGGGGAGGGAGGAGAGGGAGGTCTATGATGGCCTTAATGTAAAAAAACTAAGAAAAACAAACTGAAGTATTTTGTTGCTCAAAATTATAAATTTCTATAGTGAATCATCTTTATCAAATTACTTTTTTGGGGGGGTGTAATTCAGTTTTTATTATTAATGATAAGTTGTTTTGAAACTTTTTTAGAAATTAAAAGATTTTCTTTTTTCTCATGGTTCAGCTTTTCATTACTAACTTTTAAATTTTGATAGTGAATCTAATTGGTAACATACATCATGATGCTGAGGAAGAGCAAGCATTCATTTTAACTCTGGTGGAAATTCCAACCAATGCAGTAGAAGAATTTACTGATAACGCTACACAGTTAATGCCAAACCCTTTACTGCCAGCGCCCATATTGGTCAAGTCTGTGACTACAGAAGAAAAGGGTGACATGAGGTAATGAATGAGCTAAACTGTTTTTGCTAGGAGAAAATTTTCTTTATGAATAAAATAGTATTGATAGGAATGAGCCATTTACCAACATTTGTAATTCTAGATATCTTATTTAGTAATCATGTGATAAAGTAGAGAAGAAATCATTTATTTTATATCTGATGAAATTGTCACAAATGTATAATATTTTTTGTATGAAACCTGTGTGGTATTTTAAGTATTTTGAAAGTTAAAAACACCTACAAATGTAGATCATGAAGTGGCATCTATTAAAGCACATGTGTCAAACACAAGGCCCGCGGGCCAAATCCGTCCCGCCAGGCCTTGCATTGTGGCCTGCACCATGCTGTCATCACTGCACTCCGCTGCGTTTCCATCACAATGACAGTTTATGACTGTTCAGTAAACCATTCGGCCCGCGATTTAGGCTGGATTTTAGATTTTGGCCCCTTCTCTGATTGAGTTCGACATCCCTATATTAAAGGTATGGTTACTTTGTAATCATTTATATATACCTTTAATTTTGTTACTTTGTAAACAAATATATATCTTAAATACATTCACAGAAAGAAGCAAAAATAGGAGAGGTAACATTTCTATATATTTTTGATACTTATTTTAATTCTTTACAGTAGAATTATTAAGTTGTAGTTTAACAGTCACTGATTAAGATGCTTACTTGCACATTAAATGAAATTAGAAATTGAAGTTTTTTATATCAGAAAGAGACATTTTAGGTTACAATTTAACTTTACAGACATTTTTGTACCTCAGATTTAATTCAGTAGTAATGAATTTAAGTGCTAAGCCTTTAAATATTAATGGAGCTCAATAACCTTTTTTTTTGGTCATGGCCATGTATGTGTTAGTTACTTTGAAGTGTTTTTGGTAGTTTTGATTGGAATAGCTCTAATTGATTTAATGTGTATGTATTTTCTATGCAGTATGAATTTTCCAATAACTTCAGTTGACCAGGATGCCATGTGTTTTTCTAATTCTGGAAGAGATGCTTCTGAAAAGCCTCCTACTAATTTGGATCTTATGTCTAGGAAGAGATTACATTGTAGGTCTGATGAAAGTGACCATGTTCCTCCTGCCAAAAAACATTCACTCACTCTAAGAAGTGATTGTCAAGAATATACCTCTGAGGTAAGAGAGCCACTAAGTAAGATGGCCATATTATAACAAATTGATTTGTTTTTTTCCTTTATATTCTTTATACTAGAGGCCCGGTGCACGAAATTCATGCACTTGCAGGTGGGGGGAGGATTCCCTCAGCCCGGCCTGCGCCCTCTCACAGACCAGGAGCCCTCAGGGGATGTCTGATTGCTGAGGAGGCGGGAGAGGCTGCACTCACCAGCTGTGAGCTCGGCTTTTGGCTGAGGGGTGCTCCCCCTGTGGGAGTGCACTGACCACCAGAGGGCAGCTCCTGTGTTGAGTGTGCATCATAATGACCAGTCATTTGCCTTTTGGTCAATTTGCATATTAGCCTTTTATATAGGATAAAGACTAGAGGCCTGGTACATGAATTCATGCATGGGTGGGGTATCTTGGTCTAGCTGGCAATCAAGGCCTATTGGGGGGCCGGCTGGGAGGAGGAACCCCAGGAAGTTGGCTGGCTGGCCCCTGATTGGGGAGAAGAGCCATGGGAGGTTGGTCAGTCCCCCTGATCAGGGCCAGTTGGGGGGATAACCGAGGGAAGGCACCATGGGAGGTTGGCTGGCCAGGGAGGGGCCATGGGAGTTTGGCTGTGGGAATGCACTGACCACTAGGGGGCAGCTCCTGCATTGAGCGTCTGCCCCCTGGTGGTCAGTATGCATCATAGCAACTAGTTGACCAGTTGTTCCGGTTGCTAGGTCATAATAGTCACTTAGGCATATATATATATATATATAGAGAGAGAGAGAGACAGAGAGACAAGAGGCCCGTTACACAGACAGACAGACAAGAGGCCCGTTACACAAAATTCATGCATGGGGGGTGTCCCTCAGCCCAGCCTGCACCCTCTCCAATCTGGGACCCCTTGGGGGATATCCGACTGCCAGTTTAGGCCCAATCCCAAACCTTCTTTCTGTCAAGTACCATTTGGCTATTTATAATATCATTCTTATAAATATTTATAACATCATATTTATAATTATCAGCTTAAAATTAGCCTTCTATATTTGGTCAAACATTGAATTAACTCACGCCAAATGCCTTGGCAGGAACAGACCAAATGATTTCGGAGGCCTTGACACACGAACCAGACTTTCTCCACCCCTGCCTGAAAACACACAAACTTCTTAACTCAACCATCACTATCTTATAATACTACGCAGTCTGATAGTACTATGCAGATTCAGTCAGCATGCATTGTGTTGTATGTTTCTTAGCACTCTCTGTTTTTTTTTTTCCCCCCGGTGCTTATAATGTATGTACCACACTGTGTACAATATGTAACCACACTATGGCAAAGTTAATTTAGCATCTGTATATCAAAGGGACACTTGAAGACCAATAGTCCCTAGATGATAGCAGACATCAGAGGCAGTGTATCCTGATAGGTGAAAAATAATCTCCCAGAATAGTTTTAATTTCTCTTATTATGGTAAGGTTTGAGCATATTTTCATATTTTTAAGCCATTTGTGTTTTCTATGAGATGACTGAATTCCTGACCCAGTTTTTAAAATTGGGTTGTTAATCTTTTTCTTATAGATTTGAAGGAACTCTCTTATATGTACCTGAGATATGAGTTGCAGATGTTTTTCCCAGTTGGTTATTTGTCATTTGACTATTTATGTGTTTTTCACATTGAGACTTTTTTTTTTTTTTTTTTTTAAATATATTTTATTGATTTTGTACAGAGAGGAAGGGAGAGAGATAGAGAGTTAGAAACATCGACGAGAGAGAGTCATCGATCAGCTGCCTCTTGCACACCCCCTACTGGGGATGTGCCCGCAACCAAGGTACATGCCCTTGACCGGAATCGAACCCGGGACCCTTCAGTCCCCAAGCCGACGCTCTATCCATTGAGCCAAACCGGTCCTGGCACATTGAGACTTTTTGGTTAACGAAAGTATTACATACTATGTCTCCTTTTCTACCCACTGTCCTCTCCCAGCCCACTTCATTTTATTTGATAAATGGATTTCTAATTTTTTTTTGTAAATTTTCTTAAAACAGGTATGTTCAAAGGAATTGATAAATGTTTTTGAGGAGACAGGTGAGTGAATTCAATTTTAATGTGATTATATTTTCCTAAGTACCCCTCATTATTTATGATGCATCTTGTTCAAATTTGGGATTGAAGCAGAGTCTTGCTCACTGTTCTCTAAGAATCATGCTTTTATTATTAGATGTGTTTTTTCCCCTGCTGAGATTATGGATTTGGCACTTTGGTAGCCATAAAAGTCTACTTTCTGTATTTAATGGAAAAACACAACTCTACAGGATTCCTGAGAAAGCTCAACAACTACCATTTTAGTAATTAAAAAGCTGGCTGGATACAAAGGAATTTTCGTAGGTCCTTTCTTATACCCTGAGATTAGAAAATGATCACTTTGTTAGTTTAAGAAATATTTATGGAGAAATTTTCTAGGTGAAAATATATTGATAAGACTATTTTTGAGAAGCTGTTACTATAACTTTTAGCTAGCTATATTATTCTTGAGCATCCAGGTAACTCCCTAATTTTTAATTTAGCTTATTCTACTTTAGCTTACTAGAGCATGCTTGTGATAGAATGTCATGGTTTTTTTCCTTCAAATATTAAAGTTCCATTTGTTGTATTAATTTCAATATATGTGCTTACCATTTTTTCTCTTTTTTTTTAAGGGATGTCTTACAAGGGACAAAGTATCTTCCCTACTTCAGAAAGCACACATACAACACCAGAACCTCAGAAAGAGCAACTTGAAGAAACTTTTCAGAGTATGGGATCTAGACCTCTTGATAAAATAATAGATACACACATAGAAAAGAATTCATCTCTGTTACCTCAGGATAAGGTGGTTGTGTCTGATAAGAAAGAAGGAACTTGTGCAGCTTCTAAGTCTGAACAAGTGGATTGCATCACATCATCTTCAAAACCCCCACTATCCAGGTATCTTGAGAAATCTCTTAAGTGCTGAAACTTGGACTCTTTAGATAAAAAATGTTTAGAATTTCGTATTACACATTTGGTTTTCCACATTGTCCTTGATTATTATTTGATCCTTATTTATTCTATCATGTAGTAGCTACCAGTGCACATGTAGATGATCTAAGACAGGACTAACATCAGAAGTAGTTCTGGATTTTGTTTTATTGAGGTCCCGGAAAATGTACATTTTTCTCCCTTATGGCATACCGAAGAGGCAAACCATGGCTTTGTCTTTATGAGAGTAAGTGTGGAATTTAAGCCCAAAGCCAGTTTTCCCCACATTATTTTCCTCATACTCTAGAAGCAAAGCATTCTGGCTTCTGCATAATTATTGTTCTTGTCAGCAGATTTAAAGTCATTAATATGGTGTTGGTGAGTTGAAAAGGGAGGACATGTACTAACCTCCACTAAAGGAAAGGGGGGAAGGGCATTTTTAGCTTAAAAAGGCATATTTAATGAATCTATCGTTCTAGTTATCTAAACTACAGAAAGTGAAGCTCAGCAATTTCTTTTATGATCTAAGAGATGTGCTGAATATAGAAAGAGGGAGGCATCAGGGGATTTTGGATTAAAACTAACTAAGAAGCAGTATTCTAGAATATGGGTCAACAAATTTTAGCTAAAGATCGTGTAGTATATATTTTAGACTTTGTGGCCCATATGTCTTTGTTGCAGCTACTAAACCCTGCATTTATAGTACAAAAGCAATCATTTAAACCGATAAACACAATTGTGTTCAGTAAAACTTGTTTATAGAATCAAGTGGACTACATTTGGCCTAGTTTGCTGACATCTGCTGTAGAACCTTACTATTCAGTATGGTCATGGGACCAGCAGCATGGGCATCCTTTGAGAACTTGTTAGAAATACAGAACCCAGGCTCCATCCTCCATTAATTCAGTCAGAAATTTTATTTTAATAAGATTCTTAGGTGATTTGTATGCACTTTAAAGCACTAATTGTATGCAGTAATGTTGTATTACTAGTACATATGCCATTGTAGGATTAATGGAAAGAAGTTGGTATTAAGAATGTGTCTTCCTGGATATTCTTGAATATCTTTATGTTTGTATTTCTAGACCTGGCAGAAGACCCCTGGGATTTTTGTCTTTAATATGTTCAAAGAATAATTTGGAGTCTGATGAACCTACTCAGGTTCATAGAAAAAAACGCTTAAAACCCCTTATACCTATATCAAGACAGAATTTGAAAAGATCCAATCCACTTAGTGAAAGCCAGAAAAAAGTTCAAGAATCTTCTGATATGCATCCATCTCCAAGTGTTAATACTCAATCTGAGGATATTGGCAATTCAGCAACTCAGGTATGTATGTGATTACTACTTGCTTCATTGTTTATATAGAATGGTCTGGATAGCAGACCAACTAGTAAAAACATGGCAATTGTTATTTTTGTTTGAATGTCAGAAATTCTTTTTTTTTAATCATTCTTAGATATTGATATATAATGAATACGTATGAGTTAGGTCAAGCGTCTCTTCTTGTATTTGAATCATGTATGCTTTTTCTGTGAACTATCTGTTCATATCATTTGACTTTATAAAGAATTGGTTATATGTCTTTTTCATATTGATTTGTAGAAGCTATTATTATGTTAAAGAAAACTCTTTGTGTGTGATATAGGTTGTAAATACGTTATTCTCTGTATGTCATTTGTCTTGATTTTATGTATAGTGGTTTTTGTTATGCAGACATTTTTTATTTTTACATATAGATGAATTTCAATCTTTTATGGCTTCTGGTTTTCCTGTCATTTAAAAAGACACTCCCTATCCCCCTCTCCAGGCTTATAAAAGTTTTCCCATTAGTAGATTTAAAAAAAAAGTTTTTACATTTAAATCTTTTGATCCATATAGAATTTCTCTTGGTGAAGTATAGGCCTGGACTTTTCTGAGATGGTTATATAGTTATCACCATCATTTATTGAATAATCCAACTTCTCTTATTTTCCTTTTAGAAACATCACTTTTATCAGATACTAAATTTCCATCCATATGTATTGGGGTTATTTCCAGTCTCCTATTTAATTGATATATATGCCTATGTTTGTGTCAATACTATCCTGTCTTAATTTTTGATAGATTTATAACTGCTAATTTTTTTATAGAATTGCTTTAATTTGTGATGATTCCTTTGGGTACGGTTTTATATTGGTTATTAAGATATTGTCATTGTAGTGCTTGTTTCAGCATCACACATACTAAAATTGGAATGAAACAGAGAAGATTAGTATGGCCTCTGTGCAAGGATGACATGCAAATTTGTGAAGCGTTCCATATTTTTTTTAAAAAATATATTTTATTGATATTTCACAGAGAGGAGGAAGGGAGAGAGATAGAGAGCTAGAAACGTCGATGAGAGAGAAACATCAACCAGCTGCCTCTTGCACATCCCCTACCGGGGATGTGCCTGCAACCAATGTACATTCCTTGACCGGAATCGAACCTGGGACCTTTCAGTCCGCAGACCGACGCTCTACCTCTGAGCCAAACCGGCTTCGGCTGCATTCCATATTTTATAAAAAACACATAGCCATATCAACTGATGCAGAAAAAGCATTTGTCAAAATCCAACACTCTTTTTTTGATAAAAACCCTCAGCAAAGTGGGAATAGAGGGATCATACATACCTCAAGATAATAAGAGCCTTATATGATAAACCTACAGCCAGCATCATACTCAATGGCCAAAAACTAAAACTATTTCCCCTAAGAACAGGAGCAAGGCAGGGATGCCCACTTTCACCACTCCAATTAGACACAGTAGTAGAAGTGCTAGCCATAGCAATTAGACAAGAATATGAAAGGAAAAAAGGAAGGAAAACTGTCTTTATTTGCAGATGACATAATACTGTACATAGAAAATTCTAAAGACTCCATAAAAAATTATTAGACTTAATAAATGAATTTGGCAATGTAGGATACAAAATTAATGCCCAGAAATCTATGGCATTTTTATACACTAATAGTGAATTTACAGAAAGAGAGATTAGCCAAAACCGGTTTTGCTCAATGGATAGAGTGTCGCCCTCCAGACTGAAAGGTCCCAGGTTCGATTCCGGTCAAGGGCATGTACCCTTGGTTGCGGGCACATCCCCAGTATGGGGTATGCAAGAGTCAGCTGATTGATGATTCTCTCTATCCCTCTCTCTTACTCTCTGTAAAAAATCAATAAAATATATTAAAAAAGAAAAAGAAAAAAGAGAGAGAAATTAAAAAGACAATCTCATTTACCACTGCACCAAGATAATTAGGATACCTAGGAATAAACTTAACGAGGTAGAAGACCTGTACTTGGAAAACTACAGGACACTGAAAAAAGAGATAGAGGAAGACATAAACAGATGGAAGAACATACTGTGTTTATGGATTGGTAGAATCAACATCATTAAAATGCCCATACTACCCAAAGCAATATATAGATTGAATGCACACCCCATTAAAATACCAATGGCATATTTCACAGACCTGGAAAGAACTCTCCAAAAATTCATCTGGAATAAAAAAAAGACCCTGAATAGCTGCAGCAATCCTGAGAAAGAAGAACAAAGCAGGATGGAGCTCAATACCAGATATCAAGCTGTATTACAAAGCCACTGTTCTCAAAATTGCCTGGTTCTGGCACAAGAACAGATGTATAGACCAATGAAATAGAATAGGGAACCCAGATATCAACCCAAACCACTATGCTCAATTAATATTTGACAAAGGAGGCAAGATCATACAATGGAGTCAAGACAGTCTCTTCAATAAATGGTGTTGGGGAATATTGGACAGATACATGTGGGGGGACGGAGGAGTGGGGGAGAGGAGAGAAAATAGACCACCAAGTTACACTCTACACAAAAATAAACTCAAAATGGATAAAGGACTTAAATGTAAGCAGGGAAACAAACCATAAAAATCTTACAGGAATCTACAGGCAGCAAAATCTCATACATATGCTGAAGAAATATATCTTCACTGATACAGCTCCCAGGGCAATGGAAGCTAAAGAGAAAATAAACAAATGGGGATTACATAAAAATAAAAAGCTTCGGTGCAGTAGAAGAAACCATCAGTAAAACAACAAAACCCACTGCATGGGAGAACATATTTGCCAATGTTATCTCTGATGTGGGTTTAATCTCCAGCATTTACAGGGAACTCATACAACATAACAAAAGGAAGATAATCTAATTAAAAAAAATGGATAACGGACCTAAATAGATACTTTTTCAAAGACTACGTACAGAAGGTCAAGAGACATATGAAAACATGTTCAAAGTCAGTAATTCAAGAGATCCAAATCAAAACGACAATGAGGTACCATCTCACACCTATCAGAATGGTTATCAGCAAACGAGAAGTGCTGGAGAGGATGCGGAGAAAAAGGAACCCTTGTGCACTGCTGGTGGGAATGCAGACTGGTGCAGTCACTGTGGAGAACAGTATGGAGTTTCCTCAAAAAACTAAAATGGAACTCCCATTTCACCCAGTAATCCCACTTCTAGGAATATATCCCAAGAAACTAGGAACACTAATTAGAAAAGATACATGCACCCCTATGTTTATAGCAGCACAATTCACCAAAGCTAAGATTTGGAAATAGCCTAAGTGCTCATCAGCAGATGAATAGATTAGAAAACTGTGGTACATCTTCACAATGGAATACTACGCTGCTGTAAAAAGGAAGGGACGCCTTCCTACCCTTTGCAACAACATCAATGGACCTGGAGAGCATTATGCTAAGTGAAATAAATCAGTCAAAGAAAGATAAATATGACATTATCTCACTCATTTTTGGAATATAATGAACAATATAAACTGATAACAAAAAACAGATCCAGAGATAGAGAAGCATTGATCAAATCATCAAACCCCAGAGGGAAGGCAGGGGAAGATGAGGGAAGGGGGAGAGATCAACCAAAGGACTTAATATGCATTCATATAAGCATAACCAGTGGACACTAGGGGGATGAAGGCATGAGCAGGGGGAGGATAAGGACACATGTAATACCTTAATCAATAAAGAAGAAAAAAAAAACCTAAAAAATAAAGATAATATAATTCTAGACTTAATGCTATGTTTTGTTTTGTGTTATTATTGTTTAAATTTTTCATTGAAATTAGGTTGATGTAATGGATCATGGCTAGACTTCAATTAACGTAATCATGTCATGTCCTTTTATTATAACTAATGCTGTCTTATTCACAAAACTCTTACTGTGTTTAGGAATATTTTCTTAATGTAAAAAGCATAGAAATGAAATTATTAGATCAACGAATATATGTTTATGCTAGATTGCTTTTCAAACAGCTATCAATTTAGACTGCCATTACCAATATACAAATTTTATATTGCATACTTATTTTTATTATCTTTTTAGGTTTCTTGTGATCCTTCCTTACCAAAAGAAGAATGTAAAAGTGCCCACAACCAGGCACTTGAAGAAGAGTCAGACACAGTCTCTGAATATTTCTTTAGTGATATTTTTATTGAAGTGGATAAAACAGAATGAAAGTTTTTTTTTTTAGTCTAGGATTTCCAGACTTAAAAAGCATCATGTTTGTTTTTCTTTATGCTGATTTTGAGTATTTAATGAGCTTGATTTGAAGTTTTCATCATCAGTGGGAAACGTCTCTAAGGTTCCTTTTATTCAGCATTTTGGAATTACCAAGCAATTAAGACTGCTTTTTCAGACAGAAATAGTACCTCTTGTTTACATTTTGACTCTTCCTGTACTGAAAACACATGGACATTTTGGAATGTTGTTCGCTGATAAATGTCTGTATAAATCTCAGTGCTGATGTATTTTGAGGTGGATTATATTTAACAGCAAACTACTTTTGTGAAGGTTCTTTCTGTTTGGATTTTTCTTTGGGTGATTAGGCCTTTTTAGTTGCCTCTAAGTATATGAAAGTCAATTGTTAAAAACTTTTCTATTATCAGCTATTTGACTGACTGAAAAATATGTATTTTTCTAATTCATGTTAACATTAGTCCTAATTGAAGATCTAGTATTTAAACTTATTATTTATAAAGATGAAACATCAAAAAGCTTATTTATTTTTAAAAACTTTATTTAAAAGGATATTCAGTTTTAATTATTTTCACCACTCAGATATGGGTAAAGAAGGCATTAGCAATTTGTCTCCTTTCCCTCTTTAATTTTAAAGATATTTAAAGTGATGTAACTAAAAGTATTTGGATAGTGTATATGTTTTGAATACATTTTTTTCTCATAGTTTTAGTATATTGACTTTGTACTGTGAATGTTTTGTTTTTCTTATTTCTTGGATAATCTCAGGATTTATATGGAAAAGAAAACACCTTCATTTATGAGGAAAATTTCCATACAAAACTCAATCTCCTTTACACATACATACACTCACACACATTCCTTTTTAAAGACAAATAATTTTTTAAATAGTTTCCCCCCATTAAATTCTGCTTAAGGAATATTTAGGCCTTTAAGTACAGAACATAATTGTGATATTAAAAACAGAAAATAAGACTATTAAGTCAGTGATTATCAATATGAATTTGAGTTGTTTTCAATATTGCGATTTACATATATAATTCTATTATTCACCCAAGTAAATCTTCGGTGTAATTCAATTAAACTTCTCAAAAAGCAGATTTACCCTGAGTTGATAAAAAAGTAGTCAGGAGTCAGAAATATTTTTTCGAAAAATAGTTTTGAGTTTGTTTGGACCAGATGGTCTCTGTGGCAACTACTCAACTCTGCCATTTCAGTTGAAAATAGCCATAGACAATACTTAAATGATGGACATGGCTGGATTGCGATTTTAATTTGACCCTCTGTGTGAGACAGTAATTTTCTTACCTTAAGGTGCTGATGTCTTTAGCTATGAGATATTTTTGTCATTGAAGTTATAAGTGTGCCTAACAAAAGTATTGATTGCATTATGGAATGATCAGTATTTCATGGGGGGATATTTTAATGTCTAGATAATTGTGTGTGTATATTGAAAAAAATGGAGGACAATTTTCAAGTTTGTTAGTAAAATAGGATATGGCTCAGGAGGAAGTATAACAGTAATCCTAATTTATTAAAACAATTGATATTAGAACATTTCTTCATTTTATTATAGTGAAATTTATACTTTTAACTCTTTCACAAAGGAGGATCTATAAATATGAGCAGAAATTCTCTATAGGTATGCATTTATTTATTTCATGTGATCACAAGAATCATGGTGTAAATTACATTGCTATTTTAATGCCTTGTTTTTATAACTTTTTAAAAATCATTCTGAAAAGGTTTCTATATTTTGATTAATATTAATTTGGGTTTTAGGTTGCCACAATCAAACTATTATTTTATCTTTTTATAACATTTATGTTTTAACTTTGTTAATGTCTGTCTCTTGTTCATCTGCAGTGAATTAATTTTATGAAAGATGTAACTTCTTACTGTATAAGGATTAATTTTATCTTTTGGGCATTTATTCTAATAGAGAATCAAGTCACCCAACTAAATTACCCTACTATTATATCCTTAAAACTAATCTTGGAGAAAGAGAACCTTAATTAGTGTATTTATTTACCTTTTAAGATAGAGAGACAAGTTCGTACCTATATTTAATCTAATTCATATAAAGATGATGTTGGGAAGGATTTGTATTTTATAAATCTTAAAGGAGATATGATTATAAAGGTCTTTATTTTTTCCTGATATTTCCTCCTGAACACTTACATCTTAGCAAATGGTGAACATGATGGATTAAAAGACTAATTTGTTAGTAAATGATTGAGGCACAGATAAAAACATATCTACTGTTTACCACTATTATTAGTTGAAGTAGAAGTGACCATGTATACATACTATCTTGCTTGAAGAAGTCTTTGACAAAAAAGCAATATCTGTCATTTGTAAATTTTCTTGTTTTAAAGAAAGCAATTATGTTCTGCAGATATAAATTATGTAAATAAAAGTTATTTTATATTATTTTTATTGTGTCATTTTATTAATGTTTAGTTAACCAAAACTAGAAGTTTTCACTACAGCTTATACTTTTATTTTTCTGTAAAAATATAGTAAGATCATCCCATGGTATCTGAGGATTGGTTCCAGGACCCCATGTGGGTACCAAAATCTGAGGAAGCCCAAGCCCCTATATAAAGTGGCATAGTGTTTACATATAACCTATGCATATCTTCCAATATACTTTAAATCATCTCAAGATTACTTATAATTCCTTACATGGTAAATGCTAAGTAAATAGTTGCTATACTGTATTGTTTAGGGAGTAATGACAAGAAAAATAAGTCTGTACATGTTCAGTATAGATGCAACCATTCTAGGCTAGCTATGTCAGCAACAACATAACTATTTTTGTTGAATATTTTGGATCTGCAGTTGGTTGAAGATGAAATTTGTTGAATGCAAGCTGGCCACGGGACGCTCGCCCCGTCCCAGGACTCCGGGGGCCCCTGTTCTCGTGATACGACAGGGTCTCGCGGGGCTGATTCTCCGTCTTTTATTGGCTGATATTGGGGGCGTGGCACGAAGTGCCTACCAATCACGGGCGGCGTGCGTAGGCACGTGTGCGGGCCGGCCGGAGAATCGGGGTGTATCTGGCTGGTTAGGCTGCCAGAACGGGAGCTGAGCCGTAGCCCTTTAGCGGGGAAGCGAGCGAAGGGCGCACGGGCTCCGGGTCGGCACCGCTCTCGCGCTCCTCCTCGCTCAGTGTCCGCTGCCATGTGGGCCGCCGCGAGGTTAGCGCTGTGGCGCTGCGCCCGCGCCGCCGCCCCCGGACCGCGCGCCTATCACGGGGACGCGGTGGCCACGCTGGGCACCCAGCCCGACTCGGGCTCTGCCGTCTACCAGGTAGGCCGGGTGAGCGGCCTGGGCCGGAGCCCCGCGAGCCTGTGAGCGCCTCTGCCGCGCCCGCTGGTGCCTGCCCGCGCGGCGCCGTGCTCACCGCACTCGGAGGCAGGTGGACGCACTAGAACAGCTGCTATTCGTTTCTCTGCGGCCTCAGGAATGATTCTGGGATGCCCCGAGGGGTCGTGAAGATTGAAAAAAATAAAAAATCCCAGAACAAATTCACTTTCGTTTACTTTAAGCATTGGCAGTGTTTTTTGTGTTTTTGAAATCAGTGGTTCTCAAAACCTGGCCTAGCATGGTCAGCCTTAACCCCTCCCTGGACCTTTTGGGTCTGGTGTTTACGGGGTTAATGAAATCCTGGGGGCTTGTGGTAGCCAGTTTGGGGAATTTCTGGCCTAGGACAGCTAACCTTGTAAGTTGTGCTTATCAGACTTTAGATAGTTGGTTGTGTGAATAGAAAACATCCCACAGTATCTTTGAATGGCTTTTCTTGGAACTGGGAGCTATTACAAGGTCAAAGAAACAACTTGCAGCTTTTGAAAGCTCAGGGCTGGGAATTTTCAGTCTGTCCCATGTTCTCTCTCTTTTAAATTGATTTGAGAGGAATGGAGAGAGAGAAAAGGAAACATCGATGTTTGATCCGTGTATTTGTGCTTCTTGTATGTGCCCAGTCTGGAGTTGGAACCTCCAACCTTGGTGTACTGGGACAACGCTTCAACCAACTGAGCCACCTGGCCACGGTGAAAACACTACCTCTTGATGCTTTTTCCTCCTCTCTGCAAGGTCATCTCATGATCTGTATTTAGCCAGTGTTTGCTTCAGTAATGCTGTGCAGCAAGCAATCCCAAGATCTTAGTATTGATTTCCTTTTTATTTAATGTATTGGGGTGATACTGGTTAACAAAATTATATACATTTTAGGTGTACAGTTCTAAAACACGTCCCCTGTACACTGTATTGTGTGTATACTACCCCAAGGAAAGTCTTTGTCCATATCCGTCACCATTTATGCCCTTATTCCCTCAATCTCTCCCCCCCACCCCCCACATTCAACATACTGTTGTTGGTATCCATGAGTTTTTTTGTTTTTTTTTCTTCTTTTTTGCTAAATCCCTCCCCCCACAAGAACTTATTTTTTACTCTTGGATCTGTGAGATGGTTGTTGCAGCTCTGGTCTGAGCAGTGCATCGGTTAAGGTCTGTTGCTTTTTAAAATTTTTATTATTATTTATTGATGAAAGAGAGAGAGACATTGATTTGTTGTTCCACTTATTTACGTATTCATTGGTTGTTTCTTGTATGTGCCCTGACTGGAGATGGGACTGGAAACCTTGGTGTACCAAGTGGGCTTGTTCTACTTGTTTCTTATTCCAGGCCCCAGCCTGAAGGGGCAGTGGCTTCTTGGGGAATGCTCCTCTCATAATGGAAGGTGGGGGCACAAGAGGAGAGTATGGCAACACTTTGTCCTTCTTAAAGCCTCTGCTTGCATTTGGTACCCTATCCACATTCCCCTGGACAAAACAAGTGATACAGACAGACTCACGGACTGTGGAGTGGGGAAGTATAATCTCACACTGAACTTTGGCAAAGATGGGAGGGGAGGAATAATTTTGAACAAGTAATACAGTTTACCTCATGGTCTAAGGTGGTTGCTTAGGCTCCAACTATTATGTCTGAGTTCCAAAAGGATTCATCTACTCGACTTCTTTTTAAGGAGCGTTTTTAGAAGCCATACTTGCTTCCTACAGTTTATTGATTAGAATTTAGTCACACAGCCACATGTCTACGCTCAGGAAGGACAGGATTTGTTATTTTTCCAGCTAGGCTTGTAGCCACTTTGAGTAAAATCGGGACTCCATCGTCAAGGGAAGTGGGAAGAATGAACATGGGATAAATAGTTAATACTGTCTGCCACAGATAACAGTTAGCTTGGAGTGGGTATGTTCTTCTTACGTTAGGTTGGATGTTAAAAGATTTCCCTTAGGTGCAGCCATATCTCCTGGGACCTCCAGCTACAAGTAGCAAACACATACAAAGGGTATGAAGGTAAAGCCAGCCCTTGGATGGGAGATGGCACATAAGGGCCTTGACCACAATCCAGTTTCTCCCTGCCTAATTTTCCTGGTCGTTCATGTAAGACCAGTAATATGTACTGTCCACTCTCACTTCTACCCATTGTGTGCTTCACAAAGGCTTGATAGTGACAGTTCTGTTTATTGATTTATTAATTAAATATATTTTTTATTTCAGAGAGGAAGGAAGAGGGAGAGAGAGATAGAAGCATCAATGATGGACAGAATCATTGATCAGCTGCCTCTTGCACATCCCCTACTGGGGATCGAGCCTGCAACCTGGGCATGTGCCCTGACCGGGAATCTTGGTTCATAGCTTGCCTCTCAACTACTGAGCCATGCCTGCCAGGCAGTTATTCTTCTTTCTTCTTTTTGCTTTCCTTCCTTCCTCCTTCTTCCTCCTTTCTTTTCCTCTTTTCTTTTCTCCCCTTCCTCTCCTTCTTCTTCTTTCCTTCCTTTCCTTCCTTTCCTTCTTCTTTCCTTCTTCTTCCTTCCTTCCTTCTTCCTTCTTTTCCTTCCTTTCCTTTCTCCTTCCTTTTCTTTCCTTCTTCCTTCCTTCCTTCTTTTCTTTCTTTTTTTCTTTTTCTTTTTTCTTTTCTTTTTCTTTCTTTAATGGGAGGCTAGCTTAGCTAGGGTAAAGAATACTTGCATAACCAGCTTTAGCTGCCGTTCCAAATTGGGCAATGGTTGTTGGCTGCGGTGATTGTATCCCTGGATTTGGATATGATTTAAAACCAAGACAAATATTTGGCTTTGTATGTATGTGAACTCTTTTTCATCAGCTTTGAACCTGTAGTTTGTAAAGCTGGCAGGAGACTGGCAGGTAGAACGCTGGAGGGGGTTGGGGTTGGGGAAAACGAATAAAAAATTAAGGCATACAAAAATCCCATAAGCCTCTAGATCTACAAGGGAAGAACTTGCTAAAAGACACTGGGGATGCGTTTAGCACTATGGGAGAAACCTGGGGCAAACAAAACATTTCAAGACAAAAAAGATGGTAGAACTTATATTTTAGAAAAGACTTAACAGATCAGCCAGTTGTGTATATGCGGACCTCCCGCGGGATCCTGTGCATCAAGCTTTATAAGGGAGTGCGATTTGGATAGATGGATCAGAGCGGGTGGTGGAGGTGAAGAGCTTGAGCAAAGCTACAGGCAGGAATTAATCATTCCATACAACTGAATGGTCTAGCATGGAGACCACATGGATGCGCTGGCCCCATGTGGAGGTCCCATGGATGGACTGGCACGTGATAGTCTTTTTATTTTGATTAAAAAAATATAATTGCTTTCTAATATTACTCTCTTTGTTTCTGGTTTAGGAAAACTATGAACAGATGAAAGCACTAGTAAATGAACTCCATGAACGAGCACAGAAGATAAGACTAGGTAAACACTTATTTTAAAAATATATATCTTTTTATTGATTTTAGAGAGAAAGGAAAGGAGAGGGAGAGAGAGAAAAACATCAGTGTTTGAGACAACCACTGATTGGCTGCCTCCCACACACACCCTGACTAGTGATCGAACCTGCAACCCAGTGCCCCAGCCTGGATGGCCATCAGAGGCTATTGGGCTGTCTCGCCCAGTCCCAATTGGGGCCAGGCTGGCCAGGGCCTGCCAGCTGCTGGCTGGAGCCTGGGGGCCTGCCTGTTGCTGGCCAGGGCCTAGTGGCCTGCCAGATGCTGGCTGGGGGCTGCTGGACAGGGTGAGGGACCGGGGGAGGTTGGCTGTGAAAGTTCCTACGTTGAGTATCTGCCCCTGGTGGTCAGTGTGCATCATAGCGACTGATTAACCAGCTGTTCCAGTTGTTTGATTGTAATGTTGCTTAGGTTTTTATATCTACAACTAGAGGCCAGATGCACGAAATTTGTGCAAGGGGCTTGGCCCTCACAGCTGTGATGGCTTCATCCAGAAGGTCATGCAGAAGGTTGTTTGGCTGTTTGGTCTAATTATCATACTACACTTTTATTATTACTACACTAATAAAAGAGAAACATGCAAATTGACCATCACTCCACTATGCCCATCGGCCAGTCAGAGCTAAG